GGCGACAAGAGCAACTTCTTGCAAGGACAGTGCACAGGAAGTGCAACAGCCAAGGTGTTACAAATAGAATATACAAGATCTGCAGGGCACCAATTCTAAACAGAAGAAGTTGCAGAATGAGGAATGAGAATAAGTTCTGGGCTGAAGTTCCCTATGACCGCAGTGGATCAGAACAACAAAACATGATAGATTTCAGAGCATGGAAAGTGGCCTGCATGGCTGAAGGACGGAGGACCACGCATGTTAGTGTTAACACATGGTCAAACCCCTTTAATAACTGGTGGGTGACCAGCCCTGAACCTGTAGCTCTCCTACAACTTGTGTATATTTGCCCCATATAGAAGTAGTCTATAACAAAGTACATATTTTGCATTTTTCAGAATAGAGTAGGGACTGTCCAGAGAGGGATTACTTTGACGACGTTGGCCAGCCTAATCATGTATTGCAATGCATGTGAACTAAAAACCCCAGTTTTATGCAAAGTTTACTAGAAAGGGTGTATAGCAGTGTGCAGAGGGTTCATTCAGAACTTTTAGTTTGGCATGTGGTCACACCCCTTTAGCACCTGATGGGATATATATATATATATATATATATATATATATATATATATATATATGTACACACAGTTGTGTTCAAAATAATAGCAGTGTGTTGAAAAAAGTGAATAAAGCACCAAATCCTTCTAATAGCTTTTATTTCCATCCACACAAATGCATTGGGAACACGACGACACGTTCTATTCCAAATCAAAACATGAAGAAAAATAGATCAAATTTGTGTTGTTCCTCTAAAAAAATTGAAGAAAACTGAATATTAGACGGTTCAAAAAAATCGCAGTGTTTGTATTCTTCTTTACAAACTCAAACATTCACTATATAAACTGAGAAATGTTTGAAGATTTTGCTTTCCTTTGAATGACTTAATGAATATTTGGTTGTAGTCGCACTGTTTGTGAGAACTGCTGTACATCTGTGTTGCATGGAGTCACCCAACTTCTGGCCCCTGTGAACAGGTATTCCAGCCCAGGATGATTGGACTACATTCCACAGTTCTTCTCTATTTCTTGGTTTTGCCTCAGAAACTGCATTTTTGATGTCACCCCACAAGTTTTCTATTGGATTAAGATCCGGGGATTGGGCTGGCCACTCCATAACGTCAATCTTGTTGGTCTGGAACCAAGATGTTGCACGTTTACTGGTGTGTTTGGGGTCGTTGTCTTGTTGGAACACACCCATTTCAAGGGCATTTCCTCTTCAGCATAAGGCAGCATGACCTCTTCAAGTATTCTGATGTATTCAAACTGATCCATGACCCCTGGTATGCGATAAATAGGCCCAACACCGTAGTATGAGAAACATCCCCATATCATGATGCTTGCACCACCATGCTTCACTGTCTTCACTGTGTACTGTGGCTTGAATTCAGTGTTTGGGGGTCGTCTGACAAACTGTCTCCGGCCACTAGACCCAAAAAGAACAATCTTACTTTCATCAGTCCACAAAATGTTGCGCCATTTCTCTTTAGGCCGGTCAATGTGCTCTTTGGCAAATTGTAACCTCTTCAGCACACGTCTTTTTTCCAACAGTGGGACTTTGCGGGGGCTTCTTGCAGATAGCTTGGCTTCACATAGGCGTCTTCTAATTGTAACAGTCCTCACAGGGAACGTCACACACCTTCTTTCATCTTCCTGGATTGTTGGCTGAGTCCTTGTCATTTTGGCTATTCTTCTATCCATTCCAATGGTAGTTTTTCGCTTTCTTCCACGTCTTTCAGGTTTTGGTTGCCATTTTAAAGAATTTGCGATCATTTTAGCTGAGCAGCCTATCATTTTCTGCACTTCTTTATATGTTTTCCCCTCTCCAATTAACTTTTTAATCAAGGTACGCTGTTCTTCTTAACAATGTCTGGAACGACCCATTTTCCTCAGAATTTCAGAGAGAAATGCACTGTAACCAGCATGTACAACATTTGCTGCCTTCCTTCCTTAAATAAGGGCAATAATTGCCACCTGTTTTTCAAAGAATGAATGACCTCACTAATGGAACTCCACACTGCTATTATTTTGAACACGCCCCTTTCAGTGAGTGATTCAATTACACAGAATCAGCGGCATGCATGTCATGACTGTGGGGTCTGTTGGATTTCTATTACTCTACTACACCTGCTAGTAAATTATTTGCCATGTAGAAATATCATTTCTACCAAAAACAGTGATTGATCCGGTTAGTGATTTTGACTGCTATTATTTTGAACACAACTGTATATATATATATATATATATTTTTTTTAATTTATTTATTTAAAAGCTGTTTTGATTTGACCACAAACATATTAATTCCAAGGAAGGAGGGCCTAGCCACCTCCACACCAGGCCATAGTAGAAAGACGCCCTTAGTTTGAAGTGGAATACTGGGGTTATGCCTGGAGCAGTATGCCATAACCCTGGTATTGTTTTTTCAGCCGGAGATCCTCTAACCCAGGGTTGTCAAACTGGCGACCTTCCAGCTGTTGCAAAACTATAAGTCCCATCATGCCTCTGCCCTTGGAAGGCATGCTTGTAACTGTCAATCTTGCAATGCCTCATGGGACTTGTAGTATGGCAACAGCTGGAGGGATGCCAGTTTTGACACCCGTGCAGTCTAACCGCTAAATGTCATCTGAGTGGCTGATTAGCTGCTGGATCACTTTTGGAAGTATGCAGGAGGGTGGTTCTTGGGTGTACCTGGATGACTGGTGAGCCCCGGAACCGATGTGGTGGTTGCGGAGACTGACCACAGAGACTAGCTGAGGAAAGATGGCTAAACTCTGTGATTTAGGAGGACCAGATTGACGCCATGACTTCCGGATCCAGCTGAATGTAAACAAGACCCGGTAACTGGTAACCTGCAAACATTTTTAAAGCGCTGTCTCCAGGTGTCATATGACTAGAGATGAAAAGAAGACACTTCCAGCATGTTATAGTGCAGATCAAAGATAGCACATTTAAAGGGCCAGACATACAGAAAACTGAAGGTTCCATTTGAGTTACGGAGTACAAGCCATCGGTTGGATCTTTATGGGAGAAACTTTGCTTCAGGATCCTCATTAAAAAGATACAAGCGAGTTGACCTGTAAAAGAACAGGTCGCAAAGTGGAGGTGAGCGCGGATTTGAATGGTGGAGGATAATACACACATGCATGGTTTTGAGAGAGCATGTGGATTTCATAAGAGAATATAAGAAAATCACATAAATTATGGACCTTATATTGTATGTGCACTATATATTTTCAGCACTTTTATTCATGAATTATGTGAGTTTTCAGTTTAGTTTGTGAAGAAGTAATTTATGCACTTGCACTGCGGCACTTTTACACTTCTCAGTTATCAGGTACTTGATGGCGAATTGTTGAATATATGTATTTACGAATATACTTTATCACTAGTTATCATATAATTTAGTTTTATATGAAATATTGTTTTTTTTAAGGAGGCCCAGCAAAGCACCTATTAGAGTATAGGACTTCAAAACAGTATCCAAATGCCTATGAATTGAATCCTTAAAGGATGGGATGCCCTCGATAGAAAGAGTAGATTGATCATTTAGTGCAAGAATGCACTTTTACCTAAAGGTGGTGGCAGCATAGCCCAAGTAGTCATGAACTGAGGTCCTCTGTGTCCTGTGGTGGACTATTAACCACTTCCCGACCGGCCGTTGCATATAAACGGCCGGACGGTGGCAGTGCAGGGTCCGGTGGCCGTTTATAAACGGCCTCCCCGCGCCCTGCTTGTGCGCGCTCCCTGGGAGCGCGCAGCACCGCAATCCGGTGCCCGCTGTGTCCTCCGGACACAGTGAAACACCGATCGTCAGACGGGACCTCTGTACGAGGTCCCGATCATGTGATCACTGATTGGCCAATCAGTGATCACATGCAAAGTAGTACGCAAGATGTCACTTGTGACATCATTGCTTACTACGTGTGAAATCTGTGAATGATCACAGAGGTCACATGGTACAAGGCTATTCACAACAGCCTTGTACCATGTGACAAGCTGTGACCAATCACAGCTCACTCAGTACTTCTCAATGAGTGCAAGAATGCAGACAGAGAGAAAGAGAAATGATTGATTTTACATCCTATATGGGTATAAAAGCAATCAGCGTAAAAAAAAAAAAAAATATTCATCACCCCCCACAAGTAGTACAGTGTCACCATGGTGACACTGTACTGCTAGGGTGACAGTATGTAAAAAAAAATATATAAAAATGTAAAAAAAATGTTTAAAAATTATAATTTTTGGTTATAAACTAATCTGGATTTTTTTTTTTTACTAAAAAGATAACGGAATAAATTTTGGCAAAGATTTATGATGAAATATTATTTATTTGCAAAATTTTATAAAACAAACACTTTTTTAAAAAATTTTTGGTCTTTTTCATTTACATAGCAAAAAAAATAAAAATCCCAGTGGTGAATAAATACCACCAAAATAAAGCTTTATCTGTGTCAAAAAAATGGTAAAAAATTAATTTGGGTACAGTGTTGCATGACCGCGCAATTGTCATTCAAATTGTGATAGCGCTGAAAGCTGAAAATTGCCCTGGTCAGGAAGGGGGTGAAAGTGTCTGGACTGGAAGTGGTTAAGAAAAGAAAATTGCAAGCAGACAGACTCCTTATTGCAGGAGAGACTTGCTATGTCTCTTTGGCAATACAATAAACGTACCTACCTGTTCACAACCTTCTATACGTACATAGGTAATAAGTCATTTAGGTCCGGCCAATCAAGATGGCCAAAGATCCTGAACCCACAAAAAGACTGGGTGAAGATGTTGGCCCCACAGAGAGAGAGCAAGGGGAATGTAGTTTAATTTTATAAATGGATGGAAAGTAAAGTAAATAGGAAAATATATAAAACAAGACTAATAGACACTCCAGGTGCTTCTAATAAGAATCAAACTGAAATGAAAAATTGGTGCATAGTGTGGATGAGAAGCTGCAGTGATGCATTTCCCTCTTACCTGTTGTGTAGTGAGAGCTGTACACAGCGAGCAGATGGCCTCAGCATCCTCTTGGGTTTTCTTCTTTAGCTGTAGTAGTTGTGCTGCCTGGATCAGAGGCTCCATCGTCTGAGCTGCTCCGCTGACATGCAGGTTCTTCCCTCGTAGCCATTCTTCCAACTGACTGATGTTATACCTATGCAGAGCACAAAAACAATATTGGTACCATGTGTGCTACTGGGTCTCTACAGCCCTGGTGTCCAACCTGTGGCCCTTTGGCATTTGATGCATTGCCCTTGGAAAAGGAAGCTGCAGACAGTAGCCTGTGTTTTCTTCATGAACCTTCTTACTTAGACCAATGAAGGAAGAATAATCTTTAGACAGGATGTTCTAGTAGTTAAAGTAACAGTAAAGTCGTTCCATGCAAAAAAATAATAATCTGCCTACATTTCTTAGCGAATGGTCACCCATATAGTTTACTAACATTTCCTCCAAATACTATATTTGTATAGTTTATATCAATTACAAGATGGTTCTGGGATGCAGGAAGACATAGAAAAAGATGCTTGGGGCCTTCTCTGATGTCACATATCTCAGGAACTCTGTAGCTCCACAGTGACCTTGGAAGTATCTTACTGCAATAGACAAAGTTATAGCGACTGACATTCCAATACATTCCCTACCCACAGCACCATTGTCCAGCTAATGCTTGGGCTGCCTACAAAGCATAATAACGCCATAAGCAGAGTTAGAACGACAACTGACATTCCTCTACACATTCCCTACCCACAGCACCATTGTCCATCTAATGCTTGGGCTGCCTACAAAGCATAATAATGCCATAAGCAGAGTTAGAATGACAACTGACATTCCTAAACACTCCCCACCCACAGCACCATTGTCCTTCTAATGCTTGGGCTGCCTAAAAAGCCCAATAACGCCATAAGCGGAGTTAGAATGACAACTGACATTCCTATACACTCCCTACCCACAGCACCTGTGTCCATCTAATACTTGGGCTGCCTACAAAGCACAATAATGCCATAAGCGGAGTTAGAATGACAACTGACATTCCTAAACACTCCCTACCCACAGCACCATTGTCCATCTAATGCTTGGGCTGCCTACAAAGCATAATAATGCCATAAGCAGAGTTATAATGACAACTGACATTCCTAAACACTCCCTACCCACAGCACCATTGTCCATCTAATGCTTGCGCTGCCTACAAAGCATAATAATGCCATAAGCAGAGTTAGAATGACAACTGACATTCCTAAACACTCCCTACCCACAGCACCATTGTCCATCTAATGCTTGGCTGCCTACAAAGCATAATAATGCCATAAGCAGAGTTAGAATGACAACTGACATTCCTAAACACTCCCTACCCACAGCACCATTGTCCATCTAATGCTTGGGCTGCCTAAAAAGCACAATAACGCCATAAGCAGACTTAGAATGACAACTGACATTCCTAAACACTCCCTACCCACAGCACCATTGTCCATCTAATGCTTGGGCTGCCTAAAAAGCACAATAACGCCATAAGCGGAGTTAGAATGACAACTGACATTCCTATACACTCCCTACTTTCAGCATCAATGTCATCTACCGCTTGGGGTGGGCCTGGATTCATGGCTACCTGGGAAGCGTAATAATGCTGTAAACAGATTTATAGGAGCAACTGACATTCCTATACACTCCCTACCTACAGCACTGAACGCCATTTACCACTCAGGGCGGGCTAAGAAGCGTGGCTACCTGGGAAGCGTAACATGCGTTGTCTATGTGACATTGTACACAGCTGAGTAAAAATCAGTAATACAGCATTGAGTACAGAGCAGTAAAACAAAAATAAAAAATGTTTAATTTGAGTTCAGTAATTTACTCGCATGTTTATTCGATTAGACCCCTTGCACTTGAGCGTCATAATTTACTGGTGCTTACTCAGGAACTCGTAATGCCCAGATGTAAGGGGCCACAATACTGGCAATGAAGAATAATTTTACTTGTCTATACCAGTATTTCTCAACCTTTTTTCAGGCAAAGTACCCTTTAAAATTATGCACAGTCTTGAGGCACCCCATCCTAAAATGTGAAAAACTATTCTATCAGTTTTATATAACGCAGCAACATCCACACATGTAGGACATCCAACATTAGAAGCGATTTATTCTTCCAAAGCAAATAAACCTTTTCACACTGGTACTGACTAGTATTCCAATGTTTCTCCTCTCCCTCAGTTTTTCTCCATCACTGAGCCAATGTGACCCCAGCGCTGATGGAGAGGACAGGGGAGAGTCAAACTAGGATACTGTGCAGGCAGCTGACATCCTCCTTGTCAACTGATGATGTCATTGGTTGTCAGGACACTGGCGGCTAGAAGGTCATAATGGTGCACAATGAAAACCTGTGGCTTTGTGTAACTAGAAATCAGGCTTGTTCCACCTGCTGGCTTGTATACAAGTTTTGGGTAATTTCTAGAAATGTTGCCAAGGCAACCCTGATGAAACCTCAAGGCACCCTGGTTGAGAAAGGCTGCTCTATACTCATCTAAACGCTTACACACCTTTACTCGCCTATACTCAACTAGATGTCTGCTGCACCCCCATGACATCCGGGTGGTCTCCCAACCAGCACACACAGCTCCACTGTTCCAGATTACATCCATGGCACCCTAGGTGTATGAGCGGTGCTACCTGCAGGACAGAGAGGAGTGGCCACATCCCGCTAAACAGATCAGCCTGTCATTTTCTTGGCTCTTGTGAGTGTTTTTAATCCTATACTATTAAATACAGCATCCAATTACTGCACTTAGCTGGCGCCTCCTGTTCTTCTCTTTTTTGTCTTTCTATGTAGAGTTGCTTTATAGGATGGCTGCCGCTATCTGACATCCAGTGTCCCAGAGACTTTTTTAAAGATTTTAACAGTGTCAATTTACATTCAAGCCGTGCCTGTTTCCAGCACAGAATTATACGTATAAAACATTGCTGGCATCTGACATTATTTATATTGTTCATAATCCATATTGTATCACATTGGAATAATCTCACCTCTGTGCGCCAGAGGTTCTCCTTTATCACTCAGCTCTTGACACACAGTTTTTGGACCCTTGTATGATGGGAGTCACTTTCAGTGGGGGGCCCATGGAATCCAGCTCACTTTGGAGAGGTGTGGAGAGCCCTGTCTCAGCTCCCCATATCCCTCTTATGTGTAAGCCACCCTGTGCCTGCTAGGGGTACATGGTGATCTGTCCTAATATTGTGTAGACATGGCTAGGAGATAGGTGGGGGTTGTGGATTGTTTAATGTCATGTGGTTTCATCCCATTGTTCTATTGTTTGTCTGGCTTGGGAGCAAACTATTATGGGATATATGTGTTTATGTGTATTAGCTTAGTGGGGGGGTGTCTCCAGCAGCCCTCCCTCCTGAAGGGTCTGTCTGCTGGTGTGAAGTTTGAATACCTGTGTGTCTCCTGTTACTAAATGTAGACTGCCCCACCCTGTGACATTATGCAGGGAGGGGGGAATTGTCCCTTGAGTGTCTATATCTTGTATCTGTGTTCAAATAAACTAGTCTACTTTCTGGCTTACTTCAAATCTGTGGTATCTGTTGTCGGTGTTCAGACGGGGAAGCGGTATTCTAACGGAAGTACTCAGCGCAGGCTGGGATGGTTCCGTTACGCCTTGCACAGGAGCGCCACAAGTTTCTGAGCAAACATCAGTAAAATTTGACGCCTGTGTGCAGGGGGTATAAAAACAGCACTTTTCTGATTGAAAAAAAAGCTATTCAGCAATACAAGTAAGGTCTCCAACATCTATCATCTTCTGTAGTTCTTCATCGGTGGTTCCCATGACAAAAAAAGTGAAAAATATATGAAATACGCTGACTGACTGGACCTATGCTATTTATTCTGATGAGAAATGCGATACAAGTGTTTGAGTAAAGAGATCCCTTAGATATTGCAGAAATTGTGCAATTACACTATACAGGGGTCTAAAGTGGCCCACTATCAGAATGAGTGGATGGAAATATGAAAAACTTAGATGGAAAACTGGAAGACAGAAGGCCGCAGCTGTGGCGTCTCTCACATTTAGTGCAGTGGGTTACCTGAGCTGCATGCCGGTGCTCCAGGAACAAATGTCTTTTCGCAGCAGGAGGTTGTTCAGTGACACGGCGTTGATCATGTAGAAGAGCTGTTTGAACACTTGCTGGATAATCTCGGGGTCCAGGCCATGATCACACATGATGATATTGAAGGCATTCAGCTGGCGGATGATGGCTTCCAGGCTGTAGGCGTTGTCGCCGCCATCCACCATACTGGAGGATCTTTTCCGATATCCAGTTGGCTTCACTCCTGACAAACCCTGAATACTCTCTGTTTCCAACATGGCCGACACTAAAAGTGAAAATCAAATGGAATTATAGACTTTCTGCTTAGTTCACTTAAAGGGTAACTCCACTTTTTTCACACTTATTTTGGCTAAGTTGATATACCAAGCCAAGGCAGAAATATAACATAAAAGTGCAGCGCTAGAAATTAAATGTGACACAATAAAAAGTGATCAAAAAAAGTCCCAATTGTGGTGACCTAGGGTAACAATGCACACTAACCAGAAGTGCACATAAATAGTGCAGTGTAGGAAGGATGGAGTTCATAAAGTAGTCATCAGCATGGGGAGGGTAGATGTATTCCCTTGATCAATGAAGGTCCACACGATGATGCAGAGCTAGGCAGAAGAAATCCACTAGATGGCAGAAAATGATCACGGCTCCACCAAAGAAAACACTGCTCCTCCACTGTACACCAAGGATATCTGAGAGAAAAGATGCTCCCCACAAGGGATCAAGAAAAAATGCCCATAGTGAAGTATAGTTAAAAGGTATTTATTAAAAATAGGCAGGATGCATCCAGTATAATGGCAAGAATAGCAAACGAAAAACAGACAGGACTAACCATCCTGTCAGATGTAGTGGCCGCCGGAGCTCCACGATGCTCTGACGGCGTGACGTCAAGGCGTGCATAGGCTCCTCCTTGAGCTCCGGCGGCCACTACATCTGACAGGACGGTTAGTCCTGTCTGTTTTTCGTTTGCTATTTTTGCCATTATACTGGATGCATCCTGCCTATTTTTAATAAATACCTTTTAACTATACTTCACTATGGGCATTTTTTCTTGATCCCTTGTGGGGAGCATCTTTTCTCTCAGATATCCTTGGTGTACAGTGGAGGAGCAGTGTTTTCTTTGGTGGAGCCGTGATCATTTTCTGCCATCTAGTGGATTTCTTCTGCCTAGCTCTGCATCATCCTGTGGACCTTCATTGATCAAGGGAATACATCTACCCACCCCATGCTGATGACTACTTTATGAACTCCATCCTTCCTACACTGCACTATTTATGTGCACTTCTGGTTAGTGTGCATTGTTACCCTAGGTCACCACAATTGGGACTTTTTTTGATCACTTTTTATTGTGTCACATTTAATTTCTAGCGCTGCACTTTTATTTTATTTTCATGTGAGGATTTTTTGGTTATCCTGTGTGCCTCAGCTGCTTGTTTATTGAAAGCGCTCACTTTTTTTGCTCTCTGTTTTATGCTTTTATAAGGCAGAAATATACATTTTTATATATCATATCAATCCGAATATTGTTCTACTATATTTATACAAGGTCTTGAAGTGCCCACTTTTCACAATTATACATTACACAAAGACAATGCAATTCCATGGCTTCCCTTCACAGGGGTTACAACATGAGCTGATGTAGGAGCTGTCAGAAGGGAGTGACTTGTTTCAGATTTGGGTAGACTGTGGCCGGCTAAATATCAGGTTTGACATCTGAATTAAAGTAAAACGTTAAAAGTTTGAGCCTGGATTCACACTGTTGCAGTGTGTTAACCCTCATTATGCTGTGTGTGCGTCGCTTTAATGCAGCACGTTCGTTTCAATGGGCTGCTTACTGCACAAAAATGCCCCAAAAAAAAGGTGCATGCGCTCTATTTTGTCATGTAGAGAACCAAAATACACGGTAGTGTGTTACTGTGCTGTAACACACGTGTTGGCAAAGTGCACAGGGGTGCAATTGGAATAACTGCCACTGCAGCAAACCGACACGTATAATGCAACAGTGTGAGTCCTTATCATACATGTCAAAGTTGTATATTTATCAACTTTATATATTGTACATCATTTGTTATCTCTTTTTGCTATCACACCCAGCGTGGAGGTGAAAGTACCACCGGGCCCATAAGTAAAGCAGCTTGTTTTACTTTTTACTACTGGCATCTATCTACAGCGGTCTACAGTTACCTACCTATTGTTACGGAGCACAGGCACTATGGGGTGGATTTACTAAAGGCAAATAGACTGTGTACTTTTGCAAGAGAATTTGCTCAAGAGCTTAGTAAATGAGGTGAAGCTCTGCTGATCATCCAATCATTCCATCATCCAATCATGTTCAAGCAAAAAAGCGTTTTATTGTTTTTTTGTTTTTTTTTTCCTTGCATAGGATTAGGTATTATTTGCAAAGTGAAGCACCTCATTTACTAAGTTATGAAGCAACTGTGTTTGCAGAGTGCAACTGCACTTGCAAAGTTCACAGTCTATTTGCATTTAGTAAATCAGCCCCTGTATGTACACAGTTTCTCTGTAGCAACTACTAGTTGATGAGCATTCCCCACTTAGTATAATACTACTTTAAGTGCTTGTACACACAATGCCTGTTATAGCGCGCATTTATGCAAATTACTACAACATACAGTAGATGTGTCTTGCCATTCAAAGTAAACTACAAACCAACATATAGGGGTTAGGCAAAAAAAACAGAAACACTATGTGATTTGCAGGTGTGAAAGTGATGACGTTTCGCATTGAAGTGATGCAGCATTCTTTTACTTCTGCTGTGTGATGAGACACCTAGCTAACAGTTGGGAAGCCTCACTTTCGTCATTCACTGCATGCGCTGCTAGTAATACGGAGTCATGTCAGAGCTTACTGAGCTTCAAAGAGGGCAAATTGTTGGTACCACTTAGCTGGTGCCTCTGTGACTGAAGTTGCCGAATTACTTGCCGTGTCGCCAGGTACAGGATCAAGGGTTATGACGGCGTATATAGTTTCTGGGAAAATGTCGTCTGATAAGCAAAAGCATGGTCAACTGCTAGAAAGAGACAAAAGGACATTGTGCAGGATTGTGACCCGAATAGGGAAAAACAACAGCTGCAAAAGTGACTGCAGAGCTCAATCTCAGTCCAGTGAAGACTGAGTCCAGTGACTGGCTGAGATTGAGCTCTGCAGTCACTTTAGCAGCCGTTGTTTTCTTATTCTGGGTCACAATCCTGCACAATGTCCTTTTGGCTCTTTTAGTCAGTTGATCACACTTATGCTTATCAGACGACATTTTCCTGGGAACTGTATATTCCGTCATAACCTTTGATCCTGTACCTGGCGACACGGCAAATAAATTGGCAACTTCAATCACAGAGGCACCAGCTAAGCGGCACCAACAATTTTCCCTCTTTGAAGCCCAGCAAGTTCTGACATGACTCGGTATAACTAGCAGCGCATGCAGTGAACGACGAAAGTAAGGCTTTCCACCTATTAGCTAGGTGTCTCATCACACAGCAGAAGCAAAAGAATGTTACATCGCTTCCGTTTTCAACGTGAAACATGTCGTCACTTTCACACCTGCAAATCATGTAGTATTTCCATTTTTTTGTCTAAGGCTGGCCATACATTATGCAATTTTCCTGAGATTTTTGGTTTAGATTTACCAAAAACCATATACTATGAGGTCAAACCTAAACAACACTTTCAATTGTATCCAGTTAGGCAGGCCCTTGCACTACATAGTTAAAGGTAAATCCAAAAGAAAGTTGTAAGAAAATTGTATAGTGTATGGCCAGCCTAACCCCAGTAAATCCACAGTGCACTGCAACACATCTGCATTATAGCATAGTTCAGGCTAGGTTCACATCTGTGCGGGTGGTGCCGCTGCGGATCCGCATGAAAAATCTGTGCAGCCGCACCACCCGCACAGAGAAATGGGGACCAGCGGGCGGGTGCCATTAGTTCTAATGGCACACCGCCTGCACTGGAAAACGCAACCGTACTGGGAACCGAGGTTCCAGTGCGGGCTGCGTTTTCAGAAAAAGTGCAGGGGCTTTGTCTCTGCGTGTCACAGAGCATGGGAGTCCATTCAAATGAATAGGCTCTCGTGCCCACGCAAAACGTGGCCTGCACGGCTGCATATATGTGAACCGGGACTTAATGCACAGATAGATACATCCTGTACATTGCTTTGCCCTGTGCTGAAAAAAAACTGTGCATGCAGGACCTATTTCACACATTAGCAAAATGAATGGGTTGCATAAGTCAGCACCCCTCACTGCACAGAATCCTGTGGATTACAGTACGCTGTTACGCATGTAAAAGAATAATTCAGTTGCCCGAAATCAGAAGACTAAGCATTGTGCAACACACTAGAGCCTGTCCCACGATTATCTGTCTCTCCCCCAGACGGAGCACTTCACTCACCTATCATTGGCTGTAAGAGACCCTCTGCGATCTTTATGAGCTGCTGGTAGATCTGGATGGACAGATCACTAAGAACCTGACGATATTCGGTGAGGTCGAAGTTACGGAGACAATGCTCGTTCTGCTTGGGAGAATTGCTGGTCATAAAACCCTAAAAGAGGATATATAAATTATCACATACTGTACATAACGTAGGAATCTTTCACATGAGCATCATCAGTTCCATCATGAAAGATGAAAAAAGAAACTGAATCCTCAGTGAATGCAAAGCATTATCTGATTGGTTGGGCTGGAGGGAAGTGGCTACACACTCTCCACCTCGTTCAATCAGATTAGGATTTGAATTTTTTGACAAAATGTAAAGCATTCTGTGAATGGTGCTCATGCTGAGCAGCTGACCTCCTGTGTCCAGAGAGAAGCACAGGACCTGAAAGGTAGTGGAGATCACTGTAGTAGCAATGTCTACTTCGGTGATTTCCAGCATCTAGATCAGGGGTGTCCAAACTTTTTTCAAAGAGGGCCAGACTGGATGAAGTGAACATGACGGAGGGCCGAACATTTTTCCGAACATTCTTTGAACCATTACAATTAAATGCAAATAAATTATTTTATGCCAAGTTAATTGCAAACGACATACTTTTCATTTCATAACATTAAGATCAACTGACAGCTGAGTTTTCACAATGTATTGAAAATAAATTAAAAAAAAACTTACCTGCACTAATGTGAAGGGTGAAAAAGGTAGCTGGAGCTGAAGTCTCTGCTCGGCAGCCGGGAGGGGAAGAGAAACACACTTCACGCTGGAAGCCCGGCCCTGACGTCACCGCCCTCTGTCACTCCCAGCACGGTGCAGTCACGCATGCGCACTACTCTCAAGCAGAAGACTGTCTGCCACAGAAGGGAGGGCCGTGCGACAGCCGCATTTACACAGACCAGGGAGAACGCGCCGCAGTCAGGCATGCGCACTGCCCTCTGCTCTCAAGCAGAAGACTGTCTGCCATAGAAGGGAGGGCCGTGGGAGGGCCACATTACACAGAGCAGGGAGGGCTGTTGGAGGGCCGTATTAAACCGACCCCCGGGCCGTAAATGGCCCACGGGCCGGACTTTGGACATGCCTAATCTAGATGGATCCCACAAGTATATGCATAGTTACGTTGGTTCAAGCTGGACCCAATAAAAAGCAAAAAACAACAATTTTGCACAGCCTCTCTCAGCTTTTTTACCATGGAAGGAAAGGAACTTTGAAAGATTGTTCATGTCTTGGGGAACCCCTACCAAAACTCGTGGTACATTAGCATTCTTAGTAGGTTGTAAAAAGTTTAAAAATGAAGAAACGGGGTAAACGTAAACCTCCTATCGTATGTACTCTCCAGCGCCTCAGGATATGCACAGCCAAAAGGGAAGCCAAGGGTACCAGGACAGCGAAAACCAAAGGAAATGCTTCAGGGGTGCAGCCCTCCTCAGACGGGGAAATCAGCCACTGGATAGAGAGAAAACAGGTGGCGCACACACAAACGAAGCATGTATCTAAAATGCATAGAAAAATGACGATGGCCACAACGGCAGGCAAGGTGTCCTCACTGTCAGTGCGGTCAAATGGCTGATGCATTTCGGGGATGAATCCCTTTCACCAGCAAGGTTCCCACTTTTCATCCATTACACATCTGCATCAGAGGCTGTTCATTAGCTCTGAGGAAAGGGATTCGTCCCCGAAACGCGTCAGTCAGCCATTTGACCGCACTGACAGTGAGGACACCTTGCCTGCCGTTGTGGCCATCGTCATTTTTCTATGCTTTTTAGATACATGCTTCGTCTGTGTGTGCGCCACCTGTTTTCTCTTTAAACGTAAACCTCACCCCTCTCACCACTCTAAAACTAGATTTAGCAATAATCTTTAAATGAATCTACCACTGCTCTGTCCTCAGGGAGCCGCTAACAACCTCTGGAGGAACCGTGGTTGAGAAAGGCCGATTTAACCCGGCCATAAATAGGTCGAATTCCGAAAGAATTTTCTTTCTAAAAACATTTCTAAAAATTTTCGTTTGAATTTCGCACCATTAGTGGGCCACAGCAACGGCCGATTTTCGAGCGACCATTGAATTAGAGCGATCGGGCATGTTGGAAATTTTTTTTAAAAACGAACTAATTTCTAATCAACGATGGGAAAATCGTGTGAGAAATTTAATCGAAAAAGAAATGAGCGTGACCTGTAACCTGGAAAGAAAAGAAAATTCTTGCCCAAAGAAAATTATTTTCTGTAGCAACATTATTATTATTATTATACAGTATTTATAAAGCGCCAATGGTTCGCTCAGCGCTGTACATTACAAAGGGGGACAGAACATGTGACAGAACAATACCAATACAATGCAAAACATGAGGGGATCGAGGGCCCTGCTCTTTGGAGCTTACAATCTAGGAGATGACGTGAAATTAAAAGCTTGGTTGGTCGAATTTCGAAATCAATGGTGGCACCATCGGATTACAAAACGCACAAAATTTCCAATTTTCTACAGACAATTTGTTCGGAATTTGACCCGAGTATGGCCTGCATTTGTATTGTTTTTGTGGCATGCAATGGGTTACATTGGTGGTGTTCTCATCAGGTAAGCCATATAAAGCATTGTGATTCTGTGTAATGAATACAGTATGTTGATTTATATAGAGCGTAGTTGGGGGTGTAGGTACACACTTACCTCATCTCCGCTATATTGCTTCAAACAATGGAGGACACGGCTGGAGTTTTGAGAGCCAGAATGACGTAATCCGGAAGTCATCATTGTGTTTCTGCCAATCAAACAAAAATATTTTAATATGATGTGAATGTACAATATATATGTAAAGTGCTGCGTAAATTGATGGCGCTATATAAGTACCTGAAATAAATAAATAGTGTTGCTCTGAATTCTCCGTGGCCCTTCAATAAAAAAAGTTCTAAGATTTCACCATAAGATCCAAAATGAATATATTATAAAACCAGGAATGTAATATCTTAAATCTGATATGGATTTTATGGGGTTGATTTACTAAAACTGGAGAGTGCAAAATCTGGTGCAGCTGTGCATGGGAGCCAATCAGCTTCTAACTTCAGCTTGTTCAATTAACCACAAGTCCGGACACTTTCACCCCCTTTCTGTCCCGGCCAATTGTCAGCTTTCAGCGCTATCACACTTTCAATGACAATTGCGCGGTCATGCAACACTGTACCCATATGAAATTTTTAGCATTTTTTTGACAGATAAAACTTTATTTTGGTGGTATTTATTCATCATTGGGATTTTTTATATTTTTTATTATATAAATGAAAAGTGCAAACATTTTGAAAAAAAAAAGTTTTTCTGATAAAATTTTGCAAATAAATAATCTTTCTTCATGAATCTTGGCCAAAATGTATTCAGCTATCTTTGTAGCAAAAAAAAAAAAATAACCCAAATTAGTTTATAATCCAAAATTATAATTTTGCAACATTTTCTTTTAAATTTTTCTTTTTTTTTTTTTTTATATTATTATTTATGTGTTTTTTTTTCTTCTTAACATACTGTCACCCTAGCAGTACAGTACTACTTGGGGGGGGTGATGAATTTTTTTTTTTTTTTTTTTTAAATTTACACTGATTGTTTTTACACCCATAAAGGCTGGAAAAGCAATCATTTCTCCTCTCTGTCTGCATTCTTGCAGCCATTGAGAAATACTGTGAGAGCTGTGATTGGTCACAGCTTGTCACATGGTACAAGGCTGTTGTGAATAGCCCTGTACCATGTGACCTCTGTGATCATTCACAGATTTCACACGTAGTAAGCAATGATGTCAGAAGTGACACCTTGCTTACTACTATTCATGTGATCACTGATTGGCCAATCAATGATCACATGATTGGGACCTCACGCAGAGGTCCCGTACAGCGATTGGTGTTCACCAGATCGCAGTGCCGCGAGCTCCCAGGGAGCGCGCACAAGCTGAAAATGCAGGCTCCGTTTATGAACAGCAACCCGCTCCTGTCAGGCCGTTTATATACATGGGCTGGACGGGAAGTGGTTAAGATTTGACAATAAAACCTGGTAGCTGATTGGTTTCTCTGCAGAACTGCACCAGATTTTGCACTCTCCACTTTTAGTAATTCACCCCCTATTTGTTTATGAACCCTGAAGATAGCTGGTCATGTCCCTCAGCAATCGATTAGCTGCAACATGGTCCTTCCCACCCCGCAGTTGCATGTAACAAAGGGGTGAGCTGCTTGTGACATCATTGACCTAATATGGTCAGATTTGATTAATAACATTGTCCAAACATGGTCACATGAGGTCAATGATGTCACAAGCATCCTGCTCCCTTGTTATGTGCTGCTGCGGGGAATACCATGGCTGCAGATCCTTGGGCTCTGGCTTGGCAGGAGTGGCTGCTTCTTTTTGGAAACACCAGCCTCTGCTCACCCCTAGTCTCCAAGAATAGGTGGATCGATTCAGAATTTATGTTTTCTCACAGTCACAACCTCTTAACTTTCCAGAATATATTCGCTGGTGATGGTTAAAACATACTGTACATGTGTGATTTTTTTTCTAAAATAAAGCTTTGCAATTGTTTTCATTATTTTTTGGGGGGCGCAGTCTTGCCCCACTTTTTTATTCACTTATGTAGCATAGATTTATGGGCAATGCATCACATCACCTTTACCAAAACTAATCTATCTATCTATCTATCTATACAGTATTTTCTGGCGTATAAGACTACTTTTTTTACTTAAAAATATACCCCAAAAATTGGGGGTCGTCTTATACGTGGGGTATAAAATGTGAACCTTGAGTTTGTTTGGGTCAAGCTGGCTGGATGTGCAGTAATGTACATACAGTATACCGCGCAGAGCCAAGCTGGCTCAAAACAAATGTCCCTATGACAGATTAATCTGTCAGCCCGCTGGATGTGCGGTATATACAGTATACTGCGCTGAGCCAAGCGGCTTCAAAACGTACCGGTACGTCCCTACTGTAATCAGCCCGCTGGATGTGTGTATGTACGGTAGCTGAGTCAGAGAGGTGGGCTGATGATGTCACAACCTCAGCCAATCCGAGCAAGCTTTGTATTCATTAGTAGAATACATCGCTCGCTGTGATTGGCCCAGTGTATACTGTATGTAGCCGCAGCTACCGTACATACACGCATCCAGCGGTCTGATTACAGTAGGGACGTACCGGTACGTTTTGAAACCACTTGGCTCAGCGCAGTATACTGTATATACCGCACATCCAGCGGGCTGACAGATTAATCTCTCATAGGGACATTTGTTTTGAGCCAGCTTGGCACAGTGTGGTATACTGTATGTACATTACTGCACATCCAGCGGGCTGTATATATACTGTATACTATATGTAGCCGAAGATGCCGTATTACCGCACATCCAGCGGGCTGTATATTACTGTATACTGTATGTAGCGAAGATTCCGTATTACCGCACATCCAGCGGGCTGTATATATACTGTATACTGTATGTAGCCGAAGATGCCGTATTACCGCACATCCAGCAGTAACCATCTGATTTGGAATTTGATCCATATGATGACTGTCTTACAAATGTATCACAAGATGTCATTCATGAACTTATGATGTCAGAGGATGAACATGACGATTTTGAAGTATTTTAAGTACCGGTAAGTCATAACTATTTCAATTAAAAAATCTGATGTTTTTAAATGGTGTTGCCTCGGAAGGGGGGTAGTCTTATACGGCGAGTATAGCCCAAAACCTATGTCTTAACTGGAAAATTAGGGGGTCGTCTTACACACCCAGTTGCCTTATACGCCGAAAAATACGGTATATATATATATATTTATATATACATATATATATCTATATATACATTATATATATATATATATATATAGATAGATGTATATATATTTTATATTTTATATATATATATATATATATATAATTTTATATGAAGTGATGCACCGGTGCTTTATATTTTTTAATATTTTCCTACTTGCAAAAAAAAAATCAAAAATCTGTGTTCTAGAAAATTTTGTTCCCACTTTTGTTTTTTTTTTTTAAAAAAAAAGTGCTAAATCTCATGCATATGGGTGTAAGGACGCAAAATTATATTGCTCGACGCTTGAGACATGCAGTTCTGGGCGCTGGGTGGGTTTTTTTTTTTTTTTTAACATCTAGCTCTGCTGCGGGCAAGCAGCAGGATTTACTTTATCTGATGATATTTTCATGTCAGTTTTCGATGCAATTTTTAGCCTGAATTCACACTTGTGCGGTGTGGCATATCGCATGTGATTCGCATAGGAATTCCTGTGCAAATCACATGCAAATTCTGTGCGGTTGATTTGAGTCATACATTTTGTACGGCTCAAATCGCATTTATCCGCAGCAGAAAGGTGCAGGTCCCAGGTCCGCACTAGAATCGGATCGCATGGGTATTCACACCTATGCGATCCGATTCTGCACATCGCATCGTGTTTTGCGCACCGATTTCGGGGGTGTTAACTTAACATACACACCTGCAGCAATTTCCATGAATGGGGTGGGACTGTGATACGGTGAGGAGTTTGCACAGAAACCGCTGCAAATTCCGCACCACATCAGTGTGAATCCAGTTTCAAAGGTAGTTTATTTTTTCAGCGGTTCAGGTGTGACTCAAATGGGAAATCGGTTTTCTAGCCACTTCTATGCAAAACTGCCTTCCAGCCACTTCTGTGCTAAACTGGCTATAAATCGCATCCTAAGCGAACAGAATGCCACTACATGCTGTGCGAGTTTGGAACGCCTCACTCCAAACTTTTTTTTTTTTTTTTTAACCGGCTCAAAATCGCACCATATAGATATGAAAGTCCTTCATAGAAAACAATGCATTTTTCAGATGCCACGTGAATCTATGCTTTTCCGATCACATCATGTGAACTGGGACGAAGGTTTTATTCACACCTGGGCGTTCTGGGATTGCGGCAGAAATGATGCGATTCTGCCCACAATCTCAAAACACACTACAATCGCAAATGCAGGTTCAGGTACCATTATTTTCAATGGCCCATAAAATGCAGTTTTTTTTTCCATGCATTATAGTGCAGCAATTGCGGCAAATCGCACTGCGTCACACTTATCGCCCAAAAAGGAGCAGGAGGGTTTTTTTTTCATTCGCAGCAAAATGGCGCTGTGTTTTAGGCGCCATTCAAAAAAATGGCACCTGAACCTTTTTTTATGATTGTAGTGCATTTTGAGATCATGGACAGAATTACAGTGATTCTGCCGCATTCCCAACATACCCGGGAGTGAATGAAGCCTCACGGAGAGGACACCAGAGCTTGACAGGCAGTATTTTGTCTGCACCAAGGCCAAACATTCCAGGGGATCCGGGCCATTTTGATTTCTTTTATCATTATGATTTTAATTTTTAAAAACAACTATTTGATAACAAATTTTTTCATATTTTTTTTTTTTTTTTCATCATCCTTCAATAAAAAAAAAAAAAAAAGAGTTTTTTTGTCATGAACATTTCATATTTTCAATATCAATTTTTTTTTTTTTTTCATGATTTTTTTTTTTTTTGCCAGGGGATGCGAAAAACTTTTTACAACTACTGATTTTTTTTTTATCGCTGCTAACATTCCAGAAATTATCTGTGTATAATATTTTTTCTGGGATAATTTTTTTTCTTTAAATTTTTTATTGAGGGCTCCAAAAAGAAAAAGAAAAAGAAACCATGCAGATTAAAGGTCACCAGTTTGACATGTTACTCTCCACAAGCTGCCACTTCTCAGGAGCATTTTTTTTTCTCACCACACAGGTTTTATTGCAAACTTTTAGGGCTAGTTCACACTAGATTTTCAGTGCGCTATTTTTTGCATTTGCATGCACAGTTTTTTCATGTATTCTAATGGCCCTGGTTCACACCAGTGCATTTTATTTTTTCCAGTTTTTTTTTTTTTTTCTGGTGCAGAAAAAAAAAGCAGAACATGCTGCGTTTGTTCTGCACAGAACCGTACTGGAAACATAGCAAACTGCATCAAAACTGCACCAGAGCTGCGTGTGGTGTGAACTGTAAGCAAAAACATATCCAGAATGTATCCAGAGTGTTTTTTTTGTAGTGTGAACTGGCCCTTAGGATTAGTTCACATTAGATTTTTTTTTTTTTTTTCTGCATCAAAAACGCATGCGCAGTGTTTTCCATGTTTTCCAGTGGCCCTGGTTCACACTAGTGCAGTCATTTTCCAGTTTTTTTTTTTCTGCTTCACAAATGCATGAACAGTTTTTTTTTTCCATTTTATTCCATGTAATGGCCCTGATTCACACTAGTGCAGTCATTTCCAGTGCATTTAGCAAACTGCATCAAAACTGCACCGGAGCTGCGTGTGGTGTGAACTGTAAACAAAAACATATCCGGAATGCATCAGGAGTGTGTTTTTGTGGTGTCAACTGGTCCTTAAAGCAGAGCTCCACCCAAAAGGGGAAGTTCTGCTTTAAGGACTGCTCCCCCGCTCCCCCGAATTTGACAGGTACCCACTTCCGGTACGATCGCCTAGGCAATCGGAAGTGAAAGGTGTCCTCCCTCCCTGTAGTCTTCTGGGACAAGTGACAGGTCCCAGAAGACTACAGGACCATTCATGAAGCGCAGCGCTACTCGCACATGTGCAGTAGGTACCCTGGCTGTGAAGCCACAAGCTGTCACAGCCGGGTGCCCACACTGAAGATGCCGGCGGCTGGAATACAGGACGGCCGGTGAAACGGGCTGCAGGGGACACACCACGGCACCGAGGGACAGGTAAGTGGCTGTTTTGGCACGCAACTTTCTGGGACATGTCAGAGGTCCCAGAAAGCTGAAGGACCATTCACAAAGTGCAGTGAGGCTCATGCATGTGCAATAGGAAGCCGGCTGTGAAACCACTAGGACTCTCAGCCAGATTCTCTTAGTAAACATGCCGGGGACCCAAAGACTGGCGAAAAACCGGCCTGCGTGAGGACAGGTAAGTGTCCTTTTTATTAAAAGTCAGCAGCTTTTTTTTTTTTGTAGCTGCCGACTTTTTATTTTTTGACAGGTGAGTGGAACTCTGTTTTTTAAGCATTTTTCAAATTTATTTATCTCCTCAAATTACATGTTGAAATGGCAGCACAACAAAACTGCAGCATGCAGCTCTCTTTTCAATGCAACGCATTGGTAGGAATGAACCTCCGAGAATATAATGGATTTTGGATGTCCATGAAGTGGATGGTATACAACATGTTTAAAGTCTATCCTGTACAGACTCTGACAGTGTCATTTTACAAACACCTATATCAGAGTTCTTATGACAGGATGTGGACTCGAGGCTTTATAGAAAAAACATTAGCTCAGAAAACTTTAAAGTGCTTGTAATTTTACATATACCCAGTGAAGTGATGGCCACATGGGGATGAAATAAAACAAATTTTTCTACATATTTTTGTACCTGTTTATCTGCAGTCTTTTCTTCTCTACATTAATTCAAAGTGCTGAATTTTTAAAGCTTGTCTGAAAGTTCACAAAAAAAAGCGTCCAGAGAGCTGAAGTTACACTCTGCAGAGCTCAGTGAGGAACGTTCTGAGAGCTGATTGGAGGGAAGAGACACCCCCCTCCACAAAGCCCAAAGGAACAGAGCTGACGCTGTCAATCAGCTGGAGGTCCCGCCCCTGTCACCATTTTTCTCTTGGTGTCAGAAAAACATGTCAGAAGTGACTCATGCTGATAGCAGAGGAACAAAGCAGCAGACAGAAATGACACTTAGTGCTTTTAATTGAGACAAGTACACACACTATAGAGGGATATCCCACATGGAAGAAAAATATATTTTAAAAATATTCTTCCAATAAATTGCCATATATTTGAAAATACTACAATTTTGGCCATATGTTAAAAAAATCTTAATATATTATTTAAAAAATATATATATTTTTAAAAAATATATATTTTTTAAATATATTCTTCTGATTTTTTTTTTAACATGTAAACAGGTCATTTTAACATATACTTGTAAATGCATTACAAAAATGTAGATTTGTATTTTTAAAGACATACAGTATATTTAAAATGTATTTTTAAAAATATTTTTCATATATTTTCGTAATAAAAACGTATTTCAACATGCAGTACATATATATATATATATATATATATATATATATATATATATATATATATATTATATATATTTTTTCTTTTTTATTTATTTATTGAAATATATTTTAAATATTTTGAATATGGCCAAAATTGTAGTATTTCAAATATATGGCAATATATTTGGGAAGAATATTTTTAAAATATTTTAAAAATATATTTCAAAGATATTTTTCTTCCATATGGGATGCTTTGTTCATATTTCATGGTGATGTTTACAACCACTTTAAGTCTCAGTCTTAGGGCTCGTTCACACTTGGCTGTTTTGCCAACGCTTGCCAAACGCCCCTATAGCGTTTGGCAAGCGTTGGTCCGGCGTTTGCTGAGCGTTTTTAACGCTCGGCAAACGCTCCGCAAACGCCGCATGCGCGGTTTAGCGGCGGTTGCTAGGCGTTTGCCGAGCGTTAATAACGCCCCTCAAACGCCTATAATGCAGTTTGAGTGGTGTTACCGCTCCGCAAACGCCCCGCAACCGCGTCGCAAACCGCACCGCAAACGCCGGCCGGGCGTTTGCGGAGCGGCACCATAGACGAGAGTAGGAGGCTTCAAAGCCTCCTGACTCGTCCAGAGGCGTCCGTTTTGCCGCGACGCAACGCGACGCAAACGCTCCCGTTAGAACAGCACCATGTGCTGTAATGTGCAGAATTGGCAGAGGCGTTTGGGAAGCGGTAAAAACGCTTCCCAAACGCCTCTCTGCCGCCTGCACACAAGGCTAGTGTGAACGTAGCCTTACAATGTGACATAACTTGTAGCTTGCTGTACAGAAAAACAAAAAAGTGTGACAGTAATAAATTAACATTCTAATTGATTGGAAGAATGTGATTGACCTGCATGTCCATTTTCGATGCAGACTATAGTGGAGACAGACAATCCCTGCTAGATGTTGAGTTCTTACCTTCAGCACTTTCTTGATGCCATTGATGGTGGAGGTGAGCAGTGAGTGCACCTTCTGATCGTCATTAACATAGTCGGCGTGTCTGATGCACATAAACAGAATGTACGCAGGCAGACATGGCACGGTCGCAGAGGTCAGCTCAGGCTTCAGGTCTGCAAGAGACAGAACAATTATAAGGTGGAATGATGATGGTTAAAGTGATTGTAAATGTTTATTTATTATTTCAGGTACTTATATAGCGCTGTCAATTTACGCAGCACTTTTATATATATATATTGTACATTCACATCAGTCCCTAACCCTCAAGGGGTGTACAATCTAAGGTCCCTAACTCACATTCATACATACACATATTAGGGCCAATTTTTTAGACAGGATCCAATTAACCTACCAGCATGTCTTTGGAGTGTGGGAGGAAACCGGAGTACCCGGAGGAAACCCATGCAGGCACAGGGAGAACGTGAAAACTCCAGGCAGGTGGTGCTGTGGTTGGGATTTGAACCAATGCCCCTAGTACTGCCAGGAGCAAGTGCTAACCACTTAGCCACTGTGCTGCCCATTTTTAAATGATAAATATGTTATACTTACTTGCTCTGTGCAACGATTTTACACAGAGTGGCCCTAAACTTCCTCTTCTGGGGTCCCTCGCCGGCGCTATTGGCTCCTCCTCCCATCCAAGTGCCCAGGCACTCATGTGGGCTCGATCCCGAGCTGGGCTGTATGCTTCTATTGACACAGCAAGGCTCAGCCTCTCCCACCTTCCCTTCTCATAGGATTTGATTGACAGCAGCAGGAGCCAATACTTCCTGTTGCTGCCTCTGTACCTGTGAGAAGAGGGAGACAGCAACACTGCTACCGTAGGGCACAACACTGGATGGAGATCGGGCTCAGGTAAGAGTACTTAAGATGAGGATGGGGGGCAGCTGATCATGGAAGGTTTTCACTTTAATGTAGAGAATGTAATACAGCAAAAAACCTTTAGCCTTTACAACCACTTTAAAGTAGAGCTCCACCCAAAAGGGGAAGTTACGCTTTAAGGACTGCTCCCCCGCTCCCCATTAAGGATTGGCACCTTTGGGGGGTGGGGGGGAGTGGGTACCCGAATCTAACAGGTACTTGCTCCCACTTCCGGTCTGATCGCCTAGGCGATCGGAAACGGAAGGTGTCCGTCCCTCCCTCCCCGTAGTCTTTTGGGACATGTGACAAGTCCCAGAAGACTACAGGACCATTCACGAAGCGCTGCGCTACTCACGCATGCGCAGTGGGCACTCAGCCGTGAAGTCGCAAGCTGTCACAGCCGGGTGCCCACACTGAAGATGCCGGCCTCCTGGAATACAGGAGGGCCGGTGAAACGGGATGCGGGGGACACACCACAGGACCGAGGGACAGGTAAGTGGCTATTTTTTAAGTCAGCAGCTACAGTTTTTGTAGCTGCTGACTTTTATTTTTTGATAGGTCGAGTGGAACTCCGCTTTAACAACAGATCCACGTGGGAGAGTTTTAGATGCTATTAATATTACTCTTTGTAGCAACGTTTGCTAAACAGACAGAACTAATGTCTCCTTAGGGTGTAAGCTACATGCAGCATGTAGTAGCAATCACATGTAAACAGAACATTCTGAAAAATATTATGTGAAATTATTTCTTGCAACATGCTAAGCTTACACCATGTTTAATGAATGACTTCTATTTTGAGCAATTAAACCTTGAAGGCCCATTGACATTTCTGTGCTGTGTTATCAAGCATTAGTTAATGTGTGCGATATTTCACGTTAATGTGTGTTGCAGTAAGGCAGCCCCTTTGAAATGAATAGGTTGCCAACACATCAAATTGTCCTGAAAATCAGATGGGCCACAAATTTGAGATGCAACACACGGCAATGCACTATGGTGCGTTGCTGCACTCCACAGCACGGGTGTCAAACTGGCGGCCCTTCAGCCGTTGCCAAACTACAAGTCCCATAAGGCATTGAAAGATTGACAGTTAAAAGCATGACTCCCAAGGGCAGAGGCATGATGGGACTTGTAGTTTCGCACCAGTTTGACACCCCGCTCTACAACATAAGGTATGTGTTGCACCAAGAGCGTTGGAGTGACATTCAAAATGAATGGCCTTGCAACAAATAAAGCAATAGTGCGAATGAGCCCTAAAGATTTTAATGGTGTGACTGATCTTCTAAAAATCATTTTCATTTTCCGCATCCAGTGAGAACTGGAAATAATTTTGCCTAAAGAGTATCAGATTCCATTCTCCACCATCCAAGATTTATGTGTGTCAATTCCCAGGAGAATTCAGGCCATCTTGGATGCCAAAAGCGGTCCAACACCATATTAGTTAACGATTTTTTTACCTGGTGTTTCCAAAATTTTGTCCAACCCCTGTATGTGTAAATGTATCTGTGCCTCCACCTCTTAGCCATCGGCTTGCAGAGCAGCCATGCTAACTGCAAGCTTGCTTTTACCTTTCAGCGTGTGTGCAGCAACTGTATTGAGTGAAATGAAAGATGATTTTTGGACTTCAATACCTAAATGTACTAAAATGCTGTCCTTATCTGCTTGCCTGGAATTTTACTGACCTACTATGAGGTTCCTGATGAGGAGAGGCTCGTCCTCCTTATAATACTCCAGCATGCCCTGGAAATCCTTCTCGATACGCTGTACCGTCACCTGCCTGGTCAGCTCTGCCTGCTTCCGCTCTGGTTGAATAATGTCTGGAGAGCCTGCATTCAGGAAAACAACACCATTGCGCATGTTAGAGCCATCAATGTCAATCATTTGCACATCTCTGTGTTCAGAAGTTTTGGACAGTTTGTTATTAACTTCAGACAACATGCCTTCAATATACAGCCATAGGTGAATGCTTACATTAGCAGGGGATACTGAGTTCATGCTGAACAGGTTCTACATTACAAGGAAATCAAGATATTATCGATATAACACATACAGTGGGGATCGAAAGTTTGGGCACCCCAGCTAAAATTTTGTATTAATGTGCATAAAGAAGCCAAGGAAAGATGGAAAAATCTCCAAAAGGCATCAAATTACAGATTAGAAATTCTTATAATATGTCAACAAAAGTTAGATTTTATATCCATCATTTACACTTTCAAAATAATAGAAAACAAAAAAATGGCGTCTGCAAAAGTTTGGGCACCCTGCAGAATTTATAGCATGCACTGCCCCCTTTGCAAAGCTGAGACCTATCAGTGTCATGGATTGTTCTCAATCATCGTCTGGGAAGACCAGGTGATGTCAATCTCAAAGGTTTTAAATGTCCAGACTCATCTGACCTTGCCCCAACAATCAGCACCATGGGTTCTTCTAAGCAGTTATCTAGAAAACTGAAACTGAAAATAGTTGACGCTCACAAAGCTGGAGAAGGCTATAAGAAGATAGCAAAGCGTTTTCAGATGTCAATATCCTCTGTTCGGAATGTAATTAAGAAATGGCAGTCATCAGGAACAGTGGAAGTTAAAGCAAAATCTGGAAGACCAAGAAAAATATCAGACAGAACAGCTCGCAGGATTGTGAGAAAAACAATTCAAAACCCACGTTTGACTGCACGATCCCTCCAGAAAGATGTGGCAGACACTGGAGTTGTGGTACACTATTCCACTATAAAGAGATACTTGTACAAATATGGTCTTCATGGAAGAGTCATCAGAAGAAAACCTCTTCTACGTCCTCACCACAAAAATCATTGTTTTAAACTTTGCAAATGAACATATAGACAAGCCTGATGCATTTTGGAAACAAGTTCTGTGGACCGATGAGGTTAAAATTGAACTTTTTGGCCGGAATGAGCAAAGTTACGTTTGGAGAAGAAGGGGCACAGAATTGAATGAAAAGAACCTCTGTCCAACTGTTAAGCATGGGGTTGGATCAATCATGCTTTGGGGTTTGTGTTGCAGCCAGTGGCACAGGGAACATCTCACGAGTAGAAGGAAAAATGGATTCAATAAAATTTCAGCAAATTTTGGATGGTAACTTGATGCCATCTGTGAAAAAGCTGAAGTTATAGAGAGGATGGCTTCTACAAATGGATAATGATCCTAAACACACCTCGAAATCCACGGGGGATTACATCAAGAGGCGTAAACTGAAGGTTTTGCCATGGCCTTCACAATCTCCTGACCTCAACATAATTGAAAATCTGTGGATAGACCTTAAAAGAGCAGTGCGTGACAGACAGCCCAGAAATCTCAAAGAACTGGAAGACTTTTGTAAGGAAGAATGGGCAAAGATACCTCAAACAAGAATTGAAAGACTCTTGGCTGGCTACAAAAAGCGTTTACAAGCTGTGATACTTGCCAAAGGGGGCAGTACAAGATATTAACTCTGCAGGGTGCCCAAACTTTTGCAGCCGCCATTTTTTTGTTTTCTGTTATTTTGAAAGTGTAAATGATGGAAATAAAATCTAACTTTTGTTGACATATTATAAGAATGTCTAATCTGTAATTTGATGCCTTTTGGAGATTTTTCCATCTTTCCTTGGCTTCTTTATGCACATTAATACAAATTTTTAGCTGGGGTGCCTAAACTTTCGATCCCCACTGTATGTATTTAATTCCACAGCTCACCAGAAGATACGAACATTGCTGTAGTGCATGAAAAGCCAAGCATAAGTTTTCATTTTGGACAGAGCAGTGAAAGGGTAACGAGGAACTAAACTCTGGAAGCTGTGGCCAAATAAAGGGCAGAGGATAAAGGACTAATCACCAGTATTGCCTGGGGTCTCCCTGTCACTGACCTTTTCCCATTACTAACTTACCATGCCTTCTTCTGCATCATGTCTCTGTGTGGAGATGGCCATCTTCTTACAGGAGCAAGGTTTTGTTTCCTCATGTGACAGCTACATCACCCCTTCCCAATTACCGATGGGGAATATTCAAGAAGCAAAAGTTGAGGTGGAGGAAGCACAGAACCACAGGATGGATGAATCAGACACAGGGAGATCCTTGCACTGAACGGTCTAAGGTACCGCTTTCTTTCCAGCAAGGAGAACAGTGAGCAGCAGTGAGTACTGACATCACTCACTTCAAATCTGGAGAGACTAGCGGTCAGAGTAAGTGAAGCCTTAGACGATCTCATCCTGCTAATAAATAGCTAAGAGGCTGAATGCACAGGACAGCTTAGGCATGAGAGGTAAACAGGTATTTTCAGGAGCAATTCAAGATCAAATGTACATTTTTCAGGGTACTGAGGCACAATTAAAATTACTAGATGTTCAGGTCCACTTTGAAACCTAAATCAGATTTCCTGTCTCAGAGACAAGGAGGGAAAGAAAACCTCTCTAACCCTAGGTTCACATCTGTGCGGGTGGTGCGGCTGCAGATCCGCACGAAAATCCGTGCAGCCGCACCACCTGCACAGAGAATTGCAGACCCGCGGACAGGTGCCATTAATTCTAAGGGAAATGTTAACTACCATAGCACACCTTCTTCTGAACTAGCTCTCTGGCGGCCTCCCCGCTTAAACAGTTTTAGTTACTGAACCAAAGTAAGCACACTGGAGGTGACATCAAAGCAATATCAGAATTCCTGAACTGTGTGGTCCTGGGTTATTAATATAAAAGTATTAAAGCTGTTAGATCAGCATGGAAGCCAGGAAATTGGTGGTCTCAGAAGGAAAAGCTAGCCATGGTGGCCTACAAGTTTGTGGTTGGCGCAGTCCTTTAACCATTTTTGATCCATATGGGCACCAAAAGCTCCCAATCCCTGGGCTGAGATCAACCTATACCCACAATGGGGATTTACTGAATTGTTCCCCTGAATACCCATACACTAAACATCAGGGTGCGGTTTGGCTATACCTTCCTGTTTAGGACAAATTTACATCAGCCTAAGTTTAAGCACCAAAAAATGGTCTGGACTCAAACACTGTACCTTCTGATTCCTGCATCTTCTTCTTCTGATACAGCTTCAGCTGCTTCTTCAGTTTCTTCTCATTCTTCTCCGACTTCTCCAACAATTCTTTTAGGTCCTGTTAAGAAAACAGCTTTGTGAACATCTCCATAAGCTGAAAATCCTGGAAGTAAAATGTTGTACTTGGAAGAAGAACTCCACCAGAACTGTATGGTGAGTGGAATCTTACAAGGTTCTCATTGGTGAGTCGTGTGATTTCCTGCTGGAGGCCGAACTCCACCTGAGCCTCAGGAGAGAGCTGCAGAGCCTGGAGGAGAACTTGCTGTTGCTTCTCTAGTTCCTCCTTTAGAGACTCGATCTGAGAGGTCATGGCCTCCATCTCATCCTCGTGCTGCTGGCTCTGGGCCTGTAGTTGAGCCTCCAGGAGCCTGCGGGAAAGATATGGACATTTAGATGTGAGCAACTGTGACAGTAAGCAAAGGGTTCCAACTTTACCAAACTTGGAAAACTTTACCAAACAGGCAGAAAATCTCCACTCCAATTACATAGGATAACTGTTACCCAATCAAGCCAATTTAAGGTGGAGTAGGCAAGCATGTCAAGCCTGTAGGAGGAGATGACTCTACTCTCATGGTTAGAAAAGGTCATCCCATTGCTAATCATTCCTCTGCCCACTCCACTCAGCTCACTTGAACATGTATGATTTGTATGCTGAAACAAGCTTAGCATACATGTTTATATGACAACTCATAGACATGTCTCTGTATCATGTTCATGGTCAACAACTGTTATATGTCCATGACAAGCTTAAAGTGGTTGCAAACCCTCACATATACCCAGTGAAGTGATTGACCTCAGGTGATACGCAGAGATTAAACAAATCCTCCTACATAAAGTGTACCTGTTTATCTGCAGTCATCTCTTCTCTACACCTGTTACATCTGTTCAAAAAGCTGAAATTATAAAGTTTGCCTGAGAGTTCAGAAAAAAGGGGGCGGAGAGCTGAAATTACACTCTGCAGAGCTCAGTAAGGGGAGGTCTGAGAGATGATTGGAAGGGACACCCCCCCCTCCAAGCAGCTCACAGGAACAGAGCTGGGGCTGTCAATCTGCTGGTTGTCCCTCCCCGTCACCTTTTTTCTCTTGGTGTCAGGAAAACTTGTCAGAAGTGATTCACGCTGACAGCAGAGGAACGAAGCAGCAGACAGAAGACACTTAGAGCTCCTAATAGAAACATGCACACAGTGGGATATACTTTCATATTTCATGTCTGAGGTTTACAATCACTTTAAAAGTAGAAGAAAAGCCTAACACTAACTATTCTTAAGAATGTTCACCCCCCTCCTCCTACCTATCCTGCGTAAAAAAAAAAAAAAAAAATCTGTATACTTATGTTTTTTTAGCCCACTCTGGTCTAGTCATGTGATCCTGCAGCTCCTGCAATCCAGTGTCAAGGAGCGCTCAACAACGGCTGGGAATTCCAAGAGTGGTGACGTCACTCATAGGCTCCTATGGCCCAGCTGTTGTCAGCTTCCTCTCCCTTGCAGCAGCAGCCAATCACTGACACAATGGATCAAGAGCTGCAAGATCATGTGACCAGACTAAAAAAAAAATTAATCTTTTTGTATACAGCGTGAGCAGGACATGCAGAAGGAGGAGGGAAGGAAGATTTTTAAGGACAGTTAGTGTTGGGCTTGAATTCCACTTTAAAGTAAACCCTGTACTGGTGGTGGTCATGGCCGTGGTGGGGGTGGGTTTTACTAAACAGCCTGCAGGGACACACAGCTCATAATACAAGCTGACAGCATTTTATTTATTATATATTCCAGATATTTGTATAGTGCCATCAATTTACACAGCGCTTTACATATATATAGTACATTCACATCAGTCCCTAACCCTCAAGGGGGGTACAATCTAAGGTCCCTAACTTACATTCATACATACACATACTAGGGACAATTAACCTACCAGCATGTCTTTGGAGTGTGGGAGGAAACCAGAGTACCCAGAGGAAACACACACAGGCACAGGGAGAACATGCAAACTCCAGGCAGGTGGTGCTGTGGTGGGGATTTGAACCAACAACCATAGTACTGCCAGGCGGAAGTGCTAACCATTTAGCCACTGAGCTGCCCATAATAGAATGCTATGGAAGCTAACCCTCACCAAGCCCGCAGGTACACTGCGCTGCTCCTATAGTGCAGTCATACTGCACTGCATCAGTGTGAAAGCAGCCTTAAAGTCTAATGCTGGCCATACACGTATAGATGTTCGGATAAATTTCACTTGCTTTTGCTTGCTGCAATTTTGAAATTAACCTAATTTCTGAATGAAAACCACATACACTGTCCGAAAATGCATTAGATCGAGAAAAGTTCCACTTAGCCACTGCGCTGCCCCATTTAAACCTGTACTACTGCTGCAGCAATAAAAATAATGGTAGAGACCTTACATAGCCCTTGGCCTCATCCCACAAAGGTTGGGCTTGGGAGGCCAATCGGCAAGCTTGGCCATTGTCATGTGGGAGTTATGCATATACCATCAGAACATTGCTATTTGTATATTCACTTCAGGGATGTTCAAAAGGATTCCAAAGTGATGAGGGTAGGTGGTGTGTGTTGGTAGTAGATGCTGTCGGCTGTCTGATCCTGCTGGTTGTTTAGCACTTCCCACCAACCACCACAGTCTCACTTTAAAAGCAATTTCTCTGAAGGAAGGGATCAACTTAAATAAAAAACACATCTTGCTTTCTAGACACATTTTCAGATTTATGAACTCTAGACTAAAGAATGCAGGAGCATCAATTGGAGCTTCCATCTGCATCCTGAGGATCTAGGACAAGGAATCTAATCTAAGGTACTATAGCTTTTGCTTCAGCCAAACCCCCCTGCCATTCTTGCCCATCACATATTGAACATTTTACAGATCTCAGCAAATAAATAGAGACGATTTCTGTCCCAGAATGCTCTTCATCTATTAATAATGATGGCGGATTTAATGGGTGGTGGTAGACATGTCTTGCAGTCATTATGGTTATTAGGTGCAGCAAGACCTCACCTTAGCCAAGAGTGCAACACTGCCTCTTTATAGGACTTTAGCAAATAATGGCTTCCTAATGATTCATGCAAATATATATATATATATATATATATATATATACACAGGGTGGATAAGAATCAATGATTTAAAAAAAAAAAAAAAAAATCAGATTTTTTAAATTTAAATCGGATTTTTTTTATTTAAATCAGATTTTTTTTTATTTAAATCAGATTTTTTTTAAATAAAATGCTTTTTGAGGAAAATATATTACCATCCAAAGGTTATTCTATCATGAAATAAAGATTAGTTCTTTAATTATGTAGAATAAGGCTGTATTTGTTTAATTTTTTTTGCTAAATAAAAGCCATGAATCCATTCACAATGTCATGCTCTTCCAGAGGTTTCTGTAAGATTATTGGGCAGTTTCTCTGCCTACAAGATATTATCACAGATGATTGGTTTACTTTTGCAGTTCTCAAAACTGAATTTGACTCAGCGGAGATCACATGCCTCTTCACAGCAAAAATGTTATAACATGAACAGAGTTAAGAAAAAGACCTTCATCCTAACTTCTACAAACCTATGAATACAGAATCAACCCCTTCACTGCCAAGTTTGCAAGAAGTTCAGTGAATAGAATAGAAACAATATTTTTCTGATTGTTTGGAGTGGAATAGATCTGCACAAGAAGAAAGTGAAACTAAGTGTGAGGAGGAAGGGGCTGACAATATATATATATATATAGTCTAATATCTCTTAAAATATATATATTTTGTTTAGCCAAATTAGTTAACAAACATGGATGTTTAAGCAAATCACATATGCTGGAATGTTATTGTTTCAGATGAATAAATCTATTTAAATTGTTATTAAGGTAATGATTATTTTTCTCCTTCCTAAGTACAACAGAAAAGTTGTCCAAATATGAATGATTAACCTATTAAACTGGGGATAAAAAAAACTAATATGAAAAGTTGTTATTCTAAAAATCTTCATCTACTTGCATATTAAATTTATACCAGCAAGAATTAGTCTTTATGTAGAAAACTAGGATTTAAATCAAGCCTTACTGACTAGTGATTTAAATCGTGATTTAAATCAGTTTGATTTAAATCAAATCCACCCTGTATATATATATATATATATATATATATATTCATTAAAGCCAAGCATCCAGCATTTTCATAAGGTCAGCAATGGCGGTCGCCATATTTCTCTTAGCAAGGTTTGCTTTAAAACTAGGGAAATGAAAAGGAACATCTCAGTTGTGGCCAATATCAACCAATCAGTTTTCACTTTTCATTTTTTTGAGAGAAACAAGATATCCAATTGGTCACTGGAGGCAACAGTAGGAGTTTGAGCTCATTTGTTTTTCTATTTGTAATGATTCAAACATAAGGAGTGACAAGAGGTGGAATGAAGAAAAATAAGACGAGAAGACAGACAAGGTCAGTGAAAGTAAGAGAAAAGAGAAGTCAACCTGGCCACTTGTTTTAAACCTTGATAGGCCAGGCCCAGCTCACCATCTTCGTTCAGATACCCCCAGTCCTCAGTCTTTCTAGAGAGAAAGGACAGAGAGAAAAAAAGCAGAGACAGGATTGGAGAGAAAGACATCAAATTGGAAGGAGAGACAGATACACTACAGAACTTCCATCTTTTCCACTGTTCCAATCAATCATCACAAATCTTAGGCAGGACCCTTAGAGCCCATTCACACTAATGCGACTTTGTGCAGGACAGGTCGCACCCCATTTTTCCCAATGAGTACCATTTATATCTGTGTGACTTCAAGTCACAGCGACTTGAAAGTAGTTCCTGCACTACTTTGGTCATGCAATTTGAGGGCCATAGACTTCAATGTAAACCTTCCAAAGTCGCATGAAAGTCACACCTGAACGATATACACGTGAATTGTGTGCGACTTTGTAGAGCACAAGCAATCCTCCTTGATCAAAGCCAAAGTTTCACTCATCCAAAGTCACACTGTAAAGTTGCAATAAAAACTGCATGATTTTGAAGTCGCACACAAGTGTGAATGGAGCCTTATCTGGAATAGTTCTATCCATACCCAAATCTGAGGAGGCATAGTCATGTATTTGATGTCATGCCACTTTTACATGAAGTTCTATTTAAAGCTGAGCTCCAGGCATATATAAAATACACAGATTAATGCAGCTTGTATTGATTAATACAGAGGTCTCCAAACTTTCTAAATAAAAGGCCAGTTTACTGTCCTTTAGAATTTAGGGGGACCGGACTGTGGCCAGTGGGAGTAGAATATATGCCAAAGTCAGTGGGAGTAGACAATGTTTCAGGTTTGGTGGTCAATGGGAGTAATTCAATTATATAGTGTCCATGGTCATTGGGAGGGGGAATAGTGCCCACCGTTGGTGTCAGTGGGAGGAATCGTGCCTCACCTAGATGTCAGTGGGAAGAATCATGCCCCATAGTTGGTGTCAGTGGGAAGAACCATGCCCCATTCTTGGTGTCAGTGGGAAGAATTGTGCACCCATCCTTGGTGTCATTGAGGAGAATCAAGCCCCAACCTTAGTGTCAGTGGAATGAATCGTGTCCCAACGCTGGTGTCAGTGGCGAAAATTGTGCCGCACCCTGAGTGTCAGTGGAATTGTGCCCCAATTGTTTGTGTCAGTGGGAGGAATCATGTCCCACCATTGATATCAATAGGTGGGATCATGCCCCATCATTGGTGTCAGTGGGAGGAAAAGTGCCCCATTGTTGGTGTCAGTGGGAAGAACAGTGCCCCCTTATTGGTGTTAGTGGAAGAAATAGTGCTCCATTGGTGTCTGTGGGAGGACTAGTGCCCTACTGTTGGTGTCAGTGGAAGAAATGGTGCCTCATTGCTGGTGTCAGTGAAAGGAATAGTGTGTCATATCAGTGAGAAGAACACTGCCCCAAGGTCTGGATAAAGGCAAGCAAACGGCTGCATCCATCCCACAGTGTGGAGACCACTGTACTAATACGTCAGTCATTTTTTATTTTAATACAAGCAGTGTAAATAATTGAATATGACTAAGAATCAGTCTCTGTACAGCAGAGTTCAGACTATTTGGAAGCATTTCAGAACAGTATGTGTTAGCTACATTAGATATGTCTACTTTGTCATTTTGGGTTTCATGCGATCCTCTCCTTATTTAGCCACTTTTAAACAGAATTACCTGTTGGTCTCACAGACACCATGATACGCCTCGATGGCATCATCCTGATCCATTTCTTTATCGCTGTTTGACCAGTTTTTCTCTGTATCCTAACAAAGGAGACAAAAAAGATATTTTAGCCACTGACATCTCCATGTTTTAAGATAGGTTTTACAAACACCATACTGCTTGGACCTTGAGGAAGGGGACATACCCCGAAAGCTTGTCCTGAAAAATTGTATGTTAGTCCAAATAAAAAAAGCATTACGGACAGTACTCAATAGTTTCTGTTGCAAGTGCACTAATACGGCTACAATCACCTCAAGCATGAGCACCATAACATTAAAACAAAAGACAACATAAACAACAAAGCGGGATACAATCTGCTGTTCATTTTAAATGCTATAGTCACATGACATAATAATGCGTCAACTGATTTTGATTCCTGTTATGACCACTGAACTTACTGGCATCACAATGGTAAACAGCACAAAATGAAAAGAAAATACTGAGTTAACCTTTTTGCTGTGCTTGTACTACCAGAAGCAGGAAAATAATCCAGCTCAGGACCTTCACAGGCTGGCCATAGGCCAGACAAATTCTTCTCTAATCAGATGACAACTGGACTAAATTAATGAAATGTAGGCGATCGTAAAAGTCATAAAAACAAGAAACGCAAGTGCTTGCTGTTGCAAAAAAACAAAAAAACAAAACAAAAATGAAATGGGATGATGTTCCTGAAAACCGCTCATCATTCTAATCATTTTAATCATTGGTTAGCGGTCTGCGAAGAATAATTTTGTAGATGAGCTCATAGGCTGTTTTGTAATCAAGTGTATTTTTTGTACATGAGACAAAAAAGGATTTTTTACTTGTAAATTCCATATCTTGAAAAGTACAGGACTCTGGCTGAATATTTATAGGCCCTGGATTATAGGCTGCTACCTTCAGGTGAATAAACAATGGAAAGCTTTTGAGGTCACACCCCCTGGGCTCCCCCCTCCCTTTTATTCTGACCCCACTTAGTGCATCCTCAATTTTTTAGCAAGCAATGCAGAGTAACAAAGGAACAGAGGGGAGCGTGACCTGAGTCCTGTACTGTACTCCAAGATTTAATTCCTTTTATCTTAATCGTACAGTACAGGACACAGGCTAAATATTCATAGATCCTGGGATGTCCTCAAGTAATGAATGAGAAGGGTGGGTAACAACTAGGCAAAAAGAAACTACCAACAGGCCAAGCAACACAAGGGTCAACAGGACCCAAATTCAGAGTGCCGCTGCAAGGACCTTGCATCTGAAAGCTGCATCCACAGAAGATTGGATTGTCCACCTTGTAGCACTCGGTATGAACCTGGTAGAAAAAGTATGAACAGAGGATCAGGTGGTGGCCTTAGAAAGCTGGGCAACAGAGCCTTGATGTCAGAATGGCCAGCAAACAGTCACTGATCTGGTGGAGTGAGTGCAGAAGAAGCACAGGAGGAGTTTTGTCCTGTAGAGTGCAAGCTTTGGCAAGCTGTCTTATCTGTCTAGAGATGGTGGACATGGAAGCAGGATGCTCCTTGTGAGGTCCTGAAAGTAGGTGAATAGGGAATTCATCTTCCTGATAGAGGCTGTTGCTTTGAGGTACACTCTGATGGTCCTGACTACTTCCAAGCAGCAAAGAGCAATTTTCTTTGAGTGCTTTGGAACAGAAGAAGGAAAGACTATGACTTTATGGAGGTGGAAGGCAATACCACCTTAGGTAGAAAAGATGGTCTTGCTGAAACTGTGAGGAACTGGTGAGCCTGAAATACTGGGATCTGTCGCTATCACTTTCCTGTGATATGACAGAAATTACTTCCCCATTGTAAAGGCAGGGGTGGAGATCCACTAAGCTAGGGAATTACTTGCTTGGCTGGATATGAGAATGGGTAGGTCGAGAGAAGGAGCCTGCTAGATGTGTCTCAAGTGAAATTGGATGAATGGGACAGCCTTGAAAGGATGCCACAATGACACTCCAAACTCTCATGGAGAATCTAACAGAAAGACATCTCTTTGATCTGAAGTCCTGAATGTGAATGCTGAGAAAGAGCAGCTATTTGTTTGGAAAGAAGACTTTTGCTTGGGCTGTGTGTAAAATTAGACCTATGCATTCCAGGTGAAGAGAAGGTTAGAAAGCAGATTTGTGAAAGCTGATCACCCAACTTAAAACCTGAAGCAGTTAGATTGTCCTGTGGAGATGAGTCCTTCAGAAGAAGGTTGTCTAGACAACTGAATGCCCTGAGTTCTTAAAAGTGAAAGGACCTTTGGGAATACTGTGGGAGCAAAGGAGAGGCTAAATGTGATTGTCTCCTACTGCAAAGCATAGCAGGAGCTGATAAGGTGGATACATGGGAGTATGCAGGTAGGCATCTTGGAGGCCTATGGATGCTAAGTATCCCATTTGTCTTAGAGGGGCAATAACTGACCTTGCGGATACCAAGTATAATATTGGAATATGAAGCTATTCAGGGATTTTAGGTCCAGGATATGATGAACACCTCTGTCGGGCTTTGGTACCAGAACAAGTTTGAATAGAATCGTTTAAACCTGTCCTCTATAGGTACTGGCATGACTGTTCCCTGGAACAAGAAATGGTTAAGGGGCATTCTACAAATCTGACGGTACCTAGGCAGGTTTTGGCTGATTTGAGAGAGGAAAGCGGTGAGGGGGTTGAGTTTTGAACTTTATTTTGTACCCTCTATTGAACCAACAGGTTTAGGACATCTGTGACACAGAGACAGGCAAACTGTACCAGATGTCCCCCCAATCTTAGGAGTGAGGGTGCCTCTTCGTTGGAAGGGTGCTTTGGGTAAGACAAAGAAACACTTCTTTCACCAAAAGGAAGGGCAGAACGTAGGCTTAGAAGCAAAAGCCTGGATACAGCACTGAGGTAGAGGCTCCTGAGAAAGGGGATTTGAACTTTCCGCTGGGGAAAAAAGACCTTTCCTCCTGTGACATCTTGGATGAATTTGTCAAGTGCCTCACCAAAAAGATCCCCTTCTTCAACAGAATGATTGAAATATTATCATAAGTCTGATAAATCTTCACTGGTTCAGATGAAAGTTCATCCCAAGTCTTTTTTTTGGCTGCTTTTCAAATACACTTTACCAGCTGTTTTCTGATGTATTTTTAAAGGAGGATGTAGTAAGATGCAATGGAATTGATTTACTAAAACTGCATGCTGCAAAATCTGGTGTAGCTCTGCATAGAAACCAATCAGCTTCCAGTTTTTTTTTGTTGTCAAAGCTTAATTGAACAAGCTGAAGTTAAAAGTTGATTGGCTACCATGGACAGCTGCACCAGATTTTGCACTCTCCAGTTTTAGTAAATCAACCCCAATGGGTGAAACCAATTAACCTGTGTTATGTTGCTAGTTTGTGGGATAACAAGAGAAATAGAGAAAGCAAACATGGAGGGAACACAAGAAGTGATGCCAGGATTCCAATCTTTTAAGGTCACAGTTTCTTTGGTTTGCTGGGGGGTTGTTGGAAGGCTATGTAATGTCACTAGCGCTTTATCTGCAATGAAGTACTTTTGTTTTATATATTTTTTGCACGTTTTGAAAATTCCCTCTTAAAAGTAAAAAAGCACTTTGCCCGTGAAGGGCAGAGCAACACGTTTTAATACCCCACCCCCATTCTTCCCTAGATGCCTATACACAGGGTACGTACATACCCCAACCCCATTGTAGGAGAACTTGGCAAATCCCCAAGCAGTACAGCTGTAATATGGAGACTTATACTACTCCCCCACACCTAGAACTGGGGGTAGGGGGAGAAACAGGAATGATTAGTATGTGCTGCTGGGGGGGCTTGAAGAGACCCTGTTGCTTTGCTATACATGGAAAAGCACAAATTTACTTTTAAGTTGTCACTTACTACTTTCTTCTCTGGGTCTTTCTGCTGAGCAGAGTTTACAATCTGTGTCCTGAGAATGAGAATCTCTTCTTTGCGTACTTCCAGTTCCTCGTGGGCAGATTTCAGCTGGTTCAGTAGGAGGGTGTAACCGCTGGGCTCCTCATTGGAGTCTTCCTCATTTGCTGCATCAGCAACTGCTTTCCTAAGCTCATTCAGGTCATTCTTGAGCTTCTTATTTTCAGATTCCAACTCTTGCCTCTGCAGTATAGATATTAAAGGAGGTGAATAGTCAATAATATCTGCTCAGTGCAGAGAAATATACTATAGGCTTTAAAGCGATACTAAAGGTTAATTTTTTTAAATAACAAACATGCTATACTTACCTGCTCTGTGCAGTGGTTTTGCACACAGCAGCCTGGATCCTCCTCTTCTCGGGTCCACCGCAGGCTCTCCTGGCTCCTCCTTTCTGTCGGGTGCCCCCATAGCAAGCAGCTTGCTATGGGGACACCCGCTGCTCCATGTGTCCATTCACGCATGGAGCCACAGCTTGGCCTCACCCCTCTCTCCCCTCATTGGCTGATTGGCAGTGATTGACAGCAATGGGAGCCAATGGCTCCCGCTTGCTGTCTCAGCCAATGAGGAGGCAGAGACCCGGGACAGCCGAGGCTGTCGTGCGCACTGCTGGATCTCGATGAGGCTCAGGTAAGTATTGAGGAGGCTAGGGGCACTGCTGCACACAGAAGATTTTATACTTTCATGCATCGAATGCATGAGGGTAGAAAACCTTGAGCCTTTACAACCACTGTAATGTGTAAATTTACCATCGCTCCTCGAACAATGAAAAAAATGCATTGCATGTACTTATACAGTTTATTGAAAGACCTGCTTAACTCCTTCGTGCCTTACCCCTGGTTAGCACTGGATCAGATTTTGAAATCGTGCAACTTCACTTGAAGTCGCATGTAACGTACATGTGACATGATGTAATGTGCATGTGACAAATGTACAAATTTGAGTAGATAAGATGTGATCAGTAGCAATATGTAATCGTAACTGTAGGGACATTCCATTGTCATTAAGGATGTATATTCTGTAGGGACATTCCATTGTCATTAAGGATGTATATTCAGTCCTTGTCATTGGGGAAATGAGATACTCAGACAGTGGTCATCAATTAGTGGTTCCAGAGAGGTTGTCTGCCTGACAATGGAAGCTCTAAAAGGAGTATATCCATAAATCAAAAGGGGTATGTTTCATCTCTCATAAAAGCTAAAATATTAGTTGCAGAGAGATGAAAATGCTCCCTTCTGTTAGGGCATTCTGTGCGCTACACCGACACCTAAAAATCATATTTATGGTTTAGGCAGAAGGCCAGGAAAATGCAGGAAATGGTTAGGTGGCGCTGGATTGCGACAGTCGAACGGTGTTTGGTACTGCCGTGATCGGGACGATGCGCTGGTGCCTGAAATCCAATCCCCGACTTGGTATTTCAAGTCGGGTCTTAGTCTGATTGAACTTGGGCAGGTCAGCATCCAGAACATCCTGTGAGTAGGTACAGGAACAGCCCCCCATGGTCAATTGGCTGAGGACTAATGTCCCGCCTACGTCCATATCCCCATAAAAAGAGTACCCAGGCATTGGGACATTTGTGATTTGTATGGAGCCAGTTCGATTTGACTGACGGATTGCTGATGCTCTGACTTGCTCCAGTCGCAGGATAGATCTTGGTAAAAGTTTTATCTAAACTACATATTTAAACTATATTTTTTAGTGAATAGTCATTTGTGTGTCTTCTTGTATTTCTGTAACTTTTAATATTTTGTACATATTTTATGCACTGCCCACTTTCGGGAACTTAAATCTTAAAATTAGTGACTTCTGTGTATTTAAGCACGTGCTCATATCTTCGGAGAGATTAGATTGGAGAGATTAGATTAGATTCGATTATATTGTATTTTAGTGCCTTTAAATGCTCAGTCGAGCTCATTGCCAATCTGTATGCAATTGCACCGTGTGTGGGCAGATTGCGTGCAGATTGTAAAAGGTAACAGATCGGCCAGACAGAGATCTGTGTGTGTGGGGTATCCTAGCAGACCGTTCTGCGGATAAACTGTTGGGTGGTGGGGCAGGCTACCTTTTGTGGTGTGTCTGGTGCGGGGGGCGAAATGTGGACAGTGGAAGGGTGATTAACACCGGGGTTCAAGCTGTAGGCAGCTGGAGGGACCTTAGAAGGGTGTGTAATTACTAAGCTGGTCCTCAACTCTAATCAGTGCACCAGATTGTATATAAGATTTGTATCTGCCAGTGTGTGCATTCCAGTAGGAGGAGATGGTGCAGGGGGCAGGGCATGGCTATGAGCATTCTTACTGACGATTCACAAGATTGCAACTTGTCAATCAACACCTGGCCACACCTAGCCCAATGCTTTCTGGATTGACAGCACTGCCTCTGCTGCTGAAACCCTCCCACTGTGAGCTGCAGTGTCTGGGAGGGGAAGTGGATGAATCACAATTGATTTGGCTCAGTCAGGGAAGGTAAAGGAAATATTTAGTTTACTCTGAGTCTTGTGGTTTAGTCCGAGTTATAGTAACTAAATTAAGTATTATTAAACTGTCATATGGGAGATTTTAGTTGTATTTTAACCTCTTCTCGCCAAGCATATGCAAATATGAGACCTCGATGGACTATGATGTCATTATCACAAGCAAGGAACAGATGCAGTACATTATTAGCAGGGCCGTCAAAGACCGTAGCACAAAAATTAAGTGGTAGATGGGTGGCAATCCAGAGCTCAACATTAGGAGTGTTTAAGAGCCTCGTGAGGCTGGCCACCCGTATGTCTACTCGCCTTTAGGGAAGGATCCCCCTTCTGATTACATTGGGTTATTGGTAGAGAAGGTGAAGTCTAATGCGGGGTAGTCTACCACAATCTGAGCATACCAGTTTTTCAGTTATTTTCAGTGAAGTGAGATGTATGAAAGAAGAAACTATGAATATAAATGGATACTAACATTTACAGGAAAAGTTGATCCAGGGAATATCCGATTGCCTCTTGGAGGATCAGGAAGGAATTTTTTTCCCAGCAGGAGCAAATTGGATCATGCTTTGCTGGGTTTTTTTTTTTTGCCTTCCACTGCATCAACTGTGGGTGTAGGATTATAACTTTTTTTTTTGTTTTTTTGTTTTTTAATGGTTGAATTGGATGGACTTTTGTCTTTTTTCAGCCAGACTAACTATGTAACTGTGAAAAAAGAAGGGGAGAATAGAGACTTGAGAAGAGGGAAAGGCCCTCTGCTTTTTTTGATCCAAGCCACCTCTACCCAAATATTAGGAAGAAAACTAAAATAACAACTTTAAACATAGCTAGAGTTTGACTTTAGTGTGTAGAATAGTGTTTATACCCCAAGATGCTCCTTGTAATAAATGAGTTCATTACAGAAGCCATAGAGCTACACTGCTTCTCTGTGAACACTGATGGATAGTGCATAAGACAGGAGAAGACGGCAGCTATTGGCTGAGCATCACACAGGATGACAGTACATTACTTACATAGCGCTCGGCTGCTCTCTGATCTGTGCCTGGGGAGAAATGCGACTCCCGAGCGGCTTTATTACTTTTACTCATTAGTCTCTGTGATGTACAGAAGCTGCCACTGCTGCAACTCCTTCTAATCAGATGCTAAGAAATATTCTGACCTCTACAGAAGAAGAGCTGTTGTCATCTACCCAATATATAAGGCTGGATGTACTTAACTACTTTGTGCTGTAGTATGTGCTATTGTATGCGCTGTAGTATGCGCTGTAGTATGCGCTATTGTATGTGCTGTAGTATGTGCTGTAGTATGCGCTGTAGTATGTGCTGTAGTATGCGCTGTAGTATGTGCTGTAGTATGCGCTGTAGTATGTGCTGTAGTATGCACTGTAGTATGAGCTGTAGTATGTGCTGTAGTATGCGCTATTGTATGCGCTGTAGTATGCGCTATTGTATGCGCTGTAGTATGCGCTATTGTATACGCTGTAGTATGCGCTGTAGTATGCGTTGTAGTATGAGCTGTAGTATGTGCTGTAGTATGCGCTGTAGTATGCGCTGTAGTATGTGCTGTTGTATGCGCTGTAGTATGCGCTGTAGTATGCGCTGTAGTATGTGCTGTAGTATGCGCTGTAGTATGTGCTGTAGTATACTGTAGTATGAGCTGTAGTATGTGCTGTAGTATGCGCTATTGTATGCGCTGTAGTATGCGCTATTGTATGCGCTGTAGTATGCGCTATTGTATACGCTGTAGTATGCGCTGTAGTATGCGTTGTAGTATGCGCTGTAGTATGAGCTGTAGTATGTGCTGTAGTATGCGCTGTAGTATGCGCTGTAGTATGTGCTGTTGTATGCGCTGTAGTATGCGCTGTAGTATGCGCTGTAGTATGCCTTTTTAAGTCCTCATGCACAATGCCCCATGCCGTGAGAACAGCAATGTCTAATCATAGGCATAGTATAATACCACATGATGCATCTATCTATAGCAATAACAGAGCAATTTTTGTTTTTCCGAATCCCCTGTGTAACATAGTTGTATATCTTGTGGATCCCGCCAGTAGATGCACTATTTGTACACATTTCCACATTGTTACTGCTAGCAAATGATATACCAACACTTAAAGCGGAGCTCCGGTCAAAATTTAAAAAAAAAAAGAAAAAGTCAGTAGCTACAAAAACTGTAGCTGCTGACTTTTAAAAAAACAGACACTTACCTGTCCCTGGGTCCAGCAGTGTTCTCGCCACAGCCCATTTCACCAGATGTCCTCTCTCCCTGGCGCTGAAATCTTAAGTGTGGGCACCCGGCTGTGACAGCATGCAGCTTCACAGCCGGGTGCCCAATGCACATGCGCGAATAGTGCAGTGCTTTGTGAACGATCCCGTAGTGGGCATTTTGATATTGTTTCGGTTCATTTATTTATTTCAGGTACTTATATAGCGCCGTAAATGTACGCAGCGCTTTATATATATATTGTACATTCACATCAGTCATGAACCCTCAAGGGGTGTACAATCTAAGGTCCCTAACTCACATTCATACATACACATACTAGAGACAATTTAGACAGGAGCCAATTCACCTACCAGCATGTCTTTGGAGTGTGGGAGGAAACTGGAGTACCCAGAGGAAACACATGCAGGCACAGGGAGAACATGTAAACTCCAGGCAGGTGGTGCCATGACTGGCATTCGAACCAACGACCTTAGCACTGCCAGGCGGAAAATGCTAACCATTTAGCCACTGTGCATGTGTATTTATATGTGTTCCGTGCCCCTGATGACATACATTTTGAAGAAACGTGCGTAGGGCGAAACCGGACATGATGTCATCACGCATGCACAATTCCCAGTTGCATTGCGTGATCTGTAATTTTGTGGACATCAATGTCATACAGTGTTTTTAGTGCTTTTAAGGGACAGGGGTCACCTGAAATCTGACAACTGCTTCCTGTCAGCTGCCTGTTCTCACTTCCAGGAATGGGAAGCATGTGACATTCTCACCTTCCACTCACATTGCAGCGCTGAGCTATTGACAGATCCAACTGATGTCATGTGAGGTCTGACAGAGTTCTTAGCCTTGTGTGAGCTGTGACTAGACCAACTTGGAACTGACACACGGCTATTCTTTACTTAGGACTCATTTACACCACTCTGCTGCCATAATGCATGTTTTCAGCCTATTCTTGTTTAACGGGATGCTTAATGTAGCACACCGCTTGCCGACGCATGACAATGCATTGACACGAATTGATGCAATTGCCCTTACTCCAGTGGTGAACAGGCAAGCAAAGGAAAGATGAGTATATGCAGTTGCTGCAATTCAGTGAGCCTGTTACCTTGTCCTGCATGGTAAAAGCAAAGGTCAAATTTAAAAAAATTGGGAAAAAAACTCTTTACTTTTTTACATTGGTGTGGATGCTTTATTCCAACTTTAGGCTGATCTTTGTTCTAATGTCATGGGCTCACTCATGTTTGTGTAATTCTGTTTTTTTAGGCACCTGCCTATATAGATGTGATGGTCAGATGTCCACAATGGTCTAGGTGTGTGCCTACAACCCATATTGTCTATAGGCCAACAGAACAGTCTCATGCATGCTCCCATACTTCCCATGGAGTTCTGCTCTATCAATTTTCCGTTACCTTCAGGTTGTTGTAGGCGATGTCTGTATCACGATCTGTGTCATTTGACGTTTCAATGACCTGAGAAAATAGAGGACACGACTTCAGAAGATGTGTCATGGAGAAAGACATGAAAATAAAATCAGGAGACAAAGATCATTCTCGTTACCTGTGACTTCTTATTTTCTTGCTGCTCCTTCTTCTCTAACTGGTTCTGCAGTTTCTTCCTCTCCAGTTCCAGCTCCCTCACCCTCTTCTGAAGTTTCAGGAACAGAGTCATGTCCATCGCAGCCTTTTCCAGCCCAGCTTCCTGTTCCAAGATAAGATCACATGGCTAAAATGTATTCCTATATTTGCATTTTAAATGCACTACAAGTCCAGATGAGACCTACATATTCAGGATCCCATATGACTATTAATTTGCCTGGGAAAAAGTGTTGGATTAGGATGATGATCATCAGTCCTGTTTAATCTCTGGTTAGAATGATTTGAAACTTACACAGGGCCTCCTCTCTCTATTGCTGGAGGCTGAACAGAGTGGCAGGACAGCGAAGGAGAGGTAAGTATTGTGATGTTGGGGAGGAGGCCATTAAAGTACAACTGTGGCCAGGCTATGGACATTCAGATATTTACAAATGCTTAACAAGCAGTAAATGAGTTTAAAAAAAATCCTCATTGACCTCTGCAGCTTCAACCACTCTGGAGTAGTTCACCCTCAGGATAACAGCAGAAGCACTTTCAATTACAGCAACTCATCTGCCTCTGTTCTCCAATCCCAGCAGTGACCCTACATCTCAGCTCACCTCTCATCCTTCTCCATACAATAATGCAGCAGGTCAGCTCCACCTGCTCTCCCCGCTTGACAGCAGTAACTTGGCAGCTGAGCTCCACCTGCTCCCCCTTCACAACAGTAACTCAGCAGCTCAGCTCTACCTGCTCTCCCTCTCCAGAAGTAGCTCAGCAGCTTAGCTCCACCTGTTCTCCACTTAACAGCAGTAACTTGGCAGCTGATCTCCACCTGCTCCCCCCTTAAGTCAGAAGCTCTGCTCTACTTGCTCTCCCCCTTCACAACAGCAACTCAGAGCTTAGCTCCACCTGCTCCCCTCCTTCATAACAGTAGCTAAGCAGCTCAACTCCACCTGCTCCCCCCCTTCACAGCAATAACTCAGCAGCTTAGCTCCACCTGCTCCCCCCTTCACAGCAGTAACTCAGCAGTTCAGCTCCACCTGCTACCCCCCTTCACAGCAGCAACTCAGCAGCTCAGCTCTACCTGCTCTCCCTCTCCAGAGGTGGCTAAGCAGCTTAGCTTAACCTGCTCCCACCCCCCTGCAGTGATTCAGCAGCTCAGCTCCCCTGTGAGCAAAGAATGCTAAGACCCAACTCAGTGCTCCTCTTGTGAATTGCTGATAATCTGGTATTCCTTTTCACAGCCTGTTTGCGGTGGCCTTACCTCTACCTCCATAATGGTGTCTTCAGTGTCCCCAATTTCAGACGTGGAAATGGAAGGGTAGTTGGAGTCGGATTCCAAGCTGCTCTGGTTGGATGGATTTCTACGGTGTCCAGGGGTTTGCTAAGAAAATTATATGCCATTAGAATAATCTGGGAAGTTTCTTTCTTTATTTCACAGTCTGTGACCCATTCAAGGGATTTATTCTGGCTCCCTGTAATGGTGACAGTGTATCAGAGAGACAGGAAGTGCTTAAAAATCTCTCCTTGTAAAAAAGAGACAGCAACAAAAACACTTCTAGTAGAGAGGAAACGGGTCTACAGGTTTTTTTTTTTTGGGTTTTTTTTTTGCGATTTGTGTCTCAGTGACACTCATGTCTCTAGTTTCTTGTCCCGGTGTCATAGGGGCAGGAAGTGAGGGGAATCTCCAAAATAGGGTTGCCAACAGTAGGAAAAACTTGACCGAGTTTCTAATATGTCTCCAATCTATTCATAACTAAAAATGTTTTGGCTGGAGTTTAACCCTTTCCAGCCAGCAGGAGGTGGCCCTTAAAGAGGTTGTAACGCTGGAGCCAATACATGGACCTCCCAATCATGTCTCATTGTGGTTGGCTGCCACAGTGACCACATGATCGAAAGCCTGTCCACTGGCTCCCGAGTGTAAACACTGTCCAGAAGCTGTCGGGGAAAACATGGTCACTGTGCTGGGGGCACTGGGTAGTGAGTTCAATCCCTCTTGTATTGAACTGTATTGTCTCCTGTTATATTGTAAAGCGCTGAGCAAACTGTTGGTGCTCTATAAATCCTGTGTAATAATAATATTAGGGACAATTTAGACAGGAGCAAATTAACCTACCAGCATGTCTTTGGAGTGTGGGAGGAAACTGGAGTACCCAGAGGAAACCCATGCAGACACAGGGAGAACATGCAAACTCCAGGCAGGTGGTGAGGTGGTGCTGTGGTTGGGATTCCAACCAATGACCCTAGTACTGCCAGGCAGAAGTGCTAACCACTTAGCCACTGTGCTGCCCATATCTGTCTGCTCATACCAGTAGGAAGTTAGTGAATGACATGTGTAGTATATTGTGTGTAATATATATTGAAGACATTGAAACACATACTGACAGGCCAGTGATAAGACCACTTTACACACCAAAAGGACACCTTACTATGTTAATGTATGCAGGAAGTAATTACCTTCCCTTTGTTGTGTTGGGTTAACCTGTTTTGGGTAAATATATGGAGAGTCAGGGGAAGTTTCTAGGTCTAGACACATAAGATCAAACATGCTACTAAAAGTGGCCAATCAGACTGCTTGCCATTGTACTGAATGGGGAAAATGTGTATATTAACACAGGACACAGAACACAGGATGGAATACAAAGATGGCAGAGCATAAGGGAGTATATTTGGGATAGAGCACAGGTCAGGATACATGGGACAGAATACAGGTTGCATGGAAGCTACCTAGTTGCATATTATAGATTGGACATATGCTGGATGGTGTAGTATCTCTATGCTTGATATGAGGTATCTGGAATAGGACTTTGAGAGCTGTTGTTCGTTGTAACATTTACAAGTATTCAACTGAATTTCTGTCATCTGTAACAAATATCTTTATCCGAATAAATGCATCTCTCTGGAAAAGGACTATTGGTTGCTGCGGGGAATAGTATATATATATATATATATAAATACACCCTGGTCATCCGGAGAAGGGCTGGATCTCCATGCTTGATATGAAGCATCATTATTTTAAGACAACAACATGCAGACTCAATGAACCACTAGAGCACTCATCAGTCCCCTGGTAGTTCAATGAGAACTACAAGCCATCAGCTGCAAACACTGTCGGTACTTCAAGTCATTCATTCACAGAACTCTGTGAATGAATGACATAGCCATGTGGGCAGAGTCCTGCATGGCCGCGTTCCTTTCAAATTGTGACAGTGGGTGTGGGCAGAAGATCCCTGGCCCGCTGTTGCAATGAGAAGGGGGATCGGGGAGATTCTCCAGGAGCAGGAACATGTTACATGCTCCCAAAAGGTGAACTAATGGTGGCCGTACATAGATTTTTCTCCAAAAATTTTTGTTTTAAGAACGTTCATTCAATTTTCTAATTGTTAGTGGGGTCAAATCGACTTTCCCTTTTGACCACAGTAATGGGAAAATTTGAAGGAGCAGAACAGAGAACTTTTCTCGATCTAATGCATTTTCGGACAGTGTATGTGGTTTTCATTCAGAAATTAGATTCATTTCAAAATTGCAGCAAGCAAAAGCAAGTGAAATTTGTTTGACAATTTATACGTGTATGGCCAGCATTAGCCTTTAAGGCTGCTTTCACACCAATGCGGTGCAGTGTACCTGCGGGCTTGGTGAGGGTTAGCTCCCATAGCATTCTATTATGGGCAGCACAGTGGCTAAATGGTTAGCACTTCCACCTGGCAGTACTAGGTTTGTTGGTTTGAATCCCAACCACGGCACCACCTGCCTGGAGTTTGCATGTTCTCCCTGTGTCTGCGTGGGTTTCCTCCGGGTACTCCGGTTTCCTCCCACACTCCGAAGACATGCTGGTAGGTGAATTGGATCCTGTCTAAATTTACCCTAGCATGTGTATGTATGAATGTGAGTTAGGGACCTTAGATTGTACCCTTGAGGGTTAGGGACTGATATGAATGTACAATTATTATGTAAAGCGCTGCGTAAATTGATGGCGCTATATAAGTACCTGAAATAAATATGAATAAATAATGCCCCACGGGTTGGTGTCCTATCCTCCGCTGTGCGGTCAAATCACATTCAGTGTGAAAGCAGCTTTACTGACAAGACACAGCTCACCTTGATAAGTGTGACCTCCTCCCGTAAGTTGTCATATCTCTGCTCTAGACGGGTATACTCCTTCACCAGATTTTGATGGCGGGCTCGCTCTTCCTCTAGGTCCTTCTGGATCTGCAAGTTTTCCTTCACTGCGCTCTGCGTAAATTCATCTTAAAATAAAAAAAAAAGACCAAACAATGACATCCACACCATCTAGAACAATCTAACAATCAGTTGGCCACCCCCGGACGAAGGCAGGCAGAAAAGGCACAAAGTACAAATAATTGGGAATATTTTACTATCATCTGGCAAACAGTTAGAAGCTTCCCTGCGCCCGCTCAAAGCGCGTCTCAGATCCGGCAGAGATTGGGGCTGGTTTGAAGTAGCGAACACTCATGTTAATTTTCTTGCAAAGGTATGCAAAAATATCCCGGGCACATTTCTTCAGATCAGATGCTTGAGCTAACATCAAAAAATTATATTCCAAAATCAAAGATGTATAATATATAAATACAGGGATAACCAAGCCTGAGACGGCATTAGCATGGGATAAGCGTCTGATTCACAAGCTGCGTGTGGCTTTGTAAAAGCTCTCCAGAATATACGTCTTGGAGGAACATACTTTGTTCTCTCCGCCTCGGGCACTGATGTGAGCGGCATAACTGCAGGAGAAAATGAGATTACACAGTCACACTTTGCAAAGAATCCGGTTAAATCAAGCAAACTTTTTCATTCCCATTTTGTGTTAATAAGTAGCCAGCGATCTTACTGAACTATGTGGGGAAAACAGAAAACAGGAAAAAAAATATTCTGAACCAATGGACTGCAGACATAGTACAGGAGATGACCAGAGAATGCAGACACAGTACAGGAGATGACCAGAGACTGCGGACACAGTACAGGAGATGACCAGAGACTGCGGACACAGTACAGGAGATGACCAGAGACTGCGGACACAGTACAGGAGATGACCAGAGACTGCGGACACAGTACAGGAGATGACCAGAGACTGCGGACACAGTACAGGAGATGACCAGAGAATGCAGACACAGTACAGGAGATGACCAGAGACTGCGGACACAGTACAGGAGATGACCAGAGACTGCGGACACAGTACAGGAGATGACCAGAGACTGCGGACAGTATAGGGGATGACCAGAGACTGCGGACATAGTACAGGAGATGACCAGAGACTGCGGACACGGTACAGGAGATGACCAGAGACTGCGGACATAGTACAGGAGATGACCAGAGACTGCGGACACAGTACAAGAGATGACCAGAGACTGCGGACACAGTACAGGAGATGACCAGAGACTGCAGACACAGTACAGGAGATGACCAGAGACTGCGGACACAGTACAGGAGATGACCAGAGACTGCGGACACAGTACAGGGAATGACCAGAGAATGCGGACATAGTACAGGAGATGACCAGAGACTGCGGACACAGTACAGGAGATGACCAGAGACTGCAGACATAGTACAGGAGATGACCAGAGACTGCAGACATAGTACAGGAGATGACCAGAGACTGCAGACATAGTACAGGAGATGACCAGAGACTGCGGACACAGTAGAAGAGATGACCAGAGACTGCGGACACAGTACAGGAGATGACCAGAGACTGCGGACACAGTACAGGGGATGACCAGAGACTGCGGACACAGTACAGGGGATGACCAGAGACTGCGGACACAGTACAGGGGATGACCAGAGACTGCAGACACAGTACAGGAGATGACCAGAGACTGCGGACACAGTACAGGAGATGACCAGAGACTGCAGACATAGTTCAGGAGATGACCAGAGACTGCAGACATAGTTCAGGAGATGACCAGAGACTGCAGACATAGTACAGGAGATGACCAGAGACTGCGGACAGCACAGGGGATGACTGCTGACCTTTGGGGAGGGGGGGAGCGGGTACCTGAATTTGACAGGTACCTGCTCTTACTTCCGCGGAGTTGTTCTTTGGTTAGTGTCAGCTCTGCAGCAGGACCTTACCTGTTCCTCTATCCAGCGGCGCGCTGTCTTCCCGGCTTCTGTAGTGTGGGCGTTCGGCTTGACAGCCGGGTGCCCAGTGCGCATGAGCGAGAAGCGCTGCGCTTTGTGATTGGTCCGGCGGTTTCTGGGACCTGTCATGTGTCCCAGGTGCCGCCTTACCACTCACAAAGCGCACCGCTTCTTGCGCATGCGCACTGGGCACCCGGCTGTCAAGCCGAACGCCCACACTACAGAAGCCGGGAAGACAGCGCGCCGCTGGATAGAGGAACAGGTAAGATCCCGCTGCAGAGCTGAGCGGCCGGCCCGGTATTCTAACACGGCGGCGGTGGAAATACCGGACCGGCCGCTCCATATTCGCTCCATAAGACGCACTGACATTTTCCCCTCTTTTTTTGGGGGAAAAAAGTGCGTCTTATGGAGCGAAAAATACGGTATATAGCACCATCAGTTTACACAGCACTTTACATATATATTGTACATTCACATCAGTCCCTAACCCTCAAGGGGCGTACAATCTAAGGTCCCTAACTCACATTCATACATGAAAGAAAAAGTGCAGCGCTAAATAAATAAAATTAAATAACGTACACAATGATATGAGCATAAAAGTTCAAAAGGCGACTATAAATGTTCGTTGAAATAATGTGATAAGAATTCTGATCTCCTTAGGAGGAGCCAATAACGCTGTGACGTCATGCCGCTGGAGCAATGTGGAGCTCCGGCGGCCATCTTTGACTGTGGACGGTCAGTCCCCATTTACATGCATTGCACTCAGCGATTTTCTCTGTGTTACCTGTACTGATTCACCTGGAATTTTGATGCTTTTATCTGGATGCTTTACTTTATCTAATTAAACCATTAAATTACTACACTACGGGGATTCTTCTACTTTAACTCCCCTGGGGAGTATTAATTCACAGACTACACAGCTTCCAGACTCCAGAGAGGAAGCCTCCTGTTATACCTGTGGAGCTGCACCCATCCATCCCTTAAAGGGGACTCTGGCACCCTTTTTTTGATCCGCATCAGAAGTCCCAGGATCCATACACCTGGCGAGGAATCTCCCCAGCTCTGCCCCCATTTGGATGACCTGTGATGACATCAGGAGTTTATATATATTTATGCGCATTTAAATATGCATTCCGGTGAGTGTGCATTTTTTTCTACACCTTATCACACTAACACCGAACTCAGGAAAATCGCGGAATTCTTATAATCACATTATTTCAACGAACATTTATAGTCACCTTTTGAACTTTTATTCTCATATCATTATATGTACCTTATTTCATTTTAGTGATTTAGTGCTGCACTTTTTCTTTCATTTTGGTTATTGGAGGTTTTATTGGTTACCTTTAGTGCTTAGCGGCTGACATTTTTTGATGTGCGCTCGCAATTATATACTATTTATCACATTCATACATACACATACTAGGGACAATTTAGACAGGATCCAATTAACCTACCAGCATGTCTTTGGAGTGTGGGAGGAAACCCACGCAGGCACAGGGAGAACATGCAAACTCCAGGCAGGTGGTGCCATGGTTGGGATTTGAACCAACAACCCGAGTACTGCCAGGCGGAAGTGCTGACTATTTAGCCACAGTGCTGCGCTGTATAGGATCTACCAAGCAGGGCCCTCTGATTTCTCCTGTACTCATGTGTATTGGAATTGTACTGTCTGCCCTTACGTAGTAAAGCGCTGCATAGACTGTTGGCGCTATATATATATGTATAATACCAATACTACGGTATCCATTAAGAAAGCTGTAACACAGAAGGCCAGCGATGGGTAACTTGATTTTATGGAATTCACATAAAGCCCTCTACATCTTCAAAGAACCAAAACTTTACATTTAAGGCAGAATTCCAGGTACAAAAACTCTCATTGATATATAATTCTCAATAATCATAAAGTATATACTTTTTGTGCACCGAAGGCCTTTGCAAACCCAGATACTACCTTGTAAAAGTAGCAGTACTACCTAGTAAAAGTAGCAGTAATACCTTGTAAAAGTAGCAGTACTACCATGTAAAAGTAGCAGTACTACCATGTAAAAGTAGCAGTACTACCTTGTAAAAGTAGCAGTACTACCATGTAAAAGTAGCAGTACTACCTTGTAAAAGTAGCAGTACTACCATGTAAAAGTAGCAGTACTACCATGTAAAAGTAGCAGTACTACCTTGTAAAAGTAGCAGTACTACCATGTAAAAGTAGCAGTACTACCATGTAAAAGTAGCAGTACTACCATGTAAAAGTAGCAGTACTACCTTGTAAAAGTTACAGTACTACCTTGTAAAAGTAGCAGTACTACCATGTAAAAGTAGCAGTAATACCTTGTAAAAGTAGCAGTACTACCATGTAAAAGTAGCAGTACTACCATGTAAAAGTAGCAGTACTACCATGTAAAAGTAGCAGTACTACCATGTAAAAGTAGCAGTACTACCATGTAAAAGTAGCAGTACTACCATGTAAAAATAGCAGTACTACCTTGTAAAAGTAGCAGTACTACCATGTAAAAGTAGCAGTACTACCTTGTAAAAGTAGCAGTACTACCATGTAAATTTAGCAGTACTACCTTGTAAAATTAGCAGTACTACCATGTAAAAAATAGCAGTACTACCATGTAAACGTTGCAGTACTACCATGTAAAAAGTAGCAGTACTACCATGTAAAAGTAGCAGTACTACCATGTAAAAGTGGCAGTACTACCATGTAAAAAAGTAGCAGTACTACCATGTAAAAGTAGCAGTACTACCTTGTAAAAGTTACAGTACTACCATGTAAAAGTAGCAGTACTACCTTGTAAAAGTAGCAGTACTACCATGTAAAAGTAGCAGTACTACCTTGTAAAAGTAGCAGTACTACCATGTAAAAGTAGCAGTACTACCATGTAAAAGTAGCAGTACTATACTACCATGTAAAAGTAGCAGTACTACCTTGTAAAAGTAGCAGTACTACCATGTAAAAATAGCAGTACTACCATGTAAAAGTAGCAGTACTACCATGTAAAAGTAGCAGTACTACCATGTAAAAGTAGCAGTACTACCATGTAAAAGTAGCAGTACTACCATGTAAAAATAGCAGTACTACCTTGTAAAAGTAGCAGTACTACCATGTAAAAGTAGCAGTACTACCATGTAAAAGTAGCAGTACTACCATGTAAATTTAGCAGTACTACCTTGTAAAATTAGCAGTACTACCATGTAAAAATAGCAGTACTACCATGTAAACGTTGCAGTACTACCATGTAAAAGTAGCAGTACTACCATGTAAAAGTAGCAGTACTACCATGTAAAAGTGGCAGTACTACCATGTAAAAGTAGCAGTACTACCATGTAAAAGTAGCAGTACTACCATGTAAAAGTAGCAGTACTACCTTGTAAAAGTTACAGTACTACCATGTAAAAGTAGCAGTACTACCTTGTAAAAGTAGCAGTACTACCATGTAAAAGTAGCAGTACTACCTTGTAAAAGTAGCAGTACTACCATGTAAAAGTAGCAGTACTACCATGTAAAAGTAGCAGTACTACCTTGTAAAAGTAGCAGTACTACCATGTAAAAGTAGCAGTACTACCTTGTAAAAGTAGCAGTACTACCTTGTAAAAGTAGCAGTACTACCATGTAAAAGCAGCAGTACTACCATGTAAAAGTAGCAGTACTACCATGTAAAAGTAGCAGTACTACCATGTAAAAGTAGCAGTACTACCATGTAAAAGTAGCAGTACTACCTTGTAAAAATAGCAGTACTACCTTGTAAAAGTAGCCTGTGCAGAATAGAGCTGTGGGAGGAGCCTAGAAGGCTCCACCCACTACATGCCACCTGCAAAAACTACAGGAGGGGTGGAGACAAGACCAGTCACTCTGCACAAGGAGAGGGAGCAGCAGTGAGCGGTCTTCATTACAGGAAGCTCCTTCACACACAGATCTGGAATACATACATAAAGTACACCAACATTCAAGCAATACACGACTCTTGTATGTAGACCACATTTGCTTTTCCCGAAGTTCAGTTTTAATCAACTATGAAAGAAACAAGGAAGCTGATAGGTGCGGTCTTTTACAGCACTTTGCAGTGCCAAACAATAGTTGTGTTTTGCACCTCCATGTTGCAGTGCAAGTCTATGAATCAGTTAATTTAAGCCCGCAGGCTACAATTTGTCCGGTTCAGCAGGAACCGGCCAACTTGCGGTCCATGTGTACAGCTGCCTGTTCAAGAGAAGACAATCTAATGACTGGCTTCTGTCAAATGGTCATGCTGGAAAACCAGCATTCAATCAGCATTTGCAGCCAATGGCTGCAAGAGTTGATCAGTGTATTCTGATGGGGGAAGGAGTGGATTCCCTGTGTCAGAAGAAAACAGAGCAGAAAGAGAGAACTCTGCATGAACATTGCTTGTGTTGATGAGGGGATCTGTCAGTTTTTGTGGCCTTGCATTCGACCGTTTGACTGACTTCTATTGAGCAGGAACGGCCCACACATGGATCAACATTCAGCCGGTCTCTGCTGAACCGCCTGGAATTTGATCTATGGCCAGTTTTACTGAAACGAATGCATCTCTGCGTGGCTGATATCCATTCTCAGCACTTGTATTTTTTTTAATAATGAGTTTGTTAAGGGCCAGTTTACTCTGGTGATCTGCAAATTTCAACATTTAAAAAAAAGAAACAAAAAAGGAAGAGAAAAAAATGTAAGCTTTAAGAATTAAAGTGCAATAAACTCAAATATAAAAGTAGGAAAGTGTCTAGGCTCACAGAAAGGTTCATCGGTTGGGGGGATATTGAGGAATATTATATTCATTATTTTATTTTTATTCAAATAGACAGGGTTTCCTTAAACAGAAAATAATAAAAGCACATTTTTTTTTTACCGGTAACAAATTATAATATTTTTTTTTTTTAGGAGCCTGGAAAACATTGTGCTGGTGCCATGCATGACTCCTGCAGACTGTCAGTGTATTTGTCTCCTCGTACCTCATACGGGCAGGCAGTTTTACACTGAGAGGAAGAATCAATGAACTACCACAGCGCTTAACAGCACCATGGTAGTTCATTGAGAACTACAAGCTGACAGCCGCAAAGGCTGTCAGGACTCGTAGTTTCCTATTCAGAGAACTCTGTGAATGAATGACATGATTGAGCATAGCACCTGCATGGCTGTTATATTTAAATTGTGACTGCTAGCAGGGGGGAGAATATCCCCCACTAGTTGTCACAACTGGGGATGGGGGGGGGGGGGGGGGGGGGGGGGGGGGGGGGGGGGGGGGGGGGGGGGGGGGGCTGTAGGACTTCTCCCGAGCTTCTCCCATCCTATGGAACTCCCTACCCCAATCTGTCCGGCTGTCTCCTAATCTATCCACCTTTAAACGATTCCTGAAATCCTCTCTCTTTAAAGAAGTCTATCCTGCTTCTACCTAGTAAACTGCCATTTATTTCCTCCATCCGCTCATCCCCCCCACAGCTATTACCTTTTGTATCACTCAACCCTTCCTAATAGATTTGTAAGCTCTGACGAGCCGGGCCCTCTGTTTCCTCTTGTACCAAATTGTATTGTACCTGTAATGTCTGCCTTCATTTTGTAATGCCTTTCACCTTACTAACCGTTCGTTCTGTATCTGCCACCCCCCTCTGCCAATCCCTCCACTGGCTTCCAATTGCCCAAATGGATAAAAATTCAAAACACTAACACTGACGTATAAAGCCGTTCATAACTCTGCCCCAAATTACATCACTGACCTTGTCTCTAAATATCACCCAAACCGTACTCTCCGCTCCTCGCAGGACCTCCTACTCTCTAGCTCCCTTGTCTCCTCCCATGCTCGTCTCCAGGATTTCTTCAGGGCTTCTCCCATCCTCTGGAACTCCCTACCCCAATCTATCAGACTATCGCCTACTCTGCTCACTTTTAGGCACACTCTGAAAACCCATCTCTTCAGGGAAGCCTATCCCGACCCCAGCTAATACTGGAATCCTCTTCTCTTCCAACCACTCCATCCCCCACAGCTAATTACCTTTTGTACCACTATCCCCTCCCTCCTAGATTGTAAGCTCCCAGGATCAGGGCCCTCTAATCCCTCTTGTATTGAACTGTATTGTTGCTGTATTGTCTCCCTCCATAATGTAAAGCGCTGAGCAAACTGTCGGCACTATATAAATCCTGTATAATAATAATAATAATAATAATAAAATGTTACAAAAGGTGAACTGATCCTTTAAGGAAATACTTGTGGTATATTCTTCTCCCACAGTAAATCAAAGAGGAATTCTCCTGCGCTATAGGACTCAGACAGGTGGCGAATAGATGGAACCAGGCCTGGAGAAATCGTTCACCAATGCATAAAAGGGCTGTGTGGCTCTGATGAAGAAGGGACTCCCTTCGAAACGCGTCAGCTATACTGAACACCCATTCCCTTGATGGGATTCACGCCATCTTCAAGTCCCTGTGAGGACTTACATGCCTGATTTCATTCGCTGTTTTGTGAGTATATTTTTTACAATTAATAAATTTTGGTTACTGAGGTAATGCGCAAGGTTGGTGCGCTTCTCGTTTTCATTATATTCTTCTCCCACGCCATACTGGAATTGACTTAAAATACTGTATATCAGCAGCACGCCGACAAGTTAATGTCAAAGCTCTGTATTCTTGTATGATCCCATAGAGAGCGACGTTTCAGGACCATGCAGGGATCCTTCCTCCAGAGACACTGTCATCCTGTCCATGCAGGGTAAAAAGACAGTACCTCTGCAAAGGTTGTCCCAGCCTATCCCTTTATATTTACCTTACCCTGCTACTTCCTCCATGGCAGTCATATGACAGGGAATGGCATGACCTCAGGTTGCCAACATGGCTGATTTCAGTGCCAGCCGGAGAAGGGAGCGCAGGTAAGGTGAATACATAGAGGTTGGAAGGGACTCTCTTCAAGCAGAAGCCCCGTAAATAAAACACACAATCATCACACTCACCTTCAGAGCGGAGGAGGATTCGCTGATTGAGATCTTCTTTCTCTTCCTTTAAGTGACTGTTCTCATCTTCCAGTTCAACGATTCGCTGGATGAAATGATGTAAAGAAGAGAGGCATTGGTCACTTTTTAAAGAGCAGCCAACCACCTGACAGTGTTACCAGTTATAAGTGAAGATGTCAGCATGCAAAGTAGACTGCTAAAAGCCCAACTCGGGGGGGGGGGGGGGGGGGGGAATTGCTAGGGTAATTCCACTTTTGTGGGGAAAAAAATTAGCAAATAAAAAAATAATAATATAGCGAATATAACTGTGACTTAAGTCATATTGTAATTGAATGTTATTAAGAATGACCTTTCCTTTCAATCTGCAGTGTTGTAATTTTCTGTAAAATGCAATGCAATATGGCAACCTGGAGGTGTTTTGTACACGGAACAACCCCCAGAAGAGTTATTTCCTGCTTGTGTGATTGGCGTACTGATTTTCCCAGAAGTCTGCACTAAAATACAAGTCAAATTTTTGGCATCCCCTGCAACAAAGATATAATTTTGGTGAAATACTCCTAAAGGGAAATTGTGTCTAAAGGGATGCATACCCTGCCAATTTCCTCATTAGAGCCCTGCAGGTGCAGCAGCTGATTGATCATTATGATACCCCTACTATTACCCCCGGTTCACATCTATGCGGCCATGCGGGCCGTGTTTTGCACGGGTACGAGAGCCCATTCATTTGAATGGACTCCCGTGCCCGTGACACACAGGGAAAGAAGTCCCTGCACTTCTTTGGAAAACGCAGCCCACAGGGGAACCTCGGTTCCCAGTATGGTTGTGTTTTCCAGTGTGGGCGGCGTGCCATTAGAATTAATGGCCCCCGTCTGCGGGTCCGCAATTCTCTGTGCAGGTGGTGCGGCTGCAAGGATTTTCATGCGGATCCGCAGCGGCACCACCCGCATAGATGTGAACCGGGGGTTAGATTCACTTTGCACATGGACACAGACAATCAGCTCTTTCAGCAGAATAACAAAAGGTAGGAATCAGCAAACAAAGTTTGTTAAACTCCCTGCAATGTCTCAGCTACTGCAATATGACTTGTTCATGTCATGCCCTATGCTCTGTTTCCCCTGGTACAATATGTGTTTGGTCCGTTGAGACTTTATGTGGCCCTGACAAACTTTAGTATTGCTTGTTTTATTGTACAATGTGATGCTTTGACATTTGCACTGTTATTCTCTGTACCTCAGTTGACATCCTACTCTACTTTTTATTGTAAGTTGTGACGGGAGTCACTTTGGTTGGGGGGCCCATAGAAAACAGCTCACTTTGGAGAGGTGGGGAGACCCCTGTCTCAGCTCCCCATATCCCTCTTATGTGTAAGTCACCCTGTGCCCATTAGGGGTACAGGGTGATCTGTCCTAGTATTGTGTAGACGTGACTGGGAGATAGGTGGGGTGGGGGGTTGTGGATTGTTTGGTGTTGTGTGGCTGCATCCCATTGTTTTATTGTTTGTCTTGCTTGGGAGCAAACTATTATGGGATGTATGTGTTTATGTGTATTAGCTTAGTGGGGGGTGGGGGGGTGTCTCCAGCATCGCTCCCTCCTGATGGGACAGTCTGCTGAAGTGTGAATACCTGTGTGTCTCTTGCTACCAAATGGAGATTGCCCCGCCCTGTGTCATTATGCAGGGAGGGGGGATTGTCCCTTGAGTGTATATAATCTTGTATCTGTGTTGAAATAAACTAGACTACTTTCTGGATTACTTCAAGATTGGTGTCATCTAGTCTTGTATGGTCTGTTGTGGCGTCTGTGGTCGGTGTTCAGACAGGGAAGCGGTATTCTAATGGAAATACCCAACTGCAGTTGGGGTCGGTTCTGTTACATATGTCATTTGTACAAATAAAAGAATTACAAAAAACAAACCCTGCATTGTACACAGATCACCGAGAGGGGAATGTTTTTTCTCAACAAAAGTGGAGTTACTCTTTAATGTTGGCTAGATTGGGGAAAACTTGTGATTTTGGTGTGACTTTCTGTGACTGTATTAAAGGGCATATTCCCCAACTTCCTGTCCCTGTGATGCCCAAGCAAGAGTGGTGTGGTGGTAGTCACAGGGACAGGTAGGCACAAACAGCAATTAAACATTGCCAAAAGTTCTAACTTTTTCCTGCTCTACCAAAAATTGTTTTTTTTTTTTTTTTAACATGTTGGAGAGAATTCCGGTCCCCAGGGAAATCTTTCCAATATGATGGAAGATGGTATTAAAACCTGACAGAGGCTTTGACCTTCCTCTTCTCTATTTAAAACAATAAAAAATGATTGGCTGTATCCCCCAAAAGGGCACTGTATGTTTTGTGTATGTTGGGTGAACTCCCAACAGTCGGGGAACACTTGCTCTGAATCAGCAGAGAACATTAATCCCTTGGCGCCAGCGCCTCCTGGCCCTGTAAGGGGTTTGTGACGTCGGGAGGTGGGGCAGGGTTTAGGGTCATGTGACCGCCAGGATTGGCTGTCACTTGATCGGAGAGCTCCCCACTGCAGGCAGCAATCGGGACATTTCCGTGAGGCGGGGATGAATGTGCTGGGAACTCACGCTCTCAGCACATCCTTTGTTTACATCGGGTATGCAAATAAGAGGCCTCAAGGCCCAACTGCTGAGAGGACGCATATTTGCGCCAAGGAGTTAAAGTGATTCAATAAATGTTCAATTTTATACTTAAGCTGGCCATACATTATACAATTTTTCTGTCCAATTAGATTTACCTTCAACTATGTAGTGCAAGAGCCTAGCTAATGGATACAATTGAAAGTGTTGTTTAGGTTTGACCTCATATTATATTTGTGTTTTTTGGAAAATTTAAAGCAAAATTCTCAAGAAAATTGTATAATGTATGGCCAGCCTTACCTGGTCTGTGCTATTGTTTTGCACAGAGCAGCCTGAACTTCCTCTTCTGGGGTCTCCCCCTCACTGGCACTCTCGGCTCCTCTGCTTCTCTGTGTGCCCCCCCCATAGCAAGCCGCTTGCTATGGGGGCACATGTGCGGGCTCAATCCCGAGCTGGGCTGTGTACGTCTATTAACACACAGCACAGCTTGGCCCCACCCCCTCCTCACAGGATTTGACTGACAGCAGCAGGAGCCAATGTCCACCACTGCTGCCTCTGCATTCTGTGTGACAGAGAGAGACAGTGCTTTTGGGCACAGCATTAGATCCAGATCGGGCACAGATAAGTATTGGGGGGGAGGTTTGGGGGAAAGCTGATCGTAGAAGGTTTTTTTTTTTTTTTTTTTTATGTTTTTACCTTAATGCAGAGAGTGCAATAAGGTAAAAAAGCCTTTACAACCACATTAAAACGAACCCTCATTCAAATGTGAAAGTCCCGCTCATCTCCTTCCTCCCTAAATGTTTCTTTTTTTTTTTTTTAAATTTAAATATTATTAAATTTTTCATGTTAATACAAATACTCAAAAAGGGAAATAATTCACATACAAATAAACATTTATAACATTTCTACCTTTCCCCTGCTAAAAACTCTTTTTTTTTTCCCATTCAGCACCCCCCCTTCCCGCCCCTCATCCCCCCTCCTCCCCCTCTGCAGACTCTAGCCCATTCTAATCTCTCGAGGCTTATTAATTTTTTGCTAACATCCTAGTTCATATTTTCCTATATTTCTCTTTCAATCCTGCTCTTTCCACTTTTCCCATCTCCTATAATAAACTCTCATCCTATCTTCCTGCATATGGTATGATCTTTCCATTCTACCTATCTGGTTTACTCTATTAATCCAGTCCTCCTCCTTCGGTACCTCAGATTTCTGCCAAAACTTGGGTATCAACCCTTTCGCCGCATTCAAGAAGTACCATACACCTGAGTCTTTATATTTATTTACAGATGTCCCCACATTGTGTAGGAGGCATGTCGTTGGGTCTAACCCTATGTCAATTTCAGTTATTTCTTCAATCAATTTGACTATTATCTTGCAAAAAACCTGGATTTTCGGACATTCCCACCATATGTGAAACACCGTGCCTATCTCTCCACATCCTCTCCAACACATATTTGAATTTTCTCCATTCATCTTATGCTCTACACTCGGTGTAATGTGCCATCGTGTCACACACTTATAATTAATCTCCACCTCTCGCATACTAACATTATCGTGTATCAATCTAAACATCTTTCTCTGTTTATCCTCATCAAACCCAACTCCCATATCTCTTTCCCATTTTGTTATAAAAATTAACTCTGTGTTTGTGTCTAATTCTGAGTATTCTATACACTTTTGAAATACCGTGCTTCCCATCCCTACGTGTTTCTAACAACCTTTCAAACATATTCCACTCCTGTTTTAATCTCAGGGGTTTCGGTAGATTACCAATAAAACATTTCAATTGATGATATTTCCACTCATCTATTCTAATAAAAATATCTCCCTTCTTCTCTATTAAATCTTTAAGTGATCTCAATTCCCCCTCCACCAAAACATCTCTCAGTTGGGTATCCTCCTTTCTAAACCATCTCCCTGATATCTTATTCTTTCCTGGGGGAAAGTACTCAGTGTTTGTGAGAGGCATTAATATAGAATTAAATTCCCATTTCATGTTTTTTGTGTAAATTGTCCCATACCCTTAAAACATTTAAAGTGTAGATACTTGTGCTTTCTTTAATTCCTCTAAACTGTGGTGGAACCCATATCATCTGACTCAATCTAATGCCACTAAGATCATTTTCAATTGTTACCCAGCTTTTCCCCTTATGGTTAAATGTCCAGTCATATATTCTTGCTAAGACCGCTGCTTTATAGTATCTCTTGACATCTGGTAGACCCAACCCCCCCTTCTCTTTAGTCCTACTCAATGTTTCATATGCTATTCTAGGTTTTTCCCTAAATGTTTCTTAAAGGCAGTTGGCACCTTTTAATGACAGGTACCCACATCCTCAGTTCTTAGCTGCAATGATGTCAACTTCACACTCAAACCCGCCCCCGACACGGCACACATCCCAGGAGGCTGCGGGACCAGTCTCAAAGCACTGCTGTGCCTGGCGCATGGAAGGTGGGGAGCCAACTTCAAGAGTTCAGGAAGTCACAGCTGGCTCTTATATCAAAGATGGTGGCACCAAAGAGCCAAAGCCAGGCACAAAAATCAATACCAGAAAAGACAGCCGTCTGGTAAGCGTCTGTTTCTTAAAAGTATTGTAGCTTCTGACATTTATTTTTTTAAAACAAGAGTGAAGTACCTGTTCATTCCAATGTCTTATGAGTAGTTCTGCTGCTTGGTATATGCTTTCCACTTACCTTAAAGCCCAACTCCCAACTGGCCCCTCCCTCAATCATCCCCCCCCCAGAGGCTCCTCACGGTATATATGTTTAGCTTAATATTTTTATATTTGCCACTTTCAGTCTTGAGGGAGGTCTCATGACACACTGGGTCTTTTTCCTCTGCATTTTCTCTGGCCCTGGGAGGTCTTTTGTTGATACAGAGAACAGAGCTGATGTGATCTAGACAGCACCACTCTCTGCTTCAATACACTATGAATGAATGGCACTGTGGTGGAACCCCCTTAACGGGGAACCACTATGTCGCCTATTCACTTACAGTATGTCCTCAGTCTTCTGGATTGAATGGTGAAGGGCATCATTCAAACAAGAAAAACGAGGGCATCTTGTGGTGAAGTAGAAGTACTGCAGGGGACAACTCCAGATCGAAGATGATTTTTGCTACCTGGGTTGCTTTCTTATTTTTAAGCCCCAATGGGGGCCCGTTTAAAAATAAAGAAAAAATGTTAAGCATCACATCTCCGCTGGTTTGGACTGCTGCGTGAGCAAGGATGAAGTAAGGGTGCAACAATTCATTGGCCTGGTTAGCTTTGACTTTATAGTGTAAATACCATTCTTGAAAAAGAGGGTTTTCAAATTAAGAGCAGGGACAGGTCAATGTAATGTGGCCATTCAACCAAAGAGTTTTCTCACCCTTAGAACCTGTGACCAGGATATGGACATGGTCAGGAATTTACAGCAGGGAAGCAGAGTTTTTGAGAGGACAATTTGAACTACTTTAGTGCTTCTGCTGTGATCTTTTGAGGATAAATTACTCCACAGTGTTTGTGGCTACAGACATCAGTGAGGTCTTTTTTTAAATTTCAAACACTGACTCTGTTAAGAATATGTAAATACCTGAATATTCATAGCCTGAAAGCAGGTTCATTAGGTACTAAACCTTTTCTCAACTACTATGCCTCCATTAACCCAACCAAAACACCCCTCTAACTTGAAATCCCTTTCATAGGCCTCCTAGACACTGTTAATACTCCTCAGTATTCTGCCGTATACTAGTCTTTGGTGAGCCTGCTGTCTCCCTAGATCCAGCTTCTCTGCTTCTAGAGGTGCTCAGGTATGAGTTTGGTGAGAAAAAAAATGTATACTGGTAACGTACATTCTCGTTGGCTCTTTTTTGAGAAAGTCTCTTTAGAGTTGCTTTCACAGCCCCCCCCCCCCCCCCCCAATTTTATTTGGTGTGCCTCACAGTGTGAAGAGCCATGCTAAAGGGAAAAGAAGAGATACCTGCTGTAGCTGCTGCTTCTCGCTCATATAGGAGTCCTCTACAATCTTCCTCTCATCTTTGCTCTTTTCCAGTTCAGCCCTCAGAGCCTCGATTTCCTCCTGCAGGCTGGCCAGTTGGTTCTCATCCTGCTGGTTCTGCCGTTGTCTCTCCAGCTCCTTCTGCAGCTTCTCCACCTCTGTTGAATGAGAGGTTGTCGCTGTCACTAGCTGCTCCTTCAAATCCTTGAAGTCTTTGTTCTAGAGAAAACAGACAGGGATCACTACACATCAAAGACAAGCTGAGGATTTTTATAGCAACTTTTGTAACCTGCAACTCCTCTCGCACCCCTTAGAGCATTAACACAACACCTTTACCGCTCACACCGTACATACACAATATATTGCTTTTATCAAAGCGTGGACATGTGGGATTCCTGCATCAACAGGAGTGAGACCATCTCACTGGGCTTAAAGGAAACCTGTGCTGTTGACTGGCTGTCTCCAGCTTCAAAGGTTCAACACAAGTAAGTTGGGTCAGAGTAAAGTCAGAACTTAATATGTAAATAGCTGGCTGAAGTACTTTAGGCAAGGTATTAGGCAAGACAACCAGGCAACAAATTCATTCAGGAGGAAGAGTCAGAAACTGCATATTTCTTTCAGTATATGTTAAAGTGCACCCTACTCTACCAAAAAAGCATTTGGCTTTAGGCATATTTTAGAGCAGTAATCCTCAACCAGGGCTCTGTGGAACCCTAGGATTCCTCCAGAGATTGCGAAGGGTTGATTGATCTCCTATTTGATGGTGCTTACATAGTTCCAGGGCTAACACTACTTGGCAAAACCAGCAGCAAGACCCAATTATCTTTTTTACTTGTCTCTAAGTTTAGCTGTCCAATCACCACGGTATAGGTTAAGGGTTGCATTCTTCTAACTAACATCCAATGTAAGGAACATGCTCCCCATTAACATCTGATGAATTGGGTTCCCCGAGAGCAGAAAATTATTTTAGTTTCCTCAGGGGTAAAAAGGGTCAGAAAAGCCCTTCCACATGAGGTGGGCTCGGTTGGAGTCCACTTGCTCAGTGAGGTATTTGTCCGCTGATCCCCACTAAACAGGCAGATGGCTGGTCTGTGTCTGCTCTGCTTATGCAAAACAGACACAGCCTGCTCTCCTCTATGGATGGTCAGATGTAAATAGTCCATCTGACTGCCATCTGATCCATTCTGCTAGACGGAAGGGTGTTTTTGCGGACTGGATTGGATGTAGGTGAGTATAAACCAGGGTGGATTTGATTTAAATCAAACTGATTTAAATCACGATTTAAATCACTAGTCAGTAAGGCTTGATTTAAATCCTAGTTTTCTACATAAAGACTAATTCTTGCTGGTATAACTTTAATATACAAGTAGATGAAGATTTTTAGAATAACAACTTTTCATATTAGTTTTTTTTATCCCCAGTTTAATAGGTTAATCATTCATATTTGGACAATTTTTTCTGTTGTACTTAGGAAGGAGAAAAATAATCATTACCTTAATAATAACAATTTAAATAGATTTATTCATCTGAAACAATAACATTCCAGCATATGTGATTTGCTTAAACATCCATGTTTGTTAACTAATTTGGCTAAACAAAATCTATATATTTTAAGAAACTTAGACTGTCAGCCCCTTCCTCCTCACACTTAGTTTCACTTTCTTCTTGTGCAGATCTATTCCACTCCAAACAATCAGAAAAATATTGTTTCTATTCTATTCACTGAACTTCTTGAAACTTAGCACTGAAGGGGTTGATTCTGTATTCATAGGTTTGTAGAAGTTAGGATGAAGGTCTTTTTCTTAACTCTGTTCATGTTATAACATTTTTGCTGTGAAAGAGGCATGTGATCTCCGCTGAGTCAAATTCAGTTTTGAGAACTGCAAAAGTAAACCAATCATCTGTGATAATATCTTGTAGGCAGAGAAACTGCCCAAAAATCTTACAAAAACCTCTGGAAGAGCGTGACATTGTAAATGGATTCATGGAATTTATTTACCAAAAAAATTAAACATATACAGCCTTATTCTACATAAATAAAAAACTAATCTTTATGTCATGATGGAATAACCTTTGGATGGTAATATATTTTCCTCAAAAAGCATTTTATTCAAAAAAATCCGATTTAAATAAAAAAAATCCGATTTAAATAAAAAAAAAAATCGGATTTTTTTTGATTTTTTTAAAAAAATCATTGATTTTTATCCACCCTGGTATAAACAAACACATCCGTTTACATCCACCGCTCCATAGAGGACAATGGAGGGTCCAATCGGGTCCACCTGAAAAACAGACAGGGGGACCCGTTTGGTCTTCCTGTGTGAAAGGGGCCTTATACTCACCTCTCTGGTGGGCCATGTCTTATCTCCACTCCATTTCAGTGCTACAAGGCTCTTCCAGGCTCTTCAGCATTTAGGCAGCGTTGAATGCCTGTGTGCTCCCTTCACCTGTATGCCAACCCATATATCACTACACGACTCTGCGGTCGTAAGAAAGAACCACACCATGATGGACACAGTCATCCAACACTTCTGGAAGTGTTGAATGCTGGAGAGGCTGACAGAAGCAGCAGCTCTGTAATGGAGGGGAGGTGGAAGACATGGCCCACCAGAGAAGTGAGAATAACATCATTATTATTATTATTATTATACAGGATTTATATAGCGCCAACAGTCTGCTCAGCACTTTACAATATAAAGGGAAACAATACAGCAACAATACAGTTCAATACAAGAGGGTTAGGAGGGCCCTGATCCTTGGAACTTACAATCTAAGAGGATATCTCTTTTATTGCAGGGCTGCCTCTTTGTGGAAACATGACAGGGACACTTTATTAACAATAACACAAGAAAATATATAGGAAGCCAGGGTGTAACTGAATTTATCCATGTTTTTAAAAAAATACAGATTCACTTTTGGGTCGAATAACCATTTTGCACCAAAAAAACCCATAAAAAAATAGTCATTTTTCAGAGAACTGACGACCAGTATTTGTGTAACCTGCAGAACTGTTTTTAGGTAAAAAAATAAAGAGGAAACACAAAACCAAATTATAAAAGGTAATTCTGTATATTTCTGGTCTACTAATGACTGCATTGTGTTGGTGACACGCAGGAAAGCCTAGTATGAAAAGGGTTATTGTGTTCAGTTCATGCACAAAGCTCTGTCTGGGTGTAACTAGGACAGGAAGAAGGAGAAGTGTGATTGTGACATGTCTCTGCTGACAGATGACTTATGTTCCATGACTGATACAGACACCAAATACCTTTTCTCTACTCCTATTTGTTTCTGTCCGGTGAGTTTATTTCCTTTCAGGTAGACCCTCATACACTAGTATATTTTTTGGGAAAAGGAACTAAATTTAGGATAATCTAACACTGCTCATAAATGTCACAACACAATTATTTGATATATTGATCATTTGGATGAAAGAATTACATCTTAACATACCAAAAGCTCTTAAGGGGCAATGCTTTAAAACAAACGTGGAAGAAAATCCTATTGAATTCCACCACATTGACCTTTTTCTTTGTTGCATTGAACAATTGTAACTTGATTTATTTTGAACTCTTGAAATCCAAGATTGCTTATTGCGAGGTTAGTGGCCAACAAGATTGGTGTGTAGACAGAATGCGGACTGTTTAGGCCTCAAGCACACAGTATGTTCTAAAAACGGTGAAAAAGTGTTTTGGCGGAAAAACTGCCTGTCTGCCTAACACTTTTACAACCGCTTAGACGCGTTATAGGCATCAAGCACTTGGGCGTTAATTAATTTAATTGGCCGGAATAATAATTTATTGTGGCCACTGAAATTAACGATTAAATTAATTAAAGAACTAAACGTGCCTAGCATTAACGTGCGTTTACGCGCATCAAGTGTTTTCTCTGCCAAAACATTGCTGCTCCTGGATATTGTCCAAAATGTCTTGGTATGCTGACGCCCTTCACTGGAACTAGGGGGCCAAGCCCAACCCCTGAAAAACAACCCCCACCGTAATCCCCCCTCCACCAAACTTTACACTTGGCACAATGCAGTCAGGCAAGTACCGTTCTCCTGGCAACCGCTAAACCCAGACACGGCCATCAAATGGCCAGACAGAGAAGGGTGATTGGTAATTCCAGAGAACACGTCTCCACTGCCTAGTCCAGTGGCGGCATGCTTTACACCACTGCATCTGACGCTTTGCATTGCACTTGGTGATGTAAGGCTTGGATGCAGCTGCTCAGTCATGGAAACCGATTCCATTAAGTTCTCTACACACTGTTGTTGTGCTAATCTGAAGGCCACACCAAGTTTGGAAAAAGCGTTTTGGCAGAAAAACTGCCTGACTGTCTAACGCTTTTACAACCGCTTAGGCATGTTATAGGCATGAAGCACTTGGGCGTTAATTAATTTAATTGGCAGGAATAACAATTTATTGTGGCCACTGAAATTAACTAACGCTCAAGAACTAAACGTGCCTAGCATTAACATGCGTTTACACGCATCAAGTGTTTTCTCTGCCAAAACATTGCTGCTCCTGGATGCACTGGCCCTGGGTTTTTCGTCCTGCCTGTAAACGCCCCTACCACTAAAAGCTTCTAAAAGTCTATGTGTGCACGGACACATAGGAGAACATGGAGGGGTGTTTGGAAGCAGTAAAAAAAAAAAATGCCTGACGCCCCTAATAGAAGCTGCAAAAACGCCCTGTGTGCATGAGGCCTTAACCTCAGACACTAGATATAAGCTTTGAGATTCCAGCTGTCAATTTCCAAGGTGGATCTAGTATGGGGTTGGTGACTGTAAAGTAATACAGGCAGTTATACGTACACCTGAGGCAGTATGATTCTCTTTTTCCACTGCCAGGTCTTCTTTTATCTGCTGTCTATCCACTCTTGCTGGGGATTAAACGCACCATTATACTTGGATGGGTAAGCAGTGGCTGACAATGTTTCAGATGAATAATGGCAGTGCATCTCTTGGTACACAAGAAGTCAGATGGTGGAAAAAAGGAAGAGTCTCTTTTCTTACTTTATCTAAAGCCAACATAGATGGATCAAATCTCAGCCAGTTCAGGTAGGACTGGCCGATATTCGATCCATCGATGGGCAGGCTGGTTGTACAGAAGTCATCAATTGACTTCAGTACAACCAGCCTGTCTGGATTTGTGCATGCGATTACTGCCAGGGGCTATAGCTGGCAGGGAAGGCTCCCCTCTTGCAAAACACAATAGTGCTGTAGGAGGCATTCCTGTGGTTGCATAGAAATTATCTATGACTTGCTTTAGTCTATAACATTTAATTGGGCTTGCTCCAATTAGCATTACAGATTAATTTTTATTGTTTTTAAATGTTTCCTTTCAAATATATATATACACACAAACTATATTGCCAAAAGTATTGGTCGGCCTGCCTTTACACGCACATGAACTTTAATGGCCCCCCAGTCTTCGTCCGTAGGGTTCAATATTGAGTTGGCCCCGCCCTTTGCAGCTATAACAGCTTCAACTCTTCTGGGAAGGCTGTCCACAAGGTTTAGGAGGGTGTCTATGCGAAGGTTGGACCATTCTTCCAGAAGCATTTGTGAGGTCAGGCACTGATGTCGGGGGAGGAGGTCTGGCTCGCAGTCTCCGCTCTAATTCATCCCAAAGGTGTTCTATGGGGTTGAGGTCAGGACTCTGTGCAGGCCAGTCAAGTTCCTCCACCCCAAACTGGCTCCTCCATGTCTTTACGGACCTTGCTTTGTACACTGGTGCGCAGTCATGTTGGAACAGGAAGGGACCATCCCCAAACTCTTCCCACAAACTTGGGAGCATGAAATTGTCCAAAATGTCTTGGTACGCTGACGCCTTAACATAACAATTATAAAAAAGTGTCCAAAAAATTTTCCCAAAAATTTGTTCGTAAACCAATAAATCTTCTTTAGCTTCTCATATAATGTAAAAAAAACGTGAAAAATCCTCCACCAAATGAACTGAATAAACTCACTGGAGCTTGGTGGATTTTTCACATTTGGTTTACGAACTAATTTTTTGGACACTTTTTTGGACACTTTTTTAGAATTGTTTTTAATGTTTGATACAGATTCTCATGATTAATTATATATATTTTTGTTAGAAATTGGTTTATTTATTTTCATATTTTGATTTAAGTTGCTCACAGATTGGTTCATTGAACTTTTTAACTGATTTTGGGGGGGTTATATGCGTGGGTGTAACTTTGTAATTTTTTACAATTAAAAAAAAATTTTTTTTACTTACCATTTTTTTTGGGTGATATGTTCTCTTTGAGACATGCAGGGTCTGCATGCCTCCCCTGTGCTCCACTGAATGTAATGCAGTGCAGAAAGCACTGCATTACATTATTTCCTGGCCTTGATAACTAATAAATCTGTAAACGTGGACCCAGAAGTGATGTCATACAAGTGACGACACACGCGTGTCTGCTCTCCTCCCTCCCCTCTTTCAGCCGGCACCCGCTATGTATGTCAGACCCGGGTCCGCAGATGGGTAAGTGGAGCCTTGGATACATAGTGTGTGGGGGGGGTCCCGGGGGTGGTTTGTGGAAGCAATAGGGCGATGCTGCCGTCCAATTGCTTCCACCTGACAAGCCCTGCAGTGGGCTAAATGTTAAAAAAAACGACTTGCCTATCACCTGGAACTACATATCCCAGGTATCGGGCGATATAAATCACACATCCCTGTTGCATGCAACTCACAGGATGTGACCAGAACACTGCATTTCTACCACGAACAGATATTTTTTGTATTTGCTAAAATGTTTTTAGCTTGTGAAAAAAAAGAAAGCTAAGGCAGCCGCCACATCTAAGGACTGTCAGCTATAATATAGTATATTTTTTTCTTGGGTTTAGTTATCCTTTAAAGCAGAACTAAACCTAACATGTGAAAAACTGAATGAATGAACACTTTACATTGCATGGGCAAAATGGATTCCCAGAACACTTGACCCCAGTCTACATGCATCAACCCCCACAGGCCAATCAAGAGGCAGAAAGCCCTGCACCCAGGAGTAGCCCAGGATGCACATGAATCATTCCAACAGAATGCCAAGCAATTCTTATCTGCAAAAGCTTTGCCACTACATGGCAGCATGCATGCTCATTTAACCCACCCCCCACCTACATTCGTTCTATTGATCCCCCACCATGACAAGTTGCTTTATTGCCCAAAACAAATGTGTGGGAATCAGGAGAGGGGTGCGAGTTAAAATAGTGTATTGAAGCTTTTAAAGTCTCCTTAAGTGTATATACAGCAAAAACTTTACATTCAATTTTGGATCATTTCTTTGTTGTCGGTATCTCACCAGAGGGATTTCCCTTCACTTTTGGTTCCAGAGACCTCAACAGGAAGTAAAAGGAAATCTCTCCAAAGCTAGAGGATATCTAGAACAGTTGCTCCCATGGAGGATTTCCTCCTATCGCTGGTTCCTAGGACAACTCTAACATTTTTGCTTTTTGCACCAGAGACAATGGTCAATAGGACCAGGAGTGAGGGTCAATTTCCCTGACAGAGGTTTTACTCACATGTTAAATACACAGAACATACCTGCTCATCGATCTTCCTCTGTAGCTGAACCACCTTGTTCTCCATGCCCACACTCAGCTTCTTAAAGTGCTCGGCCGTCCTGGCCTCAATCTTCAGCTTTTTAAGCTCTCGCCGTGCCCTCATGCGGCGGTAATAACACTGGATGACAATGGCCGCGCAGCGGAACTTGGTGAACTGTTTGCGGATTATCCACCCTCGTAGGTTCTTCTGAATGACTGTAGCCTTGTGCTGTTGCAGGAGCTGCACGCAACAAAGGAAAGTCAGACCATTTAGTAATCCATTCCAAAAGTGAATCCATCCACCATTTTACATTTTCAAAAGGAAGGGCTTGTTCACAGCAATGCGTTGTGGTAATACATGCGTTATGAGAATGCAGAATACACATAACCATTCCCCTTCAAATTACAAAAAATCATATCCATCAAATTAAAAATGTTACCTCTATAAAAGCCACACCTACAGTTGCAAGAAAAAGTATGTGAACCCCTTAGGATTACGTGGAATTTTGCATGAATTGGGCCAAAAATGTGCTCTGAACGTTATCTAAGTCACAACAATAGAAAAACACAGTCTGCTGAACATAATACTACACAAACATTAGATGTTGCCATGGTTTAATTGCACATACCATTCACAGTGCAGGGAGGAAAAAGTATGTGAACCAATAGAAGTCTATGGCTAAGCGCACAAACCCGCAGGATATAATAGAAGTCTATGGCTAAGCACACAAAACCCGCAGGATATAATAGAAGTGTATGACTAAGTGCACCAAACTCGCAGGATATAATAGAAGTCTATGACTAAGTGCACCAAACTCGCAGGATATAATAGAAGTCTATGACTAAGTGCACCAAACTCGCAGGATATAATAGAAGTCTATGACTAAGCGCACAAAACCAGCAGGATATAATAGAAGTCTATAGCTAAGCGCACAAAACCCGCAGGATATAATAGAAGTCTATGGCTAAGCACACAAAACCCGCAGGATATAATAGAAGTCTATGACTAAGCGCACAAACCCGCAGGATATAATAGAAGTCTATAGCTAAGCGCACAAAACCCGCAGGATATAATAGAAGTCTATGGCTAAGCACACAAAACCCGCAGGATATTATAGAAGTCTATGACTAAGTGCACCAAACTCGCAGGATATAATAGAAGTCTATGACTAAGCACACAAAACCCGCAGGATATAATAGAAGTCTATGACTAAGCGCACAAAACCCGCAGGATATAATAGAAGTCTATGACTAAGCGCACCAAACTCGCAGGATATAATGGAAGTCTATGACTAAGCGCACAAAACCCGCAGGATATAACAGAAGTCTATGACTAAGCGCACAAAACCCGCAGGATATAATAGAAGTCTATGACTAAGCGCACAAAACCAGCAGGATATAACAGAAGTCTATGACTAAGCGCACAAAACCCGCAGGATATAATAGAAGTCTATGGCTAAGCGCACCAAACTCGCAGGATATAATGGAAGTCTATGACTAAGCGCACAAAACCCGCAGGATATAATAGAAGTCTATGACTAAGTGCACCAAACTCGCAGGATATAATAGAAGTCTATGACTAAGTGCACCAAACTCGCAGGATATAATAGAAGTCTATGACTAAGTGCACCAAACTCGCAGGATATAATAGAAGTCTATGACTAAGTGCACCAAACTCGCAGGATATAATAGAAGTCTATGACTAAGTGCACCAAACTCGCAGGATATAATAGAAGTCTATGACTAAGTGCACCAAACTCGCAGGATATAATAGAAGTCTATGACTAAGCGCACAAAACCAGCAGGATATAATAGAAGTCTATAGCTAAGCGCACAAAACCCGCAGGATATAATAGAAGTCTATGGCTAAGCACACAAAACCCGCAGGATATAATAGAAGTCTATGACTAAGTGCACCAAACTCGCAGGATATAATAGAAGTCTATGACTAAGCACACAAAACCCGCAGGATATAATAGAAGTCTATGACTAAGTGCACCAAACTCGCAGGATATAATAGAAGTCTATGACTAAGCGCACAAAACCCGCAGGATATAATAGAAGTCTATGACTAAGCGCACAAAACCAGCAGGATATAATAGAAGTCTATGACTAAGCGCACAAAACCCGCAGGATATAATAGAAGTCTATGGCTAAGCGCACCAAACTCGCAGGATATAATGGAAGTCTATGACTAAGCGCACAAAACCCGCAGGATATAATAGAAGTCTATAGCTAAGCGCACAAAACCAGCAGGATATAATAGAAGTCTATGACTAAGCGCACAAATCCCGCAGGATATAATAGAAGACTATAGCTAAGCGCACAAAACCCGCAGGATATAATAGAAGTCTATGGCTAAGCGAGTCCCTCTGCACTGCACTCTGATCCTCTGGGATGGTGGGTCAGCAAGCCAAGACCGCGATCTACCAGTCATCTAGACACAATCTACTGGTAGACTGCGATGTACGTGTTGCTGACCCCTTGTATAGAGACAGTTAGTCTTCCAATACTATACAGGGAGGCATTTCAGAGTATGGGTCATGGGTCAAGATGATAAGGTGTTCCAAAATAACAGAAATTAATGTTTCAAGTAATTGTTATATGTGATAATTGTGCAAACTCTTTGGTGAATGTGTTAAAATGTAAATTGTTGATATGTTGGTAGGTCGTACGTGACAACTGTCTGGACTGGAGCTTAAAGAATCGTGTTTTGTGTTAGCACACTTACTATGTTCAACCTCCATGCATTTCAATCTTTCTACTTTCTAATCTTTACTTTTACTTTGTAGCTCTCTTCTAAATACTTTTCAAAACCGTTCACTGTGAGCAGAATTTGTTGTTTTCCTTCTCAGTGTAAAGGATCCACTTAGTACACACCTCACGGTAAGCTCTCCTGTCAACCATGCCCCGTGTGTAGGACTGGATGGTGATGGCCGCCCTGCGGATTGTCTGGTACACCCGGTAGATGCGGATCATTCGGAATTGTTTCTGGAAGCAAATGGCTGCTTTCGTTTTTCGAAGATGATCGGCCAGCCTGAGGGAATAAAATATGTTCACTTGTGATGTTAAAAACAAACCAGCCAAACCTCCACTCAAGCATAATCAAGGGACCAGTCCAGACAAAACTCACATTTCATTTATAGGTGGTTAGGATTCCCCTAAACTTCACTCTGACTCCACTATATCTATGTGTAGGGACTGCCAACAGAAATCTCACTTTCTGCTCAAGTGATTGGCTGGTCACTTTTCCTAGAGGTCTGCACAAAGCTTGGAGTAAAATTAAAAGCATGCCCTGCAATAGGACTTCTAATTTTGGTGGGATAACTTCTAAGGTGATGCTGCGCCTTTTTTAAACAACATTGACTGCCCAGGAGGTGATAATGAAGAAAATACTAAGCAGTTGTTTTCAGGACAAGGCAGGACTTACATCAAGATCTCAGAACTGGGAATTCTTCCTGTATTCACCATAAAATCCTTTTCTCTGAGTTCATTGAAGAGCTCAGTGGAGATCTTGATCTCTGACAGTCAAAGGTGGCACTGTAACTTAACAGTCAGAGATCAGGATCTCTGCTCTGCCCATCAATGAACATAAGAGAAAATGGGATTCTTTTGTACTCACCATAAATTCCTTTTCTCTTAGTCCATTGAAGGACATAGTGGAGATCTGGATCTCTGACCGTCGAAGGTGGTGCTGTAACCCAACGGTCAGAGATCAGGATCTCTGCTCTGTCCTTCAATGAACATAAGAGAAAATGGGATTCTTTTGTACTCACCATAAATTCCTATTCTCTGAGGTTCATTGAAGGGCATAGCAGAGATCTTGATCTCTGACCTTCGAAGGTGGCGCTATAACCCAACGGTCAGAAATTAGGATCTTTGCTCTGTCCTTCAATGAACATAAGAGAAAATGGGATTCTTTTGTACTCACCATAAATTCCTTTTCTCTTAGTCCATTGAAGGACATAGTGGAGATCTGGATCTCTGACCGTCGAAGGTGGCGCTGTAACCCAACGGTCAGAGATCAGGATCTCTGCTTTGTCCATCAATGAACATAAGAGAAAATGGGATTCTTTTGTACTCACAATAAATTCCTTTTCTCTAAGTTCATCGAAGGACATAGCAGAGATCTTGATCTCTGGCCTTTGGGTTATAGCGGCATCATCAACCAACAGTGATGAAAATTTCCGCTATGTCCTTCAATGAATGTAACAGAAAGATAAGTATTAGTTGCCAACATGCTCGCAATGTAAACAGGTCATATAGAAGAGATTATATTTTTTCTCAGCAAATTTTTTGTTTATACCCCTCTATTTTCCCCAATCCATGCAGCCACTAGGCACGAAGAGAACTTCCTGGTTCGTCCATTTATGGCGGAGCACACAACACACTTTCTTCCCTCTCATAGGAGAGTGCTAGTACTTAGTGATTGGTGCAGGGAGGTCAGATGGGTGCAAGGAACAAATCCTCATCTCTGTGGAAGCTGCAAGTCATGACTTCTAAGGTGAAAAAGCAGACACCACAAGACAGCACGGCTTTCTGCAGCTGTGACCTGGCAGGTATGAAGGTTCGTGGTGCTTATAGTTCCACAAAGAATTAGAATTCACCAGCAAGTTAAGCCAGCTCTAGTTGTCTCCTCTAACAGAACTAGCCATTACATACACAGATCCTATAAAATCCATATACGAGGGACAGCGAGTTCCACAACATAAACTATAATTTACTGCAGCTCAATTGTCCCCCTGCAATAACAGTAAAGCCATCTGTAGCTGGCAGGGAAAGTGTATCATTAATGATCCACGTAATATCATTCTGGAACACAATCAGAATGCTGTAATGAATAAACACTCTGATGTGGTTCCATTAAACTCCATAGGAGCCAATAGATTTCTGGCAGGGGATGTCTACTGATGTACATTATCTCTTCTCCTCAGACAGTATAATCATACAGGTAATGGTGAGAGGGGAATAAAGCAATTAAAAAGCCCTCCAACAAAATCAGTATGTGTCAAAGGAAATAGAAGGTATTCATATCTCATCATATATCCAAAAAAGTAATAGAATTATTCTGGATCATTACGGGACAGTGGGTGGAGCCATGCAAATTACTGCTTTACACCCAATCAGCCAGCTGCACGTATCCAGAACCACTGGTGTATAGTAAATGTTACCAGATATTACAAAACTATTTATTTCAATTTGTATAGAGCTGTTTCAGGCTTTTTGGGCATCATTGGGGCATGTCTCATTCACTCACATACCCCAAAAATAAAAAGATTATTCCTCAATTCAGGGCAGTAGGTGGAGTCATCCACTTCATCCCTTTAGGCCACATCAGTCAGGTGCACATACAGGGGCACTGGTGTATAAAGGAATGATTGGCATGACTCCTGAAATGTCCTGAAATGGGTAATACGCCTATTCCCTACTTGATTGCAAGGGCGTCAAGCCTTTTGATTACTTCTGAGATGAATATGAGGTGCTGTCACAGGAACTTTTCTGTTACATTCACCTATAAACCTGCCTCCTTAAAGCAGAACTCCAGTCAAAAATGTTTTTCCACCATGCAATGTAGCTGTGACCCCATTGTATGGATAATTTTCTAGGGGTGAGCACAAAGCTTATACTCACCTGACCCGCCGATCCTCTGGAAAACTGTGCTCCCCCACGGTCCAGCGGTGGACTGTTCCTGTCTGTGGAGCTTGCTTTGAGCGTGCTGACAGCAGGAACAGTCTATTTACAAGACCGCTGGACCGTGGGGGGTTAGGGGCCGAAGGGCCAGGTCTTGTACTGGAAGGATCGGCAGGTCATGTAAATATATCTCCACAGTTCTCTCACCATAACGAGCAGTTAACCCATGCAGTGTGGGCACAGCCCCACTGCACGGGCAAAATAATTTTTATCCTGGAATTCTCCTTTAACACTTACCTGGTTTGAGAGTAAATGCCGTGCTGATCCACACTCTCCAGGCCTCATCTCACGCCTATATTCCTCTCTCAACTCTTCTACCTTTACCCTAAAGACAGCTTACATGGCGAACTGGGAGCGAGAATTGGGAGTAACTATTTTGGAGGAAGACCTGGTCGGCTACGGCTACCTGCTCACAGAATGTGATCGCACTTGAAAATTCCTACAAAATTCTTATGCGCTGGTATCTCACGCCAGTTCGGAGTTCCAGATTTGTTCCTGGACACTCTTCTCTCTGTGTTTTAGACTCTGTGGGCAGGACGGCACGATGGCTCATATATGGTGGACCTGTCCGAGGGCTGGTAGGCTGTGGATTCGGGTGTACACCTTAATTGACACACTCCTCCACTGTAATCTAAAGAAAGACCCAGCTGAGGCCTTACTACATAAACCCATACGGGCACTGCGCAAAAAACAAGCAAAACTAATCCCTTTTCTCTTTATTGCCACCATGTAAACTATTGCTCATTCCTGGAAATCAACCATACTGAGATTCCAGGAGGTCAAGGCTCGCTTAAATGGCTTCATGGTCAATGAGAAATTGACAGCCATACTGGAAAATAAATACAATAAATTCCTGAAGGTTTGGTCTCCATGGATAGACTTCAATCAGTCAGGTCTGAGGGCATTACAGCTATGACCCTTCTCTTCCTTTTACTCTCCTCAGGTGTAGGATTGAGTCACTATGCTCGTGTGATATTCAAAGGTGCTCTCCAACATTTCCCCCCCAGTCTCTCTTCTCTCTTCTGCCCTCCCCCCCATTTTTTTTTCTTTCCACTCTTCTCTCCCACGCCTGCCCCCCCCCCCTCTTTTTTTTTTTTTGTTGACTCGTCATTTTATTGGGCTGCCCAATTTTTGACCTTATGGTGAGTCGGGCTTTGATATACCCAGACTGAATGAGCTTTTCACAGTCCTCCTTCGGCCTGTGCTGAACCTGACATGCTACGGTATTAGACCTACCGTCCCTTTACAATTCCTCTGCCTATGGATTCATGGACTATTGCACTATCATTTGTTTCTATGTATATTTGCTACCAATATGGGTCATTACCACCCCTCTTGCTGCACTTTGTGCAATTTTGTGATAGTTTAATGTTTTTAAAATTGCAAACTTTCAATAAAAATGTATTAAACCAGAAAAGCTCCCAGGTTTTTACTGCTATCGGTATGTCATATAAGTGTTCTGTATCCACCGAGAGGAATAGCGTACGGGGAATGATTGCAAGAAAGTACCTGAGGGTAGAGAGGCAGCAGAGGGAACTGTATGTGGAGTGTAGCAGGCCACAAATTGTGTGGAGGCAGAGGGCACCTTAGGGTCGCAAGATGACACAGGATGCTCTGGGGTGCACTGGAGTCATAGGGTACACATGGCACAAAATGATAAAGGATGCTCTGGGGTGCACTGGAGTCAGAGGGCACACATGGCACAAAATGATAAAGGATGCTCTGGGGTGCACTGGAGTCAGAGGGCACACATGGCACAAAATGATAAAGGATGCTCTGGGGAGGACTGGAGTCATAGGGCACACATGGCACAAAATGATAAAGGATGCTCTGGGGTGCACTGGAGTCAGAGGGCACACATGGGTACACAAGGGTCACAAAACGATAAAGGATGCTCTGGGGCACACTGGAGTCAGAGGGCACACATGGGTACACAAGGGTCACAAAACGATAAAGGATGCTTTGGGGTGCACTGGAGTCATAGGGCACACATGGCACAAAATGATAAAGGATGCTCAGGGGTGCACTGGAGTCATAGGGCACACATGGGTACATAAGGGTCACAAAACGATAAAGGATACTCTGGGGCGCACTGGAGTCATAGGGCACACATGGGTACACAAGGGTCACAAAACGATAAAGGATGCTCTGGGGCGCACTGGAGTCATAGGGCACACATGGCACAAAATGATAAAGGATGCTCAGGGGAGCACTGGAGTCATAGGGCACACATGGGTACACAGGGGTCACAAAATGATAAAGGATGCTCTGGGGGTCACTGGAGTCATAGGCACACAGGGCACACATGGCACAAAATGATAAAGGATGCTCTGGGGTGCACTGGAGTCATAGGGCACACATGGGTACACAAGGGTCACAAAATGATAAAGAATGCTCTGGGGTGCACTGGAGTTATAGGGCACACATGGCACAAAATGATAAAGGATGCTCTGGGGTGCACTGGAGTCAGAGGGCACACATGGCACAAAATGATAAAGGATGCTCTGGGGTGCACTGGAGTCAGAGGGCACACATGGCACAAAATGATAAAGGATGCTCTGGGGTGCACTGGAGTCAGAGGGCACACATGGCACAAGATGATAAAGGATGCTCTGGGGTGCACTGGAGTCAGAGGGCACACATGGCACAAGATGATAAAGGATGCTCTGGGGTGCACTGGAGTCAGAGGGCACACATGGCACAAGATGATAAAGGATGCTCTGGGGTGCACTGGAGTCATAGAGCACACATGGGTACACAAGGGTCACAAAATGATAAAGGATGCTCTGGGGCACACTGGAGTCAGAGGGCACACATGGGTGCACTGGGGTCGCTAGATCACAGAGCATGCTCTGGGGTGCACAAGAGTCATGGGGCAGATCTTGGTGCACTAGGTATACTAAATGGCACAGGATGCTCTGGGGTGCATTGGAATTATGGGGTGCACAGGGGTCAGTGGATAACAGAAGATGCTCTGGGGTGCACTGGAGTCACAGGAGTGTGGTGGGGTCACAAGCAGCACACAGGATGCTCTGGGGTGCACTGGAGTCACAGGAGTGTGGTGGGGTCACAAGCAGACACAGGATGCTCTGGGGTGCACTAGAGTCACAGGAGTGTGGTGGGGTACAAGCAGACACAGAATGCTCTGGGGTGCACGAGAGTCACGGGCACACAGGAGCACAGTGGAGTCACAAGAGGACACAGGATGCACTGATGCTTTGGGTTGCACTGGTGTTGTGGGTACACTGGATTCTCAGTAAGACTCAGAATGCTCTAGAGTGAGTAAAGGTTGCAACCCTTGTTAAGTGTTGATTATCTCCTGTGCCCCCATTGAGCTGAAGCCTCTACTTCTTGTTGAGTCACCGGAACAGGAAGTGAGGGTAAATCTCCCCAATGGGGATACAATGCCTTTCTAACTTAATTTAGCTTTCACCCTTAATGCTATGAATGTATATTTTAAAAACAAAAATCAGGATTATTTTCTGCCTTCATACCTGCGAGCGAGGTGTCCCCGTACATATCTCTGAATTGTGACGGATGCACTCTTCATTCTCCTGTATTTCAGTCTCTGTAACCAGCCCCGCACCGTCTTCTGGATCATAATGGTGGCCGCACGGAACTTGTCCGCTCGAAGCTTCTCCAGGTAAGCCACTTGTCCAGCACGGAAGAAGATCTTTGTGCGACCAAACTGGAACTTATCTGGATCCTATAGAGAAGACAACAAAGGGAGAAACTGAAGGAGGCGGTCATCAGGAAAAAATCCAGAGACAGTGTCCAGTGTTGTGAGCTTTAGAACAACTCAGCTATGCACTACATCCAAAACTAAACACATAAATAATCAGAAAACTGTTTTTGTAACACAACAATTACAATTACAGGGCCTGTATTACTTAACAAGTCAGGGACACGTGCAAGAATTAGAAAAGGTAGGAGGTGTGGTATGGCCACAGACAACAAATTATTCTGAGATCAGCTGACTGCATATTGGCAGCCCTGTGTACCACCAAGAATATAGCTTTTAATGGGTTTAAAATATTTTATTGATCCAGGGAGCTCTTCCATTGTAAAATCCGAGCATTTATAGTTTTCTGTTCTCTGTATACAATGCCCCCAAGGAATTTTAACTGCAAATCAATCTGACTTTCCCAGCAAGCTTTCTCCTGTTACAACCCTAGGACTGGTCACATGATTATGGGGGGGGGGATGCCCCCCCTTAACCTGATGAAGTTATGGTTATGGTCTCTTTCGGTATCTACAGAGCAGAAGCAGGCAAGAATCTGTAATGAGGTTTTCTAGAATGCCTGCAATGTACAGAGGGTATTTGTTAATACATTTATTTCAGTCAAATCCCCTTCTAAAGTACATGTAAAGCTGCTTTTTCATGTTGTATAGAGTAGGGAATGGTTAAAGTGATATTACCACTTCCCGCCCGGCCCATGTGTATATATATATATATATATAAACAGCCGTACGGGGGCAGTGCAGGAGCGGGTTGCCGTTCATAAACGGCGCCCGCTATTTTGGACTGTGCACGATCGCTGTACAGGACCTCTGTGTGAGGTCTCGATCATGTGATCATTGATTGGCCAATCAGTTATCACATACATAGTAGTAAACAAGATGACACTTCTGACATCATTGCTTACTACGTGTGAAATCTGTGAATGATCAGCCAGAAAGAAGGAGAAATGATTGCTTTTACAGCTTTTATGGGTGTAAAAGCAATCAGTGTAAAAAAAAAAAAAATCGTCATCAGCCCCCACAAGTAGTACAGTTTCACTATGGTGACACTGTACTGCTAGGGTGACAGTATGTTAAAAAATTATTTCATCATCTTGTGTTGCGCTCCTTATTAAATTGTAGTGACAAAGTGAATATTATATTTCATAATGTTACCTAAACATAAATAATCATAAATTCATATATAGAATAATAACTTATAAAAAAGTATAATATAAATCCATATAGATTTATATTATACTTTTTTATAAGTTATTATTCTATATATGAATTTATGATTATTTATGTTTAGGTAACATTATGAAATATAATATTCACTTTGTCACTACAATTTAATAAGGAGCGCAACACAAGATGATGAAATAATTTGTGTACACAGTGGTAGTTATGTGTTGGGTGTTTGCGATCCAGTAATATCAAGGACATATATTTTTTGTCCCGAGTTGTGCCACAAGGTGGCTATTTGCCACATACTATTTGGCTCGCAAGATATATACAGATTTGAGTATGTTAAAAAAAAAACATAAATAATAATATAAAAAAATAAAATAAAAATGTAAAAAAAGTTTTTGAAAAATTATAATTTTTGGTTATAAACTAATTTGGGTTATTTTTTTTTTTTACTAAAAAGATAACTGAATAAATTTTGACCAAGATTTATGAAGAAAGATTATTTATTTGCAAAATTTTGGTGGTGAATAAATACCACCAAAATAAAGCTTTATCTGTCTCAAAAAAATGCTAAACATTTCATATGGGTACAGTGTTGCATGACCGCGCAATTGTCATTCAAAGTGTGACTGCGCTGAAAGCTGAAAATTGGCCTGGGCAGGAAGGGGGTGAAAGTGTCCGGACAGGAAGTGGTTAAACCTTGAGGTTTTTTAGCACTTTCAGCGGCTCATGTAATCACTTACTGAGTGTGCAGCTTATTCATTAAATACTCTTTAACTATGTTTCAGTTTAACCACTTGACCTTTGGAAGGTTTTGCCTCCCTCATGACCAGGCCATTTTGTGTTCTATTCAGCACTGTGCTAGTTTACCTGGCAATTGCATGGTCATGCAACACTGTACCCAAATGAAATTTTTATAATTTTTTTTTTCACACAAATAAAACTTTCTTTTGGTGGTATTTGATCACCACTGGGATTTTATTTTTTTATTAGATAAACAAAAAAAAAAAAAAGATATTTTCTACCTTCTGTTTTAAAACATATCCAAAAAAATAATCTAACAAGCTAATTTTTTCATAAATTTAGGCCAAAATGTTCAGCTACATGTATTTGGTAAAAAAAAATCCCAATAACTGTATATTAATTGGTTTGTGTGAAAGTTATAGCGTCTACATTGTATACAAACTATGGTACATATACTTGAAAATTGGTCAATTAAGATGTACTGACAGCCTATCTCATTTCTTGAGGTCCTAAAATGCCATGACAGTACAGATATCCCCCAAATGACCCTTTTTTGGAAAGTAGACAGTCTGAGGTGTTTATTAAAGCGGAGTTCCACCTGAAAAAAAAATAAAATAAAAGTCAGCAGCTACAAAAACTGTAGCTGCTGACTTTTAAAATACAGACACTTACTGTCCCTCGGTCCAGCGGTGTCCTCACAACTGCTGGTTTCACCGGCCGTCTTCTCTCCCTGGGTCCCGGCATCTTGACAGCTTGCGGCTTCACAGCCGGGGGCCCACTGCGCATGTGCGAGAAGCTCTGCACTTTGTAAATGGCCCCGTAGTCTTCTGGGACCTGTCATGTGTCCCAGAAGACTACGGGGGGAGGGAGGGAGGAGGACAACTTCCGCTTCTGATCACCTAGGCGATCGCAGTTGAAGTGGAGCGGGTACCTGTCAAATTCAGGTACCCGCTTCCACCCTCCAGCTCCCCAAAGGTGCCAATCCTTAATGGGGAGCGGGGACAAAGGCTTAAAGCAGAACTTCCCCTTTTGGATGGAGCTCCACTTTAAGAGGCATGGCGAGTTTTTTTAATTTGTAATTTTCTGGAAAATGAAGAAATAAAATACATTTTTTTTTTCACTTTTTTTTTAACATACTGTCACCAGTGCAATACAGCATCATCATATAACTGGTGTGGCGGTGATCTGGGATACTGACTGAAGACAGTATGTTGAATAATTTTTTTTCAATGTTTTTTAACTTTTTTTTAGTAAAATTTTTTTTATTTTTTTACTATTTTTTTTTACATCCTGTCATCAGAGTAGTTTAGTGTCATCATAGTGACATTGTACTGCTCTGGGTGATCATGGGTTGTTTTTTACGCTGTTATTGTTTATAACAGTGAAGTGATCATTTTAAGATAGGTAAACATTCAGGACAGCTTAGTTACTATTGACATGCTGTGATTGGCTAGGGCTGATCACTTGGTACAGGTAGCCAGGTACCATGTGATAGCTGTGAGCCAATCGCAGCTTCACAAAACTAAGCAAGCAATCATGAATGGAAACTGTTCAAGACTGTTTTGTTTTCATTACAATTATGTGAATGCTATGACCAATTATATTGAGCAGATGATACCCTGGCCGCTCGTAGTGGCTGGATACCGGAAAAGTTAATTCACTGTGTCCGGTGGACACAGTGGTTGCAGAAGCAGCATGCTGCGCGCCCATGCACAACCGACTTACATGTACATGACTGTGCCAGAACCTGCTGCCTGCTCGTAGTATAATTACGGTTAACAGGTGGTTAAATTGGTGCCATGACTACTACCCCAGGGTGGCTTCTTTCTCTTGCAGCATCCTATGAAGCCAACCTTGTAGAGAAGAGCTGTGTCCCCCTGCACTGTGTTCACCAACAGGAACACACAGCCCCATAGACTAGGATGGCAAGGCGTTTCCCTGGTCCCCCCTTCCCCACCCAAACTCCCTTCTCTAAGTTAACCAACTGGCTCTAGACTGCCCGCTCCACTGCTCACTCTTTCCTGCAAACAACAGAAGTTCAGGGAAGCAGCAATGAGAGAGCAGGAACCAGCCACATCGAAAGTTGTAAACTGCAAGTGCTGGGGTAGAACTGTAACCAAAGCAGTAGTTTCCTGGGGAATGTTTATCTTATTGTGATATATGTGTTAGGCTCCATGTACACGGGAGTGTTTGCATACCACATTTATGAGTGTTTATGTTTAGAAGCGTTTTTTTTTAAAGATAATCTCAGGAGACCTTCAAAAATGTTAGGGACTGATGTGAATGTACAATATATATATACATATATATATATATATATGTAAAAAAGCGCTGCGTAAATTGACGGTGCGATATAAGTACCTGAAATAAAAAAAATAAAAATGCCCAGAATGCACTGAAAAACAGTAAAAAAATTAACTATTTCAGACATTTTGAGATAAATAGAGAGAGCAGAAGCAGAGAGAGCAGTATGTGTTGAGATTAGCTGTCTTTTTTTTGTGATGTTTGGATGTTCCGGCTCCTTTCTGTACAGAAATTATTGCAGCAATGTCTAACGTATTTTCTTTCATGCGAAACCTCAAAGTATGGTGTACCGGGTCCATTTGAGTACCGGGAAAACACTTTGCATGCATTTTTTGATGATGATAAAAGGGTCTGGACAGCATCTGGAAATGGAAGAGTTAAAAAAATTTCCAAACACAAATGCTTATAAACGCTTTACATGCATTTGGAGTTTGAAACGCCAATAAAATCTATTCCTGAATGCAAATTTGGTGCGTTCAAAAAAAACGACTGTAAACTCAACTGGCTGTAAACGACTATAAATGACATAGTGTACATGGACACATAGGAAAACATTAGGGAGGGTTCAGGGGCTGCTGAAAAAAACGCAGAAAAGCTCCTAAACGCGAGTTTATCAGCTGCAGTGTACACGGAGCCTTAAACTAATAAACACTGAGGGTTTAAAATTCTTCAAGACCCCTGTCATGCTTTTTTCATGCAGTTTCTCTTTGAGGAGATTGTTCTTCACTTCTTGTCCCATGAACGCAACAGGAAATTGAAAATCTCTGGCAAGTGATGGGAAATCCCCTCTTACACAGTTGTCACCAGGACAGACAACGGAATTCACCTTTATCAGATGCTCGAGAACATTCTTGCAGATGAGCTTTTTATCACTAAGGGAGAGATCTTTCTTGTTCATAAGAACACGATATCGGTTGAAGAAGTCAGGATATGTCCACCTGAAGAATAAAAAGAAGGATATTAGTTGTTATTTATTACATTTAGAATTTAAAATCTGTCAGAGAATTTGAACAGACCTAAAAAATGTGCTCACTCAGCATGCAAACTGAAACAAATTTAGTTTCCAAGATCTATCATATTCAAGATACAGTGGCGTCCCAAGGCAGGTGCCGCCCGCACCAGGTGCCACCTACCGCACGGGGTGACACCGGACCCACTCCACGAAAAGGTAAGTAGTAAAGCAAGTCGACGATCACGGCAGGATGGATCAGACTCCATCCTGCGGGGATCGTCAGCTTTCTTTACAACTTATCTTTTCGTGGAGCGAGTCCGGTGTCACCCCGTATAGGTTGCATGCCGATGATCCCCGCAGGATGGAGTCTGATCCATTATCCTCAATCCGCAGATCGGATCCATCCTGCGGGGATCGTCAGCTTTCTTTACAACTTATCTTTCGTGGAGCGAGTCCGGTGTCACCCCGTATAGGTTGCATGCCGATGATCCCCGCAGGATGGAGTCTGATCCATTATCCTCAATCCGCAGATCGGATCCATCCTGCGGGGATCGTCGGCTTGCTTTACAACTTATCTTTTCATGGAGCGGGTCTGGTGTCACCCCCGTATAGGTTGCATGCCAATGATCCCCGCAGAATGGAGTCTGATCCATTATCCTCAATCCGCAGATCTGATCCATCCTGCGGGGATCGTCAGCTTGCTTTACAACTTATCTTTTCGTGGAGCGGGTCCGGTGTCACCCCGTATAGGTTGCATGCTGATGATCCCCGCAGAATGGATTGGATCTGCGGATTTGGGAGCATAATGGATCGGAGTCCGATCCATTATGCTCAATCCGCAGATCCGATCCATTCTGCGGGGATCATCGGAGGGGGTGTCACCAAGTGTTATCGCACCGGGTGACACCAACCCTAGAGACGCCCCTGTCAAGATGTACTAAAGGGTGAGGATAATTCTGCTGACACCCTACAGCCTGGGGTACTTACTGTGTGGCCCTCAGTACCCCAGTAGGCAGTGCTTTCCTTGCCTAGCTATTTGCTAAGGAACAGTGAAGAAAAACACTCATTCATTACTTCCCTTCCACTGTACATGTACAAACAGCAAAGTGTTGGACAGACTTTTCCATACAGTGAACATGGTGTAGAATTCTTCAATTTATGGTCATTACAAAGTACAAGGGGGCACTCTACATCTGGAGATATACAGAAAAGCTTCTGCACAGTCTGAGCTGTGAACATGTGGAATAGACTTCCCAAGACCGAGTTCTGGCCAGCTCACTAGATTTTTTTTTTTTTTTAAAGCTGGATGTATTCCTAAATGCACAAATATGTCTGAACATGAACATTTATAGGAAATAACAACGGGGTAGTTGATCCAGGGAATAAGCCGATTGCCTCCTGAAGGTTCAGGAAGGAATTTCTTTCCCCACTGGAGTAAATTGGATAATGGATTTATAGGGGTTTTGTTTGCCTTTCCCTAGATCAACTGTGGATATAGGATTACGTCTATGAAGATTTTTATTTCTTTATTCATTCATTTTTTCTATTGGTTGAACTAGATGGGCTTGTGTTTTTTTTATGTAACTATGACTTAAAAAAAAAATATTTTTTTTTTTGTATTAAACTTGGTCACAGCAAATAAAAAAAACTATATATTGCTTTCAATCACTTAAGGACCGCCCCGCCCGCCCGCAATTCCTGCACAGGCTAAGTGACATACCCATATGCCACCACCTGTTTCCGGGTTTCAGGCGCACGTGCACCACCCGCTTGCATACTCCCGCTGTGATTGTACATAGTGGGAGCCTGTCAGCAAGTCCCAGCCATTGATTTGCAGCTGGAACTTGCTGATCAACTGTGTACAATCACAGCCCAGGGCTCTGTGTTAACCATCAACACAGAGCTCTGTAGAGAGGGAACGATCTCTCTGTTTCTCATCCCTGCTAAGCGGGGATGAGAAAGTGAAAGATCTATTGGTAAAAATCAGCACACTTTACACAGAGCTAGGCACAGATTTAACCCCTTGAGTGCCCTAGATGTTAACCTCTTCCCAGCCAATGTCAATAGTACAGTGACAATGTATAGCATTTTCACTGATCACTGTATTAATGTCACACTGTGTGTTGTCAGTGGCAGTTAGCCAGTTCCCCACAGCATCAGTTAGTGTCAGATTGCCCACCGTACCTCGCAGTCCCATTATAAGTCACTGATCACTGCCATCATACATATTATATCCCAGTATATATACCATAGTTTGTAGGCACTATAACTTTCATGCAAACCAATCAATATACACTTATTGGGATTTTTTTTATATCAAAGACATGTAGCAGAATACATTTTGACCAAAATGTATAAAGAAATTTTATTTTCTTTATTGGATATGTTTTGTACCAGAAAGTAAAAAATATTGTTTTCAGTCGTTTTTCATTAATATAGCAAAGAAAATTAAAAACCCAGCAGTGATAAAATACCACCAAAATAAATCTATTTGTGTGAAAAAAATGATATCAATTTTGTTTGCGCACAACAGTGCATAACAGCGCAACTATCAGTTAAAGTAGCGCAGTGCAGAACAGTAAAAAAGGGCCTAGTCATGAAGGGGGTAAAATCTCCCTGGAGCTGAAGTGGTTAATAAACAAATGAAAATCGCTGTACAAGTGATGAAGCCCGTTCTTCCGCCCCCCCCCCCCTTCCTTTCCCAAGCTGATATTTACCTGGTTTCACAAAAAAAAAAAGAAAAAATATTTTTTTTTAAATTTCATTTTTATCTTGATCATAGCAACTAAAGAACATGCGAAAGATAAAGATACATTCCTTTTAATAAACAAGAGAACATCATTACACAGATGACTTACACAAAAAAAGTATTTTTTTAAAATGTTATTTTTTTTAGTCTTGATTATAGTAGATAAAGAATGTGTGAAACAATTATACATTCCCTTTAATAAACAAGGAATGAAAAAAAAGAGCCGTTGCAAGCAGTACCTAATTTCAGCTTGGATGGGCAGAATATTAGGAGTCATTACAAAAGATCCAATTATATTTCACTGCTTGGACGTTATCCAAACACACAGTGAAGATAATACTTTCTCTCTGACATCCCAAGGCAAAACATGAAATGATGAAGAAATATCCGGATTATTTATGCAATGAATGAAAACGATTTCAGCGGACCAGCTGACTGCTACAGCATAGTGATCACGATTACCGCAGAAAGCCGTCTAATCAACACTTTATGGAACAGTGATTAAACTCTATGAAATGGAAGAAATGTTAATCGCAAAGACAGACATCAGTATAACTGGGGCAAGATGTAAAAAAGAGGCAGATTTGCATCACTTTTCTAAAGTGCCTATTGCTTGTTTTCCCCTTAAACTGTTCACCATTTACATCACACAACACACTTTGCTGGCAAATAATTATGAAAATTTAATAATTTATGTGCCTGGATTTTGTTCTGTGCAAAGATGATCATGGTCTCCTATTTTGTGCACACTGGAATGAGAGCTTTTGCACTGTCTTCAGTTCACAGTCACAGTTTCAGAGGGTGTCAGAGGACAGGTGGGGCGGGGCATAGCTCTGAAGTCAGAAAAGTCAAGGTTTATGTTACACCAAACGAGTAAGGGGGGGTTGTTTTGGTGCAGAGAACAGAGTTTAAGAATGAATAAAAAATATTTGGCTGTTAAGATGAACTCTAGACAAATAGCTAAATACAACATTAAAAGATTATATATATATATACACATACACACAGTTGTGCTCAAAAGTATGCATACCCTATCAGACATTTTGGAATTGATATTGAAAATATGACTGACCATGCCAAAAAAATGCTCTTTTATTGAAGGATGATGATCATATGAAGCCATTTCTTATTAAATAGTTGTTTGGCTCCTTTTTAAATCATAATGATAACAGAAATCACCCAAATGGCCCGGATCAAAAGTTTCCCTCCCCTGGAATGTTTGGCCTTGGTACAGACACACAAGGTGACACACACGGGTTACAATGCCAATTAGAGGTTAATGTTCCACATCTGTGGCTTTTTAAATTGCAATTGGTGTCAGTGTATAAATAGTCAATGAGTTTGTTAGCTCTTACGTGGAAGCACTGACTAGACTAGATACTGAGCCATGGGGATCAGAAAAAGAACTGTCAAAAGTCCTGTGTAACAAGGTAATGGAGCTTTATAAAGATGGAAAAGGACATAAAAAGATGTCCGAAGCCTTGAATATGCCAATCAGTACTGTTGAATCACCTATTAAGAAGTGGAAAGTTCGGGGATCTCTTGATAACAAGCTAAGGTCAGGTAGACCAAGAAAGATTGCAGCCACAACTGACAGAAGAATTGTCTGGGATACAAAGGGAAACCCATAGGTGACCACAAGAAAAATACAGGCTGCTCTGGAAAGAGACAGTGTGGTTGTTTTGAAGGAGCACAATATTATGACACTTGAACAAAAATGAGCTGCATGGTCGAGGTGCCAGAAAGAAGCCTTTACTGCATCAATGACACAAAAAGGCCCGGTTAGGCATGTCAAGGTGTTATTAGGTACATCTGTTCAATTGCTTGGTAACATCCAGTAAGTAGTAGCAATATAACAGTGATACCTAATAAAGTGGCTGGTAAGTGTGCGTTACACCATTGGGAAGAGGTTAAATAATAAAATGTGAATAGATAGAGCATGGGTGGTGTGGAAAGGTATGCAGCATTTTCTTTTAATGATGAGCTTTAGGCAATAAAGCTCAGTTACCTCTCTACTTCCAGCCTGTGATGGACAGGGAAAGAAAAGCAACAGACTGAAGAGGTAGGTTTGCCTCAAAAGCAGCTAAAGTGAGCATATCTGTGGGGTTCAAGCTCAGGCCTCTGTGACCTCCACCTGGTTCTGAAATTTTCCAGAAACTTCTAGAAGCTAGTGGACTGGGGTACAGGGGCAGGGATCCAAATATTCATGGGAGTTTGACCAATTCAAAAGCAGGAGGCCTGGCAAGGTGGTAAAATGTGCCCATAAATATTGAAGAGCCTGGTCAGTGGTTGGTTTGTTGCTGGCTGGAGTATGGAGTGCTGAATCAAGGTTCGTGAGGCCTGGAATGGACCCCGGGGTTGGGGCTCTGCCTCCAGGCAAGAGCTGAGGTAGGAAAGAAAGGAGCAGTTTGATCAGAGGGATCTTCACCACCCTTCAGTTTAGTTTCATCCACGAGACAACCTGTATTGCAAGGGAGGACTTGTACAGCAGGAAGCATGAACAGCAGTCTTTACTGAGCAGCAGGATTTCAAGGGACAGTGTGAGTATCTCTACTTTCATCACCCATAACCTATAAGAGAGATGCCAGGTGCAATACCCAGCTAGCCATCCAGGAGAGGCAGCTTATGCAAACCTTCACCCCTACTTGGGATCATCTTGTGCTAATGTGCCAGTGCTGGGATCAGTATCAGAAGTGCTTTACCAATCTATTGAAAGTGATTTCCCCGGGAAACAGTCTGGAGTTTTGTGCTAAGAAGACACTGTAGCCACAGTGGTCCTCAAAGTTCTTCTACACTTTCCACCTTCCAAAGCCTACCAGGGAGATTGCAGCTGAGTGCAATATTCAGCTAGCTTTCAGAGACACAGCATACTGTTATCCTCCACCCTTGCTAGCAAAATTCTCAGTGGAAGCCAGGCGTGCTGGTATTTCCTGCTAAGGGGACATAGAGCTCGTGCATACAGTTGGGATTTTGCTGTTTCTACTAAGGAGACATAGAGCTCCTAAAAGAAATGGGATATTTGCCATTGATCCATGAAGGACGCACAATATTCTGGAGGGAGAACAGGCTTGGATCCATTTTTGTTGCAAGTTGTACATAGCGAAGTTGTCCTCCAAGTTGTTGTTGAACTCACTTTCGGCATCCCGTAATCCCTTATCCCCAACCATGTTTATATTCCCCCAATAAAACATAAAAAATCAAGCCCAAGGACTGGTTGTTGACTGTGGATGCAAGATGAAAATGAGTGTTGACTGGCTGTGCAGAAAAAGGGGGGCTCAAAATCCAGTGGCTCCTTAGGGGGTAGCACTACACAAAAATAAGTGTAATGTCTTTAAAATAAATACCTAACTTCATTAAATAGTGGTTTTTATGCCTGGAGTTCAGCAGAACAATGAGCCCAAAAAAAATCCACTTTTGATTTCATACTAATGGAAGCAGGCAGAAGACCACCAACTAAAAGGATCAATAATTGATCAGGTCAGAAAACCCATGCTGATCACCATCAAATTTTCTCGGTATAAAAAGCACTGGCAGCATCTGCCTGCTCCACTGTGCTGCTCCCCTCTCACCTGTGAGCCAAACTCTTCTGTTAATAAAAATGTTGTCTGTCAGAAGGTCTCGGGGAGTGCCTACGCTGTCCTATAGATGTCCTTGGGTGATATTTTTAACTTCAGACAGCTGATAGGTCTGCTTTAATACTACATTTGCTGTACAACAACAGACAGGCAGCTCCTCGAAGCATTCTCTAAACAAATCTATTGAAGCACCTGCCTCCAGCACCATATCGATCTACAAAGGATTTACAGTAGCCTGGGGAGCGAAGGGAAGGGTGGAACAGAAGGAACGTACCTAGATGGATAGCCAGCAGCACTGATCCTGATTGTCTCCAGGACTCCACACGCCCTCAACTGCTGTACGGCTCGTTTGGGATCGAAGCTGGAAAACAATAAATTTTAGATTAGATGTTATGCCAGCAAAGAAAAAACAATTCTGTGCCATTCACTGAGACCTGACAAAGGTCTGCATCCATTTTATTAAAGGGAAGAATTCACATGCCTTTCTGGCCACAATGTAACAGATGTATAATTATTACAAGGGGGAACTCTGAGCAAAACACGAAATTAAAGCCAAATGTCAGACAAATTACTAAATACACAGCTGAAGGACACAAATGTGAATTGTTTTATCCACCAAATGATTTATCATTCTGTTCGACTACTTTTGTGATCCATGCACCTATCAGGTTTTTATGCTGTCTGTGTCCTGTTGGGGAGTTTCCTTCACTTCCTATCCAAAAGAATCAACAGGAAGTATGGAAATTTAAGGGATTAGTAAGGAAAGGGAGTCAAAACGTCCTCTAAGATCAATTGTGGTGACCTTGCTTGATCAAGTGCAGCCCTAACATCACCAAAGGGCCATACTTACTATTCAGTGAAGTGACACTACCGAAAGGTGTCAAAGACTGCTGACATGCTACAGGAGATGGTCAGACTGGCACATGCTACAGGAGATGGTCAGAAACTATGGGCATGTTACAAGAGATAATCAGACTGGGACATGCAACAGGAGATGGTCAGAAACTATGGGCATGTTACAAGAGATGGTCAGACTGGCACATGCTACAGGAGATGGTCAGAAACTATGGGCATGTTACAAGAGATGGTCAGACTGGAACATGCAACAGGAGATGGTCAGAAACTATGGGCATGTTACAAGAGATGGTCAGACTGGAACATGCAACAGGAGATGGTCAGAAACTATGGGCATGTTACAAGAGATGGTCAGACTGGCACGTGCTACAGGAGAGGGTCAGAAACTATGGGCATGTTACAAGAGATGGTCAGACTGGAACGTGCTACAGGAGATGGTCAGAAACTATGGGCATGTTACAAGAGATGGTCAGACTGGAACATGCTACAGAACATGGTCAGAAAACTATGGGCATGTTACAAGAGATGGTCAGACTGGAACATGCTACAGAACATGGTCAGAAACTATGGGCATGTTACAAGAGATGGTCAGACTGGAACATGCTACAGAACATGGTCAGAAACTATGGGCATGTTACAAGAGATGATCAGACTGGCTACATGCTACAGGAGATGGTCAGACTGGAACATGCTACAGGAGATGGTCAGACTGGCACATGCTACAGAACATGGTCAGAAAACTATGGGCATGTTACAAGAGATGGTTAGACTGGCACATGCTACAGGAGATGGTCAGACTGGCACATGCTACAGGAGATGGTCAGAAACTATGGGCATGTTACAAGAGATGATCAGACTGGGACATGCAACAGGGAGATGGTCAGAAACTATGGGCATGTTACAAGAGATGGTCAGACTGGCACGTGCTACAGGAGAGGGTCAGAAACTATGGGCATGTTACAAGAGATGGTCAGACTGGAACAGGCTACAGGAGAGGGTCAGAAACTATGGGCATGTTACAAGAGATGGTCAGACTGGAACGTGCTACAGGAGATGGTCAGAAACTATGGGCATGTTACAAGAGATGGTCAGACTGGAACATGCTACAGAACATGGTCAGAAACTATGGGCATGTTACAAGAGATGGTCAGACTGGAACATGCTACAGAACATGGTCAGAAACTATGGGCATGTTACAAGAGATGATCAGACTGGCACATGCTACAGGAGATGGTCAGATGGAACATGCTACAGGAGATGGTCAGACTGGCACATGCTACAGAACATGGTCAGAAACTATGGCATGTTACAAGAGATGGTTAGACTGGCACATGCTACAGGAGATGGTCAGACTGGCACATGCTACAGAACATGGTCAGAAACTATGGGCATGTTACAAGAGATGATCAGACTGGCACATGCTACATGAGATGGTCAGACTGGCACATGCTACAGGAGAATGGTTAGAAACTATGGGCATGTTACATGAGATGGTCAGACCATGGCACATGCTACAGGAGATGGTTAGAAACCATGGGCATGTTACATGAGATGGTCAGACTGGCACATGCTATTGGAAATAGTCAAAGACTACATGAAGGAGAAGGCTGATATGAAGGGGGCAGAGGAGAGGAATCTGAAGGGGGAGGGGGGGGGGGGGGGGGATAAAAAGGGGGTGGATGACGACAGGGATGTGAAGGGGGTGATATGAAGCAGAGCTGAGGACAGTAATGTGAAGGGGGCTGATATAAAGGGGGCAGGAGACAGGAATGTGAAGGTGAGGTGATATTAATGGGGGGAGTGATGTGAAGGGGCTTAAAGACACTGCTGTGAAGTGGGGGGCTGTGATGTACAGGGGTGATCTTGATGAAAAGGGGAGAGAACTGTGATATAAAGGAGGGTTGCGATGTGAAGGGGGGGGGGGGGGCTGAGAACACTGTTGTAATAACAAGATTATGATTTGAAGATCTGAAAGTAGGTTTACATCATTGCACCCTTTGTTCTGCTTGTAGGCAGGCCATTCATTTCAGTGGGCTGTCTTACACGTAGAAACAGAAGTCCCTGAACCTTTTTTTAAATTGCGCTGCAAGTTTTTTTTGCTGATGTTCCGAGGTGTCGTTAAGAATCAAACATGCGATTCGTACCCCCGCTGGAAGACAATTTTAGTGATGGGACCTTTGTGAATTTTAATTCAATACCCCTGGTCTATAGTCTTTGACCATTTCCAATAGCATGTGCCAGTCTGCCCATCTCTTGTAACATGCTCATAGCTCATCTCCTGTAGCATGTGCCAGTTTCTGACTGACCATCTCCTGTAGCATGTGCCAGTCTGACCATCTCACGTAACATGCTCATAGTTTCTGACCATCTCCTGTAGCATGTGCCAGTCTGACCATCTCATGTAACATGCTCATAGTTTTTCTGACCATCTCCTGTAGCATGTGCCAGTCTGCCCATCTCACGTAACATGCTCATAGTTTCTGACCATCTCCTGTAGCATGTGCCAGTCTGACCATCTCATGTAACATGCTCATAGTTTCTGACCATCTCCTGTAGCATGTGCCAGTCTGACCATCTCTTGTAACATGCTCATAGTTTCTGACCATCTCCTGTAGCATGTGCCAGTCTGATCATCTCTTGTAACATGCTCATAGTTTCTGACCATCTCCTGTAGCATGTGCCAGTCTGACCATCTCATGTGGCCCACAAGTGCCAAAGGGTTGCATGTGGCCCCTACACTGCAGGTTTGGCACAATGGTCTTTGTTGTCACTAAGACAGGTACCTCTACTAAAACAATTTCCCTTCACCTTCTGTTCCGGTGACAACTGTAAAAATTTGGATTTCCCATCACTTTCACCTATGATGATTACTAGTACAAATACGATGAATTTCTCCAGTGGAGACACAGGAAGCAATTAAAACCTTTGTAGGGCTATAATCCTTCCCTGCGCTATCCAAAACCAAAAAATTGAAGTCTTCAGACACATTTGTAATGTCCCATCCTTACTACATGACAACTCCCTAAACTGACTTTGTGTGACAGAATTAGTGGTTTAAATTTAATTTAATTCCACATTGTGCTGCTCTAATACTTTCTTCTTTCCAAAATGTTTTGTGGTGTCCTTATGCCCATTTATTAGCACACGTGAGTTTCATGACAATGAGTTGGATAGTCCCATCTGTGTGTAGAGAATGTTTATGGCTATGAGAGACGCCATGTGTTCTGTTAGTACCAGCTGCTCCCCACCATTCACCAAGCTTGGACGAGTATTATAGCGGGCAGAAAACTCTGGATTTATTTTCTTTTAATAAATTTTTATTGAAAAGTTTTCAAAGTACACAATGTAACCTCTGTCATATTTACAGACAGATGCATGCGAACAATAGCATTACCAGCCGAGGCGGTAGTACATCTTACACAGAAACCGTAACAAAAACAAAGCTTGTGGTGCATCAAAGTTGTCCATTGACCATGTTTCATCCGGCTTTATTTTACTTTACATTTCACTGTGTGGGATACAACCAAAGTGGCATAACCAGATTTGTTGAAGGTTAGTACACATAAAATGGAGGAGGAGTGTAGATGAAGAAGACACTGTACTTCATTTTACCAATGATGAAGATTTTTATTCACTTTTCAAAACATTGTATTTAAAATATATCCAAACACAGAGCTCCCAGTGCAGCTTGGCGATTGGTCTAGAGCAGGGATATCAAACTCCATTTCATCACGGGCCGTATTGCCATTATGATTGCCCTCAAAGGGCCGGTTGTATCTGTAAGACTAGATGTCCAGAGCACCCCACCCCCCATTACATCAGATGTCAAGAATCCCCCACCCTCTCTACCATCACCATGCCCTTTGGAGGTAGAGCTGGAAAGCAGAAAGTGCAGGGTCTGGAAGAGGACCAGAGGAGAGCTGCAAGGGCCACATGAAATGGCTTGGAGGGCCGGATTCGGCCCCCAGGCCTTGTGTTTGACACCTGTGGTCTAGAGGCTTGGTTATGGCGGATTGTTTTATAACTACATCATTTCTTCCTGGGAATACAGAATACGGTTCTTGGAATGCTTCTTAGATTTTTTGGTTGGAGTATGAGGGCACCATGCTACAGTTAACTAAGTCTTTGGCCAGGCCAAGACCAATACTGTCTATTCTTGGGTCAGACTTTAGGTACTGGGTCAGATTCCTTGTCTCCTTCGGGGGAGAAGGTCTGACACTTGCCGCTCCCACAAAACGGCAACAATTCAACTGTAGAGCTATTCACCCTGAGGTCATCACAGAGGACAAGGGGGCGCTCTTTACATCTGGAGGAAAAGAAATTTAATCTCCAAGAAAAGGAAAGGTTTCTTCACAGTGAGAGCTGTGAAAATGTGGAATAGACTCCCTCAAGAGTTGGTTCTGGCCAGTTCAGTGGATTGCTGTAGGAAAGTCCTGGATTCTTTCCTAGATACACAGAATATAACTGGATATAACATTTATAGGTAAAGTTGATCCAGGGAATATC